AGGTAATACGATCGGCGTACACGAAGCCAAGAACACCGATTCGTTACGATTGCAGAGTGGTACAAATGGCAGGTAATGCCCCTCCATGAGCACAACCTGTGCAAAAGCAAATTTTGCACTCGTATTTCATGATTTGTTATCCCAAATACTTAATTTGCTTATATTAGTTTTCATGCACTCAGCTATACTCAAATAAACAATTTTCTAAGATTCAATTACAAAATTAAACAATTGTAACAATAATTTATGGCTCAGAATTGACATTTTGCATATAATATATGCTGTTATAATTAAAGATTTATTTTTTTAAATGTTGATCATTATCGTCTAAAATTTAAATTGAATTTGTTTATAATAAAAGTAGTAACTATATCTCGGTAAGATAAAAGATTAGCTATTTATTGACAAAAATAAAACTGTAATGATTTAAAGATTTCAGATCCTAATTTTAGCGAAATTGTCTCTTCTCGTTTAATAATAAGTATTAAAACACAATTCTATCAATGAATCAATGAATTATCAATGAATAAACGGATATTGTTAACTGAAAGACATTTGTTCTTACTGCTCAAATGATATAATTAAATGAGTTATTTAAGAAAAATTGCAAGGAACGTTTTAGTGAGCAATCCCATAATATAGTGCAATGGCAGAAGGTCCATGTTTGCACAAAGTCAAGAAAGCAGATAACAAATGAATGGTAGAGTCAAGTCAGGCGAAGCAAATAGGTATCGTTTGCACTCAGGCATCCCCGGCCATGGGATACACATACCTTTTGATCTCCGAAGCGAAGCTGCCGTCGCGAGTTCCGCGATACATTTATGCGACACAAGAATAATCTTCGGTCGTCCGGCGTAGTGGGGCCGCTCCTAGCCAGCTGATTTTGTATGACCATGTGGTCTTGCTTGTCGACCACGTCGTAAACGCTGTCGCCGTGGATCAAAAGGTCTTCCTGCAAATGCCGCGACCATTTTCGCACAGTTAAATTTCGTTCAAATGAATCCCATGCGCACCCTCAAGTGGTTTTAGGTATGTACCCGGAGTTAATCTTTGCTCGAAAATTATTACACTACCTTCTTTCCACTATAGACAGGACTAAAAATCCAGTTTTTCTCCTCATTTTTTCTTTTTATATATTCAAACACGTGCGACGTCCCGAGAATATTCATGTTTACATTTATTTAATAAACCGTGTGCTTGTATTTTCACATTGTAGTTTCATGCCTCATGTGCTTATCGAATAACCGACTAGTAGTTAAAAAATTACATTGTATTTCTACAACAGCTTCGATATCAATCAATAGAGCGTTGTCAACAGACGCAACTTTGTACTTTAAATTGATTCAATGGCAATATGTTATTTGGATTTTGTTTTTAACCAAAATTATGCATTTTATTAAATCGCCATATGATAACATTAAATATGATTTCACATATTAAAATATAATCTTACATTAATTTAAATAATAAAATTCTCTAATATTTATTTATCAAATTTTTGTATTCGAAATATAATTAATCATAATATAAAGAAAAGCATACATATTTGAAAACACTATTTGAAATTTTTCCTTTTGAAATTCAAAGTATTTATAATACAATATTGAAATATAATAAATGAATTTAAATTTGTCATGACTACATGAATTTTAGCACTTGTCACGTTTTAGCCTTAATTATTATAATTATAAGTATTTTTGCAATATCATTTTAAAGTAAATATATTCAAATCTTTCTGAAATAAATAAAAAAAATTGTGATAAAATCATATAATTAAAACCAATAAACACCTAACTTTAAAATTGCTTCATGTGATTTTTGAGGGATACATTTTAAGATTTAAAATTTTGTTCATATAATTAATTTCAGTCATGCTATAAACGTCATGAAGCATTTCGCATCGTAAAGTGGTTAGCACGAGTGTCTTACAAATTATTTCGAACATGTATTCATTTTCAATTGTAGAATACGTTAATATTTCAATTTTTCATTTTTTACTCTCTAAGTATTTAAAAATCACACAAAAAATATTTATTTAAACTGATAAATAAAGACTGGCTTTGAGTTATATTTAATTTGAAACAACTGTTTAAATAATTTTTTAGCGACATATTTTATATTTTCAATTGTAAAATTATTGTGAAAATTTCAATATTTACATTTTTAATGATACATATTTTAAAATGTAATAAGTAACTATCATAGAATGATAATATGATAATATTTAAACACTAAGGTTTATAATTTCCTTATATAATCAAGAAAATATAAAATTGCAATTAAGTACGTAGTGTAGAAATGAATGATTTTTAAATATTTTTCCATCAGAATCTACAAGTTTGATTTCATGATGCTAGAAATATAAAATTTATATTTCAAATTAAGAAATATGTTTTATATTAATTTATATTTACAATTTGCTAATAGATTATTATTTATAAAATGGTATTTGAAAGCAAATCAATTGAGAAAAAAATATACAAATCGAAGTTAAATGAAAACATTTATATGGTAGTTAGGATATGGAAATTAAAGTCCTCTAAGTTAATTTATAATTCATATTCAATAACAGATATGTGATTTTTATTGTATACACGCGCTTAAATGTATACATGCAGGCAAAAAACATCTAAACAAAGTAATATATATACAATTTTTAATTTGTATCCACCCTTGACTGAATTTTTTTTTTAATTATTACCATCGAGTGTCCCAAATACTCGGCGGCATTTTCCGATATGTACAGCAACTTGCCCTGTTGAGTCATCATCATAATGAAACCGGACATGGCCTGAAAAGTAGTGGTTGCCGGTTATTGGTCTTAAAGTCATATATGCAGACCTATAAATATTCTAGCTCACGAATATGACGACAATAAAAAAAAAGAGGAAAAGAAGAAGAAAACTAAACTGGAGTCTTTGACTGTATCGTTTTTAGTTGCAAGCGGATTTCCGTACGAGTGTCGATTAAATTTTACAGACATCGTAAAAAAGGAGGCAACTATGCCTAGGTACATATTATCGTTATCGTGCAGTCTATGAATATACGCAGGGTTTTTCATTTACCTACCATTTTATATGCTTTAAGTCCATCTGTGATCTATGTAAGCATGGACAAAAAAAATGGTTCTCTTTTTAATAATGACCATCGATTTCATTGTAAAAATTGAATTTTATTCCATGCTCATTATTTAGTCATAGTAAATTATTTACTTTAACAAAAAAATGCATTATAATTGTTTTTACGTAGCGTAGTACTACTTTTTTTACATTATACTTTTGATAAGATGGGTTGTAAAATATTAAGTGATGTATAAAAATTAATGTATGAAAGTAACATTGCGACATATTTCTCAGAATTTACCTTTGAAAATCCAATGTTTGGCGTTGGTATATTTGTAGATTCTTGCTCGTTCTTTAACACTGAAAAATACGATTGCTTTTATATTAAATTATATTTATCTTTATTTAAGTACATTCATTTGATTTCTAATATCAATATTAATGCATTAATACATTTGATATTAATTAAAAATAAAATATTATAATTGCTTTTGTAATTATGTATTAATACGTAATTTAAACAGAGCTTTATTACAATACTGCTTCACTTTAAGGTATAAGACTTGATTTTGTATTCATTCAATCAATCCATAAATGATTACTAAATAAATTTGTATTACGTAATAAATAATTAAACACGTATTTTATTTTATTTTATTTTCAAATATTTGTTTCTTTAATTTCAAATACTTTATTAATGTAAATGAAAAAAAGTTTTTTATAGTATAATGAATTGCAGCAATAAGATGATAGAGTTTAGTTTATTTGATATTTAAAAAAATTAATGTTAAATGTACACGCAGTAAAAATATTACGAGGACATAAAATTATACTGATAAAAATTCGTCGTCATTGAAAAGTAAAACTTAATATTATTAAACATTTATTCTACACTACTTTAATGTAACAATAATGACCTACACAAATAAACAATATAAACAAAAAATACAATAGTAGGCTTCTTAAGGGTACTAAAACATCTTTTTCATATATTAAATATTTGTATATTATTTAGTCGAAGAAGGAATGTTATAACTAAACATTCATATATTACATTCATATATTTATTTTTATGTTGAATCTGTTCTTTAAATGTAGTAGCAATCTATTTAAAGTATTATACATTAACATATATTTATATATATATATTTACAATAATGTAATAAGTATCCTAGTCATCGTTTTAAACGTCAAAAGATATTTATTAGAAAAATTAATTTGCATTTGTTGCTTTACACTAAAGTACATATTACTTAGTTAATATTTGTTTTAAAAAAAGTTTTAATACTTACGGCAGACTAAAAATAATTTTTCGTCCTCATAATATAATAAATTTATCATTTTGCTGATGCATATGAATATAATAATAAATAATATATTTTTATTTGTAAATACTTAGTAAAATTCATAGTTTTAAACCGAACGTAAATTCACTTATTATAAAGTACACTAAAAATGTAGTAATAAAAACAATAAAGTCTTGGCTAGATTAAGAGTAATATTGGAAGAACAAAAACAATATACATTGACTAATTGACTAGGCTTTGAATTATATTACGAGTAGCTCGCAAAACAAACTGCATCAAAAGCCACAAGAATCCATTACTTTTTTCATAGCGTAATCTCGTGGATTGAGAGTCCACTCTCTAAGGATAAATTTCTTGGTAAGGCAAATGTCCCGCAAGCTCTTGCAACCGTAGCTCGCAAAAAAGGGAACATGGGAGAAGCACGGGACAAACATGCCACCCATTACGCTATTGATTACACCAAAAATTACTAGGACGCCTTAGAAGCGAGTTCACGCAAGTCAATGTATAAGCAGACCTCCGGGATACGAAAACTCGGATGGCAATAGAACATCGCAGGAAATCTCGATTAATCCTTGCGGCGTTCAAGGAGGCGCTCGGCCTAAAGGCAAAGGTCAAATCTCGCAGGACATAAGATTCAGGGCTCCCGAAGATCACAAGGAAAAGTACAGTCCCGTTGATCAAGGCCTTTCCTTCAGGGGCCCCCTGAGGCGAATGTAAACAGAGTATTCATCAATTTTGGACCGATCGGGCAAAGGCGCCGTTCTGCCGGGGTCCCGACGATACTGGCGTCAGTACAAGACGGCGCGCTACCCATGCGCCGCTGCCACGGGATGAGTTTTTCTGGAAGAATGCACGGCACGTTGGCGCACTATTGCCCCCCTCACTTATCTTCTCCTCTCGCTCTCTCTTACCCCCTTCGCTCTCTTGTATTCACTCTCTGTCCTCGAAGCCTCTGCGTTGTATAAAGGAGAGCTCAGAAAAGGAGCGCAGCTGTATTATGGGAGATAGCACCGTATGTAAGCATATATATATATATATATATATATACATGCCCCCCTCCCCCGCGTATACATGTGAATGCGGCTCGCGGTTTGGCGCAGGATAGAAAGAGAGAGAAAGAAAACCCGAGAAGGCAAAGGATCGAAGTCGCTGGTGGGGGACGGTTACGGGGGAGTATGGGTTACAGGAGCGTGAGAGTGTTGTTGGAGAGGCCGAGAGGTCAGCGGATCACCCGGAACTCGCGCTTAGGACTCGCTCTCTCGCGGAGAGCAGCGCTCGGTCGCTTGGACGGTCCGGGGTTCGAATGCTTCGGTCTCTGGCTCTCTTACTCACTCTTCTTTCTCTCTCCGTCTCTGTCTCTCTCTATCTCTGTCTCTCTCTTTTCGCTCGCTTCAAGCAGTTAACTCTGCCTCCCTCGCGCGACCGCCGACGCACATGTACACAACCGAGCATGTGTGTACGTATGTATATATGTTTATATAAACATTTGATACTTGGATATGTGTATAGACGTGTGCATACTTGTGTGTGTCTGTATAAATACACATTCAGGTATACCTATATATATATATATATATATATATATATATATAAATATATATAAATGTTGGGGGGAGTGTACACAAATACGTACACATATACTTCTCTTACCGTTTTCTTCTCTCTTTAATGTCGTATACCTCTTCTTCTTACATCTTACCTTTCGTAGAGGCTTCTCTCTCCACGTACCTTATGCCTTTTATCTTAACTCTCTCGCTGTTAGTCGATGAAAGAGAAAGAGAAAGAAAGAGACAGGACAGGATTTTTTGCACACAGACTTTTATGTACCTCATCGAGCTTATAAACAATGACCGCCTAAGTAGTGGACGCGCTTGCACTTACAGCAGTGGACCTTAACTTCGATATAACTGATGCGTATAAATGTAAATGGATTTGAGAAACAAAGGTATGTCTTTCTTAAACTTATATTATAAAATGATTAATATTTACTTTGGATGAAATTCTAAAAAATGTAATTAATTACAATATTCCTTTATTATGCTTTAGAATACTTTTTACAAATTTTATAATAATTATTTTTACTTATTTTTTATTTTGTATTTTTATTTTATATTTTTAAAATTTTTCTTATACATTACATCTTCGTTCTACTTTTTTATTTTTTTCATGAATTTATAAAAACAGTATATATGATTAAAAACACTATAATAAAAATTTTAACCTAACAATATTATTTCATCTCCAAAATATACTGCAATTAATATTTTACATTCATTTCAAAGTAAATATTATGATTTTTTATTTTCTATTTTCTACAAATTTACATTATAATTGTTACGCATTCTTATAAAGAATAATTTAACCAATGAATATGTAAAGTCTAGACTACTATCATTTGAATAAATATCGTTTTACTTCTAAGGTGCTTCAAAAAATCTAAATTAAATTCCTTAAAACTGAAAAATAATAATATATTTCGCCAATAAAAATTTTCTGGATCTCTTAATTTCCAACTGTGTCTAAGAATATTAGATAATTATTTCGATAGTCCGCAATATTATCGACTTAGAAGAATTAAATATAACTAAAGAGGAAAATGAGAGGTCGCTGCCATAAACTGAACTAGTATAAGGCTGTATACGTATATTTAAATATATATAGTTGGATTATGGATATTTTTTAGTTTGTATAGTTGCAATGTGGTTTCCTTAATTACATATAGTCGCGCCGCGAGGCTTATGCCAATAAACACTGTGATTAAGATTGATAATTACAGCTCAAGAGGAAAGTCTCTCTATATATAAAAAGTTATCCTGGTGAAGCTGCTAACATAAAATTTGCTATATACTCGTGAAAAATAATTTTTGAAATAGTTTAGAATTTGAAAAGAATTAAATTCCATTCGAACTTTAAAATATTTTGTTATTGATTCTACATAATTATAAATCATTATGAACATTATGTAATTTCTTATCATATTTAATAAAAAGTTGGTAATTAAATATCTGTATATATCTATATATTAAATAATATTTCCATAAAATACTATTAACATATAAACTTCAAATAAATTTTACTTAAGATTTTATTTGAAATTAGAAGATTGCTATAAATATAAAATACCGTGTACAATGAATAATATATATAATTCAATATCGTATAATGATAAAACAAAATGGTTTAAAGAAGATTAACACTCAATTTCTATAAAATAGATATGTCACATATTTGTGTATTATATAACGTTTAAAGAAAATTATATTTTTATTAGTATTATGCATTTTTAAATTACTAAAGTATATAATTAAAGAAAATTAAATGATTAATCTTAATATTATTTATTCCATGCATAATAAATAAATACAAATTTTTAATATTTTTATAAGCAGCTGTTTGAAAAATTAATAATATATTTCATTATTTTATTTTTATTACAAATACTTTTTTTTAATATAAGAAATTATTATTTTTTAACAATAAAATAATTTTAAACATATTTTTAGTTTCAAATGATTATTTTTATAATATCGTATACTATTTTTATTTCAAATGCAATTTTTGACGTAAGAATAACTGTTTTTTTTAAATTATATTTTTTTTAAATAATCTTCTGATAACAATATTACTACACGCATGTCGTAACTCTCGAAACTACTTCAGAATATTAAAGATATAAAAAAAACCATATATAATTGATTTCCGTTTATCCTTATGAAGGTATAATATATTCTGAAAATATTGGTGATAATTCATTATCAATTAAGAAAATAGATATCCAATATATTTACATTTTCATGTAGAAAAATTAAGTTGAAAATAATCGGCGTTGTTATTCATTAATTAAAAATAAAACTATGATATATCAATTTTTACACTAATATATAATTTAGTAGCATAATAAATATGTAAGTCCTGCTCTAAATTAAAAAATTTATATTTTACGCAATCTTAATTTTTAAGAAGTAATTATGTGTATGACTTGTTTAAGTAAATTTTGTTAATAATGCTACGAATAAAAAAAGGAATTGATAAATATATTAAAAATGCCTATGGAATTGAGTAACCGAGTAAAGAGTTAATTATTACCTGAATAGACTAGCGAAAACTCACTTGACAATAATTAAAAAGCTTATTGAAGCTTTGGTTTTTTAAGGACTATAAATTCTTATCGTGTATTGTGCATAACATATTTATACTATTTATTTATTTATTTTACAGTTAGAAATATATTAAAAAAACAATAATCAAGTATATGTTTAAAAAAGCATATAAATATTTTTCGGCAAAAATATAATATACACCACTATAAATGAATTGCATCATTACACGAATAAATTTATAATTTCCTACTTAGAATATTTAATGCTCTATATGTATTTAATAAATTATTTATTTAAAATATTTTAAAACATATTTTATAATGTAAACAACCATTTTTAATTTTGTTATATGTAAATAATTCATTATTTTAATTTTTCTTAATATAAAACCAGTTGTAAAAAACTTGATAAATGTAAATTAATTTATATTGTTGAAAATATTATTAAAAAATTTACACAAAATTTATAATATATTCATATAGAATTAAAATGTAAAAAAGTTCATTTCTAAAAGTTAAATTTTATGTGATTCAATAGTACTTTTATGTTATTGCTAGTGCATTATGAATGACTTGCTTCTAATTTAATTTTAATAAAATTGAATACTATATATACTGTAAATAATATTGCAAATATATATCTATTGTGCATTGAAAAGTATACATACAATCAGCAAATTACAATAATTAAAATAGTAAGAGTATAGCTTTTTTTCAACCAGTACCTTGGAACAATATTATATTTATGATGAAATTGCTCCTACACCAAATTTATTATAATAATAGAGTACTATACATAGTTGCAAAATATCATTACTTTTCCTCAAATGAAACTTGAAATATACTTTAACTTCAAATTTATGAAAAATATATAAAAGTAAATAAAATTTAAATGTAAAGTATTTTTAAAATATTAATAAATTTATTATGAAAACAAACCAACTCACTTTTTCTACCTGCCATGCATGTATATATCTTATCTACTTATAAAAATAATAATTATATCGAGGAATTTTGTTTTTGTTTAAAAATGAGCATTTCAATATTATTAATAACTATTCTATTACTACGCAAAATGCTATTTTTTACATAAAGTTGTAACAGAAACACTGTTTAAAACAAAACTAATATATTACCAAGTTTTATGTATTTATAGATTTTATTTTAAAATATTTGCAATATTTTATAAAATCTTATGTTTTTAAAAATTATAGAATAATTATTATGATTAATACGATAAATTGGTATTGTAAACAAAAAATTGTTTTTAAGATCTAGTAATCTTAAACTAATTAAGTTATTTTTATTATGATATCAATCTTTATTACACCAAGTATTAAAAATTAATATTTTATAAATATAAAGTTTCTTCAATATCATTCAATATTCAAGTTTTGTGAATATAAAATTTCTTAAGTGTTATTAAATACTAAAAATTTGTGTTTTTTAAATATCTCTAGAAAATGTTATAATAAAAATATAAATTGTATTTAATATATTTAAAGATAATTATTTATAAACCGTCGAATAAGATGATTTGATAACTAATTTTATGTATAATATTATATATAATTGTATATATAATAAAATGCAATTTAATTAAAAAAAATATTTATTTAACTTGTATACTTATGTATCTATGGTAGGATATATCAATGACAAAAGATATCTTTATATTAATAATTTTAAAAATTATTATATTTGAAAATGATCGATAAAATTTTAAATATCTAGTTGTATCGAGAATTCGGTTTATAAAGGATTAGATATTATAACATTTATATATGCATACATACTGATTTATGAGAGGATTTAGTTTATACAGTAATTTCAATTAGAAAATATATTAACGATTTTATATTATAATATTTAATATCGATAAAATTGGGGATGATAAGAAATTTTTATTAGTAGTTGATCAAATTATAAAAAATATTAATTAAACTATTATCCTTATGAAATAAAAAGATACGTTATCAATAAAATTTATATAATCAATTACTTTTTAACATAACGAATTATTGTTTTATATTATCAAAAAAAGCAGCATTGGATTTTATATATATTTCATATAGAAAATTAATTTATAATTAATCAAATCCTATATAATTAATAATAATTAATATTTTATAATTCATATTTTTATCCTGTTGAAACTCAATGTTTCATTCTGCTAACATTAGTTTTTCCAATATAATACAATTATATGCTCTTTCAATCATCGCTTTCGATATTTACAAATAATATTCAGAGATATTAAATAAACATTTCGAATATTATTATAGAATTATTACTATTATAACCTTCCTATTGATTCTAAGTAAAATAATTACAGTAGAACATGAATATGATTTCACTGACAATGTAATTTGTAATATTTATTTTTAATAGTAGAATTTGAAATATATTACTATAATTTATTTAAAACGATTTGTAAGATTTTATAATATTTAAATTGGGTTTTCAGATTTTAATTTAAAAAATGTTTATTAAATAAATGATTAAAAAATTTATACAAATATTGAAGTAAATATGTTATATAAACATAGATTAGAATTTCTCTTTTTTAAACACAGAGATGGTAAAATATCTTTAATTAAAATTATAATTTACATAGTCATAATTACACTCTTGTACATATTACGGAATAGTCACATGATTAAGGAAAATGTATCTAAAGATTAATATTTATTATAATGTCAATTACTTATATGTAATGTATATTTAAAAAATATCTGATAACTCATTGTAATTATTGAATACAGTATACTATTTTAACCGAATTTTGTCTAATATTTGCTTTTAAAAATTATATATCAAATAGCTGATTATATTTATTGAAATATATAATTATGATCGAAAATATTTATAAATAAAAAATTTTTTTTTCGTTTTATTTAATTGCATTCTAGTCAATGAATCATCCAATTATTTTTTAACTTATTAGGTTAATGTATTTTTAGTCTTTTACAGTCACACATAATTAAAGTTTCAAAAATTGACTATCTGTAACATTTTTGTTATACATTCGCGACTGAACATTTATATGGACACGATTTTGATATCAGTCCGTTACAATTATCATACGATAAAAATGTTACATACATTTTTTGATTATGTAAATAAATAATAAACAAAATAAAAAAGTTTTTAATATTTTTAAATATATACATATTAGTAAAAATTTTCCAAAAAAATTTAGCTAAAAATAATGGAGCAGCTATGGGAAAAATCTTTTATTTCGAATATATTAAGATTTGTATAAAATTAGTTGCAAATTAATATGCTATTTTTCAATGTTTTATACGTTTATATTTCTAAATTACATTCGATACATAGTCTTTGACTATTATAATTAAAAATTAAATGTTATAGAATAAAACAACAATAGTGTTCTTTAAAAAATTTGTTATGAATAATTATTTATTAACAAAAACATATTAATAGTGAAGAATTAAAAATTAAATTAAAAATATGAACTGTCTATGAAAATGTGGTAATGAAAATATTACAGATTTCTCGATATTAATATGTGAAAATTATATAATTTCAACCACTAATAAAATCTAGTTGCACATTGTAAAGTTACAAAATTTTTACATATAAGGTATAATTATAATTATTGATAGAGAATTTTTAAATCCGAATGAAAAGAATACAAACTATCTCTTTGGCTTTATCAGATACATTATATACTTATATAAAAAAAATTTAAACATAATAAAAAAAATTCATTATATTAAATATAAAAATTAAAAATTTTTATAATTATTGTATAATAAAAATAAATATAAAATTTTAAAAATATTTAAAATCTTAATGCAAATTTATCATAATAAACCAAATGTATGTAAAGATTTTAATTGTAGGAATAATTATTGTGTAGTAATTAAAATTCAAAACACTCATTAAATCAAGTTTTAAAGAAATTAAAAAACATTATGTTAGCAAAAAGAGTCATCCTTTTTAGTAAAAAAATACAACTAGAATTTGAAATATTCGGATCGATTTATTGTTAACAATAAGCTTCTCATTACCACAAAAATTTTACTTTTATGCACTTCAACAACTTTTCAATTAAACATAGTTGTATACATTTGTTTTGAAGCTTTTTGTCAAATCAACACAATAAGATAAAGTTTAAAAATAATGTACAACTTACCGTGTTGAAAGTAGTTTGCTTTCCTCAGAAAGACGCAGACGAGGGCCATCAGCTGTAACTGGGAGAGTCGCTGTCTCGTTGAGGGCGGCAGAGGCAGAAGGTCGCGCAAGTTGGCGATCTCCGCGTTTATCAGGTCCCTTCGCAATTTGCTCGCACCTTTCGTCGACTTGCTCGCATCTATCCTTCAAGGGCACACGGGTCCTTCGTTAAACATGCCGCGCGAATCATCAATAGATGCAACCCCCGTGAACCCGGATATACGAAGACGCCCCACAAACAATAATGCCAATATATTTGCAAACTATTTTACTTGTTCTGATAATAAAATATACAGACTGTGTCTTTCCTTTGCATATTAATCTGCTTTTATGCTTAGCTTCTCAGACGTTTAAATTCAAATTTTTTCCACAAGTGAAAACAAAGAGTTACAATTAGTTTTTTCACTATTTCTACTTGATATTAACTTTTAATGCAATTTGATCACATTTTGTTATAAACCTAAGACAAACTTCAAAATTTACAAAACGACTAAAAAAATAACTATAAATAATACAATAATACAAAACGTCTAAAAAATAATCATATTTAATTATTTGATTGTGGTTTAAGCAAATTTCTTTCGCAACTTTATAAAAACACAAATTTTCTAAAAGTTTGTGACAAAAATGTAAAATATTTTCTAGAATACTGTTTGGTTAATTTATAGTTCCTTTAATTTCTTTTGCTGTTTCTTGTTTTGAGAAATCATCAAAGTATTAACCAAATCTAATAATTAGCCAGATTATAGTTTTCAAAATTATGCTGTTTCTGAAGCAAAAAAAAAATAGAAAAAATATTCATATATACAAAAAATTAAAAAAACTAAGTAGACAGCATATGTTGAAAATATTGATAAGTTATTAGCAAATCAGGATACTATTTTCAAAGAATTAAGTAAATGAGCTTAGACAAACGAAGTAAGACACTCACTAGGCACGCAGGACTAGACCGAAATTATGGTTGTGACTTTTAGAAAATCAGTTGCCCATTCAAGAGCCACAACTGCGAGAACGAGTATAAACATTTATCCGTGCAAAAATAAATTGGCGCTGAGCCGTAGCGATTGCTCAGATCACGCACGACGCATAACACTACACACACCTCGGGCTGTCAAATTGCAAGCGGACCGCGACTCAAGGTTCAAGACTCGAGTAATGTGGCGGGAAATTCAAACGGACTCAAAACGAATTGGGGTCCAGCTCGAAAATTTCGGCGCGGGTGTTGGTGACCACGGAGGTGGGGGCAACTTGAAGCTTTGGATCGCTATAGCCTTGCGCGTTGGGGTGTTTGGCCCGCTACTTACCGATTGAACATATTTCGCCGGCCTCGAGCAGTCAGCAGCAGCAGCAGCAGCAGCAGCAGCAGCAGCAGCGGCGGCAGCGGCAGCGGGGATGGACATTAGCGGCTGATGACTGAGCGACTGCCGCGCGCAGCGGTACATCCGGGTCGGCTGCACAGGTTCTCGCGAAACTGCCGCTGCAATCTAACATCCGGGTCATAACGCGCTACTACACTGAACACGTGGGCTACCCGCCAAGAGAGCTTGCTCCTTCGTACCTCCACCTCCTCCTCCTCCTCCACCTCCGCGCTCCTCCACCTCCTCACCTTTTCTGTATCCCACTCTCCATTGCCTACCTCACTCCCTCTTACCACTCTCTCTCTCTCTCTCTCTCTCTCTCTCTCTCTATCTTGCTCACTCTTGCCCACTGCCGTTTTGTCTCACATTCCCTCACTAGCTGTTATACCACTGCCAACTCACTCCACTCTTTGAACTAAATTCTTCTTCTCTCTTTCTAAGTCTCTTCTCTTTCTCCCTCCCTCTTGCAGATTTATCTTTTAGACTTCTTTAATCCTTTCATTGTATATATAACATCAACAACTTTCTACTTTGTTTGACTAAAGCACATTCATTAGAGTTTTTAAAACGCAAATTTCAGACCCCTCCTCCTTCTCCTATCCACCCATACGTATTCACTATATTTTTAATTCCCCTTCTTTCGAAAATCCTCAACATCATCCTCCGTTCTTATTTCCTTCTCTCTTTGTTTACCTCCATACTTCTTCTATTAGTCCCCTGTACCTTTTATTCTTTCTCCCTCTCCATTACATACCTCCTCCTGTGTCTTTTCTCTCTCACTCTTTCAGTTCCTCTCTTTCTTTTCTGCATCGTCTTCCTCCTCTTCCACTTCTACTTGTTGAGCTCAAGTAAACCCAAGAGAGAGGGATAATTCTAGTCCGTCTCTTTCTTACACCCTTTACCTACCGCATTCTCTTAGTCCACCCCCGCTTCGCTCGCTTCCTCACTCGCTTACTCTCATCCCCCCCCCCAATTCCATTCGGTTCTTTTTCAACAAGAAGAGCCGCTTTCTACACGCTACGAAGAGTTTTTCCCACTCTTCCCTTTTCTCTCTCTCTCTCTCTCTCTCTCTATATATATATATATATATATATATATATATATATATATATTTCTTTCTTTATCCCTCCCTCTTTCGTTAACTTACTCACTGTATAGCTGCAGTCAGCAGCAACAACTAGCTTGGTCCGAACCCAAGATGCAATATGCGGGTCAGATAGGTTCTCTCTTGGTCTCTATCTTTCTTTCTTGTTTTTTCCATCAAGCCCTACTAGATACAATATTATATACCTGTATACATCGATAGAAATAAGTTCTATCTTCTTTTTCTTGTTTGTCTACATCGCTTCAATCCCTCCCTGTACCCTTTCACTCGCTGATTTTCTCTTTCTCTGTCTCTTTAGATGTACATCGATATACATGTATTAACTTTTCTTTTTTCTCTCCTTGCTATATCTTCCTGTTTATCTATGACTTTTTATCTTGATTACTTTTATTTTCCTTTACATTTTTACTCTTCACTCTGTTTTTATATTACCCTTCTCCTTATCAACTCATTTCTTCCCATCGTATATTTTTTTATTTCATTATTATAGAAATATAGTTTTAATACATATTTTTATTTTTTTTGTTATACATTAAATGTCGGCTTATTGATTTGCTTTTCCATATAATTATTTCTTTTGTTAATTCTAAATTTATACTTTTAGACATGACTCAATTTATTTATTAACAAACATGTATTCATATTTGCAATTACTAATTATAATATGATTCTTAATTTTATTTTACCCCTTATTATTGGATCATATATTAAAATTCAATATATATTGAAATTCTCTCTTGTTACTCATTAAAATTTAATCATTGTGAAAATATATAAATTAGAAAATTATTACAACTTATTCAATAAAAATTCTGTAAACAATTTACATAAATCTGATTTAATATAAAAAATTAGAAATAATATGATTGCAAAAGATACTTTGTTTAAAATTTTTCGTAATATTTATTCCTAGACTCTGTTAACATACGTTATATGTGATTGCATATCTAACTCAATTGAAACGCTGAATGTTGCTATACCATTGAAATTAAATGAAATTAAATAGAATTCATTTTGAACAAAAATAGAATCAACTTTTGTGACACAAGTGATTTTTAAGCTAGTATATATAATTTTTGTTTCTAAAATAATAATTTACTAAAAATACTAATAAATATTTTTCTTGAAAAAAACATGCACTAAATTTAAAAAATTTGATTTATAATAAATATTTTAGTTTTATTAGAAATAACCTTTCACAAAAGTAAAACTGCTAAATTAATATTAATTTAAAAATTATTTAGATGTAAATTAAATGTTTTATTTGCTATAAGATCTGTTTAATTTTTTGTTTAAAAATATTACAGTATAATTTATATAATCATATCTTAAATAAATGATAAAATGTATTTTTGTCTGTAAAGTATAGTAAAATATTTTTATAATATACATTTAGTTGAAAATAAAAATATGTTCTTGACTACAAAGAATTTTCCTAACAAATTTTTTGTTTAAAAAAAAAAAATTAGTTTGCATCTAGAATATAGTTCTATAGAACAGAATATTGTCCATGAATAAGAACTATGTTTTACAGTGAATAAAAGAACAATGTTTCCATATAAAAAGAATTTTTGTACTAGTTATAAATTAATTAAATTGTAAATAAAAAAATTTCTTAGGAAATAATAACGTTAACATTGTTGCAAATTGAAATAATTTTGCTTTTCTACATAATCATCGTAAAAAGATACACCAACCTGAAAGAATTACAGAACATAAACCACATGTCGCAATAATAAAAACTTGCGGATTGAATTTGAAAGTGTAACAAGTCCCAATGGCAAAGCACTTATTTGGAAAAAGGTCCATCGGCGTCTAAGTCTTCCGGAAGCCGTTGTTGTTCCGCGCCTTGTCATTTGCAAGCATCAGGATTTATCCAACTCACACCAATATCCTCCAGGTGCCCATAACCCCCTGCGCCACCATGACGCCACCTCTGCGGCGTCCGAGGTCGGTGGATCGCGCGGGCGATTATCGCTGGTGTTTACGCGCCCAAGAGCTCCCCACATCACCTCCTTCTTCTTCTCCTCCGCCTTCTTAGCCTCATACTCCTACCGCTCCCCCTGACCATCGTCCACCTCCTCGTCCCCGTCGCTCTCTTTCCCGCTCTCGACAAGCAGCATATAACCGCATTAAACATCCTCCCGCCGCGATGGATTCGCAGCCATTCTCACAGAGCAAGCAAGCGAAAAGCAAGGAGAGAAGAGGAGGGTCTTTCGGTCTGACCGTACTATCTTCGACCTCCTTTATTCCTTCGTTTTTCGGGCCTCACTTCCCTTTGCCCTTATCGCGATAGCGCACACCGTTCTTACTCCGAGGAGTCGCGGTGGCAGCGACAGCAGCAACAGCAGCGTCTTAAGCGAGCGCCCCTACGATTTTTGAACGCTCAAACCAACTGCTCTCCACGGCTTTGATAAAACCTCAGCTTATAATTTGACTGGAACCGATTCAAACCGCGAGCCGATCGACGCGCTTTTAAAATCCCTCTCTCGCGGTAAACGGAATCCTTTTGTATTAACGGAGTATTTGCTCGAGAGATCCTTATCGAGAGCTGTGTCGAATGTCAGAAAAGAAATATTCTTGGGGCGCGACTTTACACTAGAGGGAGAGAAAATTCCTGTGCGGCGACAATAGAATCGTTTGACGTGAATCTCATGGCGTGAATCTTTTTTATTTGCTGGATTTTCTTATCCTTTAATCCCTAATTAATTCTGTCCTTTCGTTCTAATATTACTTTCCACCTATTAATCACTGATTTACCATTAATAATAATTCATTTGCAACAAAATCTTTTATTTGAAAAAGATTCTAAATTTACATTGATATCAAGACATACTTGATTGGAGAACAATTATAAATTTTCTATCGTGTAAAATAAAATTTATGTTTAATTCCAAATTCAGTTGCTTATACTGAATATTTTTTAATTATATTACGTCAACGGAGAGAGAGAAAGGGAGAGAGTTATGCTCATAACATTACTTACGTTAATTGTCAGTCTTCTTTATATCAATTTTATAAATAAAATGATTCTTTAAATCTCATTTATTTAAAAAAAAATTATTACAATTTTCTTTTGAAAAGTAAAACCACATTTTCATATTGTCATATTTCTAATTGGAATTTACTATATTTCATATAAATATTTAATTTATAAAATTAATACATATTCTATTTTGCTACATAATATTCCGCGTAAATTTTAATAATCACTTAATGTTATAAAGCAAATATTTATAAGAGTTTATTTTTCATTAAATTTTTAATATTTGCAGGAATAACATTATTATTAAACTAGATCTAAAATAAAACAATTATCTTTATTTTTGAAAATTATAATATTTAATGAAGTTTTGAATTGAATGCACAACTATATTTTATCTATTACTAATAACTAGAACTAATAAAAATTATCATATAGTGAAAACAAAATTATAAAAATAAAGTTAAAATGTGTAAGATACTCGAATGATGAAATTTATTTCACTGAAATTTGAATCTGATTATGTACGTAATAGATAATGTTTTATTTCTTTTTACGATTTAACTAATAAAAAGGAGCAAACATGGCCAATGGATCACCATAATAAAATTAATGAACACAAAGGACTGGTAATAAGGAATGAAATTTCTCCAAGAGTATTACAAAATGTACAAATATTTGACAATGCATCTGGCTAAAATTAAATAGGATACATTTTGTACTTTCGGTTCGGCTCCCCGAAGCAAGAATTGGCGCTGGGTTTCGAATAAGTTACCGTCTCACAGTTCGCGTCTGATCTCCTAACATTTTTCCAAAAGCTATAGTTACGTAATTCGACCAATACGTATGAGTTCCGCTAAGACAACATTACTTAGACCGCATCGCTCGTAAAGCTCATAATGGTCTGATTAAGTACACGGTGCGGATGCACTGTTAACCATCCGCATATACCCTTGAGACACAGGGAAAATTCTTCTCCCTCTGCGAATCGGCGGTCGATAGGTTCAAAGTACAGATATGTGCAGCTGAGAAAAGCCCGCGGCAGTTCGCCGTGCGGACCAAGATTGTGAGAGACCGGATACAAGATAATCTATAATCTAAACCACGATCTAAGCGAAAAAAGGGTCGCCATCCGGGCGGGGCTGGGCGGTAGCCCCCCCCCCCCCGTACACGGATCCGCGATAAAGAGGCACCCGCTTGGCCTCTCTTTGTATGCACAATGACCGCTACGGCTTCTTTCAGTTAAAGCTTCGTCTAATAACGAACCTTGGATTTTTCGCTCATTTATTTGACAATGCTCGTACACTTGGTTCCAACTGCCAAATGTACTCGGAAAAGAGAAGCATACCTTTGACCCTAGGAATTCGACACCCACTTCCAATACTGACTATCGTTCATCAACCCTCCGCATCCCATCGTCCTCGCGTCTCTAAACAACATTTCGATTAAAACGTGGTTACATAGAGCGTTACATGCCTGTTTCTTACAAAGAGTTAATTAAAAAATTTTTAAAGAAATTCCGTGTTAGATATCTCAACGATAACTTTCGTGAATAATAATAGCCAGGACTGCGTCCCTTATGATGATTTACTTTAACCGAACTAATATCATCTCAATAGCTCATATTATTTCGCTTTCAATCATTGAGACATTATTGATACATCAGGAGGTCACCGAACCAACCGTTTGCCCTTAGCACACTAGATGCCCTTTAGATACTGTCTAAGATGATAAACTACACCCATAAATTATTAATTTATGTTTTGTTCTGATTTTAAATTTCTTATATCCCTTTCCTTATTCATGATAAACTATGAACTTACACTATGAAAACTTTTTATTTTTTACATAATCCATCATTTACTTATTTACTTATTGATTTATGAGTATTATAACAATAGTTGTGCTTGGATTTTTTACCATGACTAAAAATAGATAATATAAATAAAAAATTTGAATTAATGAAGTATTTCATTAATCATTACTAATAAGATCTTTCTTTATATAAAATAATTTTTTTCATTAAAAAGCCCAATAATTAAAATCATAAACTTATTATGTTCCATCTCATAATCAAAAAATTGATAAATAAAAAATTTGTTCCCAATTATATTTTTAATTTATTTCTTGGAAATAAGTATCAAAAACATTTTCCATATTGACAAAACTATATTGAAATTAGTTACATTAAAAATAATTTTTTAATATTTATTATTACTTTAATCATATTGTTAATAATAATCAGTATCTTTAGAAAGAAAATTGTTAAAAATCATTAATATAACATTAAACTCATGTATTGTTTACTATCAATTATATAAAAGTAAAGAAAAATGAAATACTATATTATTACACATATAATTCAATTAATTTTTTGAATTTTTTAAATAATAAAGATCATTTACCTTTGACATAAATTTATAATCTAATCATTGTCTACATATAAATAAAATTAATAGGACACTAAAACATTGACTACTAAAAATTTTCAAATTATATATCTAATTTTAAGACAAAAATTATATTTTATATTAATCTTTAATTAATAAAATATATTTAAATAGATACATATAATATCCCGTGTTTTAAATTTTTATTATTACAATAATATTAATACTTATTATATTCAATACTTTTAATACAAATATCATCTATTTCATGTTTAAATATTTAGACTATACAAAAATATAAATTATAAGCTGCACATATATATTTATAATATTAGAATATATATTTTCAAAATCAAAATAAAATACTATTATATATATATATATATATATATACAATATTTTATATATATTATTAGGTATTAAATATTTACAGCATTTTATTTAAACTATTTTTCCACAATAAAATGCAAAAATCTTCCCACAGAATTTGCAATAATTAAAGTAGAAAATTTTCAGTAGGCTATCGTCAAAAATTACACTATACGATAAAGTTGAAAATGTCAATTTTTATCTTTAAATGCATCTCGTCCAAAAATTCTTCAAACATCAAAAAATCATTTCGATAAAGATCTAAACTCTGTTTTATTAAATAAATAAAAAGTAAAAATTATCTTTACATCAATTTTAAACGTAATTTATCTTGTGTTTTTACAACAAATATTCAATATATTTTTAATTCATGTCTTTTATTTAAAAAAAATATAAGATGTTATATATAAGAAATAAAATAAATATAAAGAATATAATAATACGAATATAATAAATATTCAATAATCTCTATTCAATATATTAAAATATAAAAATGATGATGTATCAATACAAAAAATTGTTTTATAAATTGTGCTTTTCAAAAAATATAATACACGTTAACTTATGTTCAAATATAATATATGAATATAAAACTATTAGATATAAATAATTTTGTATCAATATCAACTCTACATAAATAAGTAAATAATTTGTTGAAAAAAGAAAAAATAACGAAATAATATATAATAAAATTATTAATCTACTAATATGATGATATTTATATTTTCAAAATTTTGGTAATATATTAATTTTAAGAATATATCTTTGTTGATTTAGTGGATAAGTTAGAAAAATTGTAGATAGGAAATTTCTTATATAATATTAATATAATATATTTTATGTAATGCAACTTCGAGCTTACAATTATGTACTGTTAAGATTTGAATTTTCAAAATAACCTTTCCACAATTTCAAACATTATTTATTTACAAAAATTAATTTCGGTGCCATAAGCATTAGTTAAAAAATACGAAAGGTAGTTCAATATTTTAAATTATACGAGAGTGAAACATAGATCATATTCTATATCACGAATTTGATTTATAAATTAAAAAATTTAAATGTTAACCATTTTAAGAAATTGTATAATAATTGATTATTTAGTACATAATTTTGTTTTAATATTGCTTATTACAAAACTATAACTGTTATCAAAATCAAAAACACTTCCTACATTAAAATGGTCTATTTTCCCACATAAATTTAAGTCAATAATAAATAATGGTAATATGATAGGAGATTAGAAAAATTGAGTAAAAATTTCTTACTCAATCGATAACTTAAATACATGTGTTATATATATATATCTAATGTTATATGACATAACCTGAAATGTGGAATATCAATGGAATACCTTTATAATAAATAACAAAAAATAAACATGGAAATCAATCCTTTAAGTATTATTCTTGTCAAAAGTGATAGTAAAGGTGATAGAATGTTGTTTAGATATCCACATGCAACAAATCACCAACGAGATCCAAGTCAATGTCTAAAAAGAAAAAATCCTTATTCCATGATTATAGCAGAGGACTCATTGCAGGTGAATATTTTATTATAACATAAATTCTAATTTAGTTAGAAAATTATAGCAAATACCTTATAATATGTTCTCTATTTTCATAAGTAGTCTATTCCATTTCCAAATCCAACTAATGGAAATCTTACTGGATTATCAGATGAAGTATTATCAACATTGTTTGCTGTAAAACCAGAGCTATGTGAATTAAAATTTGAGCTAAAAGTCAATGATGTAAGATTTGTTGGACATCCAACATTACTACCGTCAAGAGGACCAAAAGAAGTTAATTCTTCTATGCTTTTTAATGTAGTTTTTGCACTACAAGCACAAGCTAGTCATTCTGTAGTAAAATGTTATTATGACTTAAGTAAAAGGTATGTAAATAAATTTTTAATTGTATAACCAAATTTTAATTATATTGTCATTTAGATTAGGGATTGCCTTGAGACATGAAGAAAAAAGATGTGGTTTTCTTACTGAAGAAATCAAAATAATGGTATCAACTCATGATGAAGTTGCTGCTAGGTAAAAAAAAAAATTTCAATATTTCAATATTCAATATTTTATATTTCTCTTATTTATTTAATTATATTCAATTATAATTATAGGTCAGAAGAAGAAAGTGATTCTGATGAAACACCTTATGAAACCATTTTACAAAAAAGCTCTCTTGCTAGAGATTTAAAATCAATTTTTAATAGCTTAAGTACTTCAGGAATTATCAATATCATGATAGATAAATGGATACAAGTTAGCTTTTGTTTACCACAAAAAGTACATCAAACGCATAAAAAAGGTTTTGTTGTAGATCCTGAAATTATTGATCGTTGTTTAAATAGTTTAAGACCATATCATGGTTTACTACTTTTAACCGAACCAGTGGATCTACTAGACTCATTACCAACAGATCATTCACCTGCTTTATGTCGTCTTATACAAATGTATAATCCATTAAAAAGTTTGCAAACTTTAGCTGCGGATTCAGATCTAACTTTAGCTCAAGTTTTTCAGTTAACTGGGCATTTAGTCTATTGGGCTAAAGCAACTATAATATACCCTTTATGCGAAAGCAATGTTTATGTTGTATCACCAGATACATTATTAACAAATCGTATGCTAGAAGCATTTTCCGAACAATTTTCAGGAATGTGCTTGTTACAGGTATAAATTATAATAATATATATAAATACTATTAATATTAATATATATAAACACAATTTAGAAAAATAATATAAACAGTTCATTATGATTACTGTTAGTGAATATATAGATATTACTACTTAAAAATACAATGTATTATAAAGAAAAATGTAGTATTATATAAAAATTGAAAGTTAGTACTTCAATTTAATTTCGAAATTACTTCTTAATTAAAAATTTTAATTTAGGTCATAAGTGAATTTTCTTTACCAACTTCAATAAGCCAAAAGTTAAATCCATTGAGTCAATCGCAACAACAAACACAATTGGTTAAAATAATAATTTGGCTTTTAAAAAATCACTTACTTCTGCAATTACATACATACATTCAGTATATGCCTACTGTTCATGGACATTCATCAGTTGTACGTAAATATTGTATCAAATAATTTACTTAAAAAAAAAACTTATTGAAATAATTATTTTGTAAAAATATTTTAGTCTAATGTATTTAATGAATTTAGACAAAAATACTATATATGCTTATATATCTTTATAAAAATTTTTAATAACTTACAAACTAACTAAATTACATGAAAAACTAATTATTTCTAATTATTTAAGATTGAATTAAATAAAAATTATGATATGTATTTCAAAAACTTTAAAGAATATAGTTATAAATGAAAATTTTCTACTTATTTATGAATCAAAAGCATTTAAGCACACGATTTTAATTAAAAAAGTATATTAAATGTATATTCAATGTTATGCAGAAAATTGTAGATGCTGTAGATGGTTCTAGTCCTTCAGATGGATTGCGAGATGATTCTACGATAACGCTAGATGATGGTGTATGGAGTTTGAATAATACACCTAAAGGAACACCTAGTGATTCTAAAACAGATATGTCTTTAGACAAAACAGAAGAATTATATTCATATCAAACAGATGGTTATCCATCTGATGACATAATTTTACTTGAAAAACTTTGTCGAATGGGTTATTTTAAAGGTGGACATCACTTGGAAGAAATAATGTATTTAGAAAATATTCGTAGATCCCAATTACTACAAATTTTAGATAAATTTAGAGATGTGTTGATCACATGTGAAAATGAAGATCCAGCAATGGCTCTTTTTTACTCTCATCCAGCTTCTCAATAATGAATACAAAAAATATTATCTTTTATTTAAAGTGTACATATGATTGCATACTTATTATTATTATAATTATTCATATTTTTCTACTTTGCTCTAATACACATGAATTAAATTGAACATTAGAAAAATTAATTTTTTATTATTATAATATAATAGTTTAAATTTGTTAAATTATTTATAAATACTTATTACTAAACCAGTCATTCTAATTTTAAGAAAAAACTAGCAAGTACCTTCATAAGAATTACAAAGAATTTAATTAAAGAGATGATTGCTTATTTTATGTTACCATTATATTTAATACAAGCATTCACACACATATATACAATATAAAAATTTATACGTAGAATGATATCTTTAAATTAATATATGTATCTTAAAAATAGATTTTTTTATTTATTATATTTAGTAAATATCACTAAATTATTAAATTTTTACTCAATGATTCGATTAAATAAACAAATGAAATGTCAAAACTTAATAAAGCTCAAAAATATTTGTAAAATCTGGTATTAAATTATGCATCATTAAAATATAAATTATTATTCACCATTTCAAAAAAACAGAATGAATAAAACATCGATTTATACAAACAGTTTTTCGAAAATTCAATGGATAATATGTAAATTGACTTTGAGATTCAGGTAGACAATAAAATAACATCATAAAATACTCTTTATAAAAAGAAATACGGTTAATACGCAAGCGCACAAGTTTCGAAAAATATGGCGATATGTAACAGCGTCGTCGTCAAGAGAACTTGGTGGCTTATGCAAGATAGAGAAAGAAAATAACACTAGCTAGCGACACGACGAAGACGAATTTACTGTGCATGCACACACCCGCGTACTATATATATATATATATATATATATATATATATATATATATATGGTTGTGGTAAAAACTCACGTATGAATGACAAGGACAAAGCATCAAAAGTACAAAAAAATATAAGGAGAGAGAAAAGAGAGCGCTCAAAAGGAGCAAGAGTGCAACGTAAAAAGGATGGAAAAACTGTGTTGATTGAAAAAGAGAGACAAAGAGAAAGACACGCGCTATCAACGGAAAGAAAGGAAACAGACAAACGGGCAACGAAGAGGGAAACGTGAAACCGCCACCGCCACCGCCACCGCTGCTGCCGCCGCTTCAGTGTGGACCGACGCCATCTAACGTCTGGCATTCTTGTTTTTCCCCCCGCGCAGTCTAATCATTTCTCACTCGAAACTAAGTTTGTACAAAATCATAAACGCGCGTACATAATCCTCTAGCCCCACTGTCAGCTAGCATCTGCTCTAAGTAGGCACAATTCTATAGTTATATTTGTATTCAGCGTCCTCCGTTTTCAGAATTAAACAGAGAGAGAGAGAGAGAGAGAGCGAGAGAGTGACGACCGACAGTCGGGGCCCAACCGTGCGTGTTTGTTGATTCGTCATCGGCACGGCGGCTCGTTAAGAGGCAGTGTAGTGCTATATTGCCAAAGGGTGTCCGCAACCAGTGGAAAATTGGCTCATATTGTTTGAACAGAGCTCAAGCCAAAGTCGCAAAGAGCTTGGAACGGAACCCAAATCAGAATCTCAAGGAAGTTTGAGCAGCGATTCCTCGCGCAGCACAACTTGGATAGAGGAAGCAAACAAACGGCGCACGTACGCGGGTAGAACGCGCGGCCGATGTTATGTCGAAGGCGCGCCGCTTGCAACAATAGTCACCGCCGCTACTGCCGCCGTCCGAATCCTCGGCCTTAAAAGCCTCCCAAAGATTGTTCGTCGACGGCCGCTGCAGGCCTGGACGCAAGGACTCCAGCGCGAGTGATGAGTTGATGCTTAATCGCCGGAGATCGTAATCGTCGTGGTGAAAGTGTAAGAGTGCAAGGGACACGCGGAATAGGCGGTGAGGGAGATAGACTCTTCTTTTTCAGCACACGAGACTACCGCTGCGTTAGTGTAGGTGCGCGCGCGCGCGCCTGTCCGGGGCACGAGGCTTAATGCACCTAGAGGTGAGTTCTACCATACTTTTGTATGATTATAGTCCGTCGAGTGGCGGACATATGCATGTGTGACCCTCTCTTTCTTTCTCCTTTTTTCTCTTTCTTTATCTACTTCTTTTTCTCGGTGTATGTGTGTGCTGAGTACGAGCGCTGGGGCACGGACGTGGGATATGTATAGTGGAGCCCTCGCGGGGGTCAACAGCTCCGGCACTGGGAGAAATACGTTGATAGGTACGCAGCAAACAGGGTGGAGCGCGCCGATTTGGAATTTCAGAAAAATAGACTGCTGTGCATCGAATTGAATAAGAATATAAAAGAAAAACGCGTTATAGACACAGTAAGAACGATTGCACAGCGTATATGAACAATTTTAAGGGACGAGGAAGAAAGAGAAAAAAAGACGGAGTTAGCGCCTGATACATATACCGTCTTTTTCCCTCTTGAATCATGAAGTATAACTTTGCGGTGCGTTTGTATGAGCATATCTCCGATTGCCGCGCGGTCGTCGACAGTAAGAAGTACAACATCTTTCGGAGACTCGTTTAAATTTGCTCAGGTAAACATTTCCTAAGTTAGTGTATCTCTTGCCTACGCTTTCGCAATCTTGGCGCGAACGAGGGTAAAGCAAGGAGTAATGCGCGTACGTGTGTGCGGATATGTGGCTGCGCGCGCGCCGTGCACGTATGGGAATGTGTAGACATATATTGTACCCACTCCTGCAAATATAACCCTATATACACTTTTATGCCACGCTCGCTTTCGCATTTCTCTCTTTCTCTTTTCCGCTAAAGAGAGAAGCAAGTAAGTTGACACGCTACGTACACACATGCATGAGCGACAAGTACTCGTGTGTATACTCGCTACTCATGTCAACTCTATTACCTTTCTTACGAAGTCCACGAAATTTGATTTGTATTATTTACTGGAAAACCATCCTTTCTTCCCCTCACCGCTATTCGTAAATTATCCCCTTTGACCTGACTATGTGCCGGCGGACTCATTTCCTCCCCTATCGCTTCGTATTGGTGTCGGTGCTCTCACTCTTCTCTTGCACTTGTTTGTCTATCTTCCTAATTATTCCTTCCTGTGACTTCCCCTCTCTACCGTTCTCCCTCACTCCCTCTCTCCCTCCCTCCCTCACTTTTTCTTTCTCTTCGTCTGGGACGCGCGCACTGTTTCTTTCTTTCTCATTCTCTAACCTTTTGTCCTGTGCTCGTATTTCGCGACTCTATATCCCTTCTCTCTTCACCTCTCCTTCATCCTTTACTTAATTTTTGAACGATTTCTCTTCATCTCCCGCTGTATCTTTCCCGCCTATTGTACTACTACGGGCGGCAGCACCGATAACACCAACCTCTCGGCTAGGCTAACATTACAACCCTAGGGGTCAGGCAGACGCGAAATTCACGCTTCCATCCGTGCACTTGCACATTAAACCTACATAGTAACACAGGTTCAATTGCGAGATCATCGCATACGTGAGCGCGTTACTACTTGCGCTTGTACGAGCGCAAAACGCTAGGTTTATTACTGATGCTTTGTAGGTTTTGTGTCCCATCCGAAGTGACAAAGAAATAAGCAATTGTTGAGTGAATTAGGAACTGAAATAAATTATCATAGATTTTGAGATAAATAAGAAGTGTTGTTTTAAAGAGCTTATTACTTATTTTTTATCATGTAACCAAGAGTATTTGATTTATGTTTCGATAAATATTTAATTTTGTTAATTTACATGTTAAATGTTAAGAAGAGTATATTGAATATAATAAAATATTTTTTATATATAAAACATTAGTTATAATATTCATTGATTATTAAAAATAAATAAAACTAAAAATGAAGAGAGGATTAATTCGCTATTATTATTCTTTTATTTCTTTTAATTTATTAAATAGATTAAAATTTTGTTATATTAAAATCATATATAATGTGTATAATCATAATATTACATTATATATATATATCCATATCCATAATGTTGGTTTACATAAGCATAAAAAAACTTATGTTTATACATATCATAGGTGACAAATGCATACACAAATATATAGATAATAATATAATTGATGTAATACTTATTGAAAATTACATACTTTTTTTAACATAAAAATCTTCTGTTTTGTAGGCATATAATTCATAAAAATATACCTTTATATTTATTTGAATCACTTATATATAGACTTTTATTGTTAATATTCATATTTATTATTTTATCAAAATATATATCAATTTCTATATATTTCTGTAACAATTAAATTATTAAATTAGTACCAGCATATTTTACAATATATTAAAATACAAAGGAAAATTTTGGGTAATACTACTTGAATTTAAGTAAATATTTTAAATCCATGTTACATTAAATTACATAATTTAAAGTTGAATTCTCATTTCTAATTGATTATTTTTAAAATAATTATTTATAATAAACTTTAATATGAGTATCATTTGTATAAACTATATTATATAAAATACTTATTGATGACAGATTAAAGATGAAAAGATATAAATTACAAATTATCTATTACTAGATTTTGAATATATAAGAAAATGAAACTTTCTTTTAGGTTCACAACTGGTAAAGGATAAAAGTTACTGCAGGTTAGCAAAACCAATTATTTGCAAACTATAAATTCTGAATGATCTGCAGCTGAGGGCTGCCCAAATTTTGGCTTTGAAAAGAGCCAAAAGCAACCACAAAGGTCACATAGGACATGAGTGCACCAGCTATAAAGTCATCCATGCCTGGAGTAGGGACACCTACTGCATCTACTGGCCATACCATGTTGCCAATGAACATGGTAGCCCAGAAAGTGGTGCCATCCACTGATCAGGCAAGCAGTGGCATGAAGCCACTGCAAGGTACCAATCTCAATTATGTGACGCTACAGCCAGCCAGTCAACCCCTTAGTTTGATTCAAGAACATCGAGCACCTACTTACCAGACACCTTTTTCCAATAACATTCCAACTGAGCAACAACAACAGCCACCACCACAGCCACAATCACAAGTGCAGCCACAACCACAGCCGCAACAACAGCCACAGTCACAGCCACAACTGTTACATAAAGAGTTAGAACAGCAACAGGATCTTAACAAGCTTGTACAAAATGGCACAGAGCTACCAAAGGTAATTTTATTTCTGTGCAGTAAAAATTTGATTAAAAATTCACTTAAAAATTTTATAATTATAATTTTTTTAAATATAGTTATACATTTAATTACTAGAAACTACTAAAATCTATAGAAGAATTTTAAATAAAATAATTAATATTTCATACATACTTTTTCATTAAATATTTTGTAAAGAAAAATTTGAGCTTCTCAGTTATTTTTTTATATATAGTTTCCAGTATATTTACATTATTACATACATATTATTACATAATTTGACACGAGCTTTTTATGTATTATGCATTTATGTAAATATGCAACAGTCTTTATTGAACCTTAAAATTTTTAATATAAAATTAAACTTATAAAATAGTTTTATTTAAATTTTAATCATTAAAAAAAAATTAGTATTTGACTAGTTATTTGTTCCATGTTTTATTGATTGTTATTGTCAAAATTAATTAATTTGGTATTACTATAGAAATGAATTCAAAATACTTTTTTACAGATCGAAAAGGACAAACAGGAAAATCTTGGATCAGCTATACCTATTTCAACAGCCCCAATTGTTAGTGCTGCGTTACCAACTACAGTTTCATTACCAATAGTGGTGCCAGCTATTCCCATTAACGTCTCATCCGTTCCTATAGTGAGCAATATTATAAACACCACATCAGTACCACCTATTCTGCCTGCAGTCGTAGTCACAGTACCAATGACAACTTCCCCAGTCAAACTACCGATGGAGCAACCAAAAGTCAATAGCTCTAATGTAGACGGACCTATCATTGAGCGACATCAGGAGCCAGAAATTACGCCGAAATCAAAGGATGAGTCTACTCAAGGGAAATCAGATAATCAAGGTATGCATTCTGCCTACTTCATTTTGTATAGATAATTTAATTATATCTGTCATCGATTTCTATTACAAATAATTTATAATGTTTGGATAATGCTAACAATATAATTGTGTACAGATTTTCATATATAATATGAAATAAAGTTTATTTTATCTAATTATAACAAATTTTTTATCATTAAAAAAAAAATTTTTCAATTTACTATTATACTTGCATAAACTGATTTAAACAAAATAATTTAAAGATTTATCATTTTATGAAACAATACAGTCAGCAAGTTAATGATTTGAAAATATTCGTGATAATTCTATGTATAGTAAAATGAATACAACTAAAATTATAAATATTGTATTAAAAGTATTGAATTTGCATTAATTAAAAGAAAAAATGTTAAATTTAGTGCCAGCACCAATTGTACAAAATAAAGAAGAAAATAAGTCTCCCATAAGCACTCCACCAAAAGAAGACACTACTTTGGTTTGTACGTCACCACAAAAAATATCATTAACACCAGTATCATCGTATAAATCTGAAGAGAGTTCACCTAAAACAGAATCTCCTTTGCAAAAATCACAGAAAATGGCGACAGTAAAATCCCCCGAAATTCTCGAAAAGATAGATATCAAGGAAACTAAAATACCAGTATCACGACCTGCCAAGAGAAAATCACGAGAATTAAAAGAACCTAAAAACACAAGCTCAGAAGGTGGCCCAAGATCGAAAAGAAATAGAGTTCAGACGACTCCGTATCAAAGTCCATTACCCGAGATTGCGATGATAGTAAAAAATTTGTCTAAACCATCGCCTAAGGGTTCTGATGACAAGCTTATTGTATTTTACAAGTTCGTATATTTTTTACTTTAAAAATAGATATTCTTTATATTTGAAAAAATTATTTGTTGTACTCAAGAAGTACTTACAGAAGTTATATACTAATGTATTTTGATACTGTAAGAAGTTTTAATCACTGAAAAAATAAATTTATTTTTAACTATTACATTTTTTTATTAAAAAATTAACATAATATTTGTTTAGGAATGAATTTTTAGCTGTAAGAAATACGGAAGGAAGCTTCTATGTTTGTCAAGCAATGCAAAACATTTACAAATCTAGTAAACGTATTCGTATTCGTTGGCTTTGCCAAGATAAAAATAATGGTGAAATATATTCTCCAGATTTTTACGACTTTACAGGTACATTAAAGTATTATTTATTATTATTATTGTTATTGTTATTAAACAATTTTTTTATCAAATAATAAATAATGGTTTCTAGATTTTGACTGTATATTGACAAATCTGAATTTAAACAAAGTCGAAAAGAACAAATACCAATTGACCAAATATGAATTATTAAGAACAGAAAATATTTTGAAAAGAGCTATTGACGTTGAAGCTGGTGTTTCAGAAAAACCACGGGTGACTGAAGAACATCCTGATGGTTGTGAGTATTATGTACTATTATTAGCATTGTTAGAGTATTGATAGTTTAATAAATTTAATTATTATATAATTGTAATGAAAATTTTATTTGAAATACATAAAAAATATTTTTATAACATTGGTTATTAGTAAAGCCTACAAATATAAAGTTAATTATGTGCTGTAAATTAAAAAGTGGCCTTAGAACAATTCTTTAAATTGTCATACATCTTATAATCAATGGAAAATTTAAATATAATTTAAATATAATATATATAAAAGCTATCTATAACAACCTTTATTTGTTATAGTGGACTTATCATTATATAAAGACGAAGCACAATTGAAGAAGAGAAAAGGAAAAGGAAAGACTGGCAAAAGTAGTAAAGGAAAACGCCAACGTAAGAAGAGTAACAAAGAATCTAGCGACTCCGATGGAGATGGAGATGAAGATGATTCAGAAGAAAATGAAAATGGCGATGATTCAAATGACAGTTCTTCCGATGTCGAATCACTTGAAAAAAAATCATCCCCATCGAATTCTCGCAAAGGAAGTCAGATAAAAAAACGGTCGGGTAACAAAACTGCAATTGTACAGACCTCTGTAGCATTGAAGGGTCCAAGTAGAGCCGAGCGAGCTCTTAATAGAAGCAAGGGCCCAGTTGGACCCAGCACTTCCGCCGCACTGAGTAGTACTTCCGCATTTGTTTCAAGTAATAAAAAATCACCCGAATTGAAAAAGACTGCTGAATTGAAGAAAGTCGTCACCAAATTACCCGTAAGCAGCACTGCTAGTACACCAACACAATCTAGAGCAAAACCACGCGGTAAGTGGAATGATTAATGAAAGTAACTTATGTTTCACATAAAAATGTATTAAAAGAAAATTTTGTATTTACTTAATTTTGTATTAATTTCAAATTAAAGCCTTAACAAAAACATTATTACGTGATTCATAAAAATTCAATAATTATTTGTTGTTAAATTAATAAAACTGAACGTTTCTATTTTATAATGCATCTTGATGGTCATTAAAAAATATTTATAACAAAGTTGTTAATATAAGTTTCTTATTTATCTTCCAAGTAGGTGCTGCAGCATCTGCATCGACACAAGATCCCAAGACAACCAGCCGCCCTAAGCGGGTGGCTAGTACCACAACAATCCCATCGTCATCGAATGAAGATAGCTCGACTCGTAAAAAACCGCGTGGTCGTGCATAAAGCGACCTTACACTCACCTTAACTACGCGTTATGCGTACAACAGCGTCTGCATCGTAGGTAACATCTATACGTCGTGCGAGGATTTAAAAATTAAATATATGCAATTGGAAAAGCGAGATTAAAAGGGAATTAAAAGTAGTGAATAACCTACCTCTCTTTCGAGTACTTGAAAAATAAAGGAAAAATGAGCTATTTAATTTGTTGACACTCGTGTTTTTTAATAATAAAAAAAATTAATAAATGACTGTCCAATATAGAGTGTACATAAAATAAAAATCAAGAAAATAATTTCGCACTACTTATGTAAAATCTACTGCGATTAGGATTGTGAAGCGATGCAAATGAAGTTGGTTCAAAAGTGTCCAAATAAAGTGAAGGTACGCTTTCCTACGAGCAGCGGAACAATTGACAGGGTGTGTCACGCATGAATGCATACTTTGGCGATAGTCTATTTTTGATGTTGTAAGTGAATCGTGTATAATTCGATCGGGCTGAAACATACATTTTTTCATCAGATATGATAATACCCATGTACAAATATTATATGTATGTGTCTGTTGGGGATATGTGAATTATATTCTGTAAAACAGAAAACGCAAAAATGCGTTAAAATAAGAAGAGATGATAAATCATTTTTAAATAATTGAAGACCTGGAAGTTTAACAGCCCATTAGATTTGAAGACTCGACTGTAGGTGTATTGCTACGTACAAAGGTGGTTGACAGCGAAATAATTCGATGAAAACTGTATCATCGAATTAATATTAATGGATTAAGTATTTGACTTCAAATTTTTTTCTCTTAAGATGGGCTAAGCAAAGCCAAGTTAATTTACTTGTAATCCTTTTAAGGGTTTATAATTGTGTTTGCAGTCGTATGTCATATTAATTCTATGAATAAATATATTTAGTGTAAAATTCTATCCAGGTCGAAAATAATTAAATTTACAAATGCAATCTATATTCAGAGTATCTGCGTTTCTCAAGGCGTATTTCATCGCTTGATCTGGAAAGCTTAGATGATCTCTGCACTGGTGCCGCGTATAATTTAGCCACTTTTACATTATCAACTTTAGATAAAACTGCTAGTAGACTCAATAAAATTTGAGTCAAATGTATAGATTTATTTTACCTTTGTACTTGTCTACTTTTGTCCAAGGAAAAAACAGAGTGTATATTTACCACAAAAACAAAAATAAATAGCACTTAGTCTACGTTTCGAATCTAAATAATGATTTGTTAAATGTAGCCAATGTTATTATTTCAGAATGTATTCATATCAACATAATTATGATCTTGTGAATAATTTTGAAAATAAAAATAACTACAATAGATGATTGTAATTGATTTCAAAGGAATTTTAAATAGGTACGGATAAATTAAGCCATTTTTTCTTAAGAACATTTTAATATTATGCTAAAAGCCGCAGTGATTTTTTTATACAATTATGAATCACTTAGTCACTGACAGAATTTTCGTAGAATATAATATATCTTTACATAGTAAACATTGTTCGATTTCACAGCAGCTATCGAAAATAGATGGTCCAGTGAAACCTTACTTCCATGAATTTTTATGAATAAAAAAAAAAAATAAATAAATAAAATTATTAGCAATAAAAAAACTCATTCTTTCAACATTTACAGTGTCGCGCGACTCTATGAATATAAACGAATCCAACTTTTTATAAATTCTCCATACATATTTAACAACATAAACTTATTAGAAAATATATTATCACCATAAAACAATTAACGAGTTTCATAAATTGTGCATTATGTATTTTGAATATTATAAATGTACTTGATTGATAGAGATACTTGTATATATAACAAGTTTATGATAAAGGATTTATCATAATAAAATTGTTATCAATAATTTTATTTCGAACTATAAAATAAATTTAACTAATATTTTAAAATGTAATATTGCATACAATAACTTCTTAAATAATCTTTGTTTATTTTTTTAATTTAAACCTCATACGTTCATATAACGATGAATATTTTATTATCTTATTTTTAATTTATAAATCTTTACTATTTTTTACAGAAAATAAAAATTTTCGTTAATATGGTGAAATTATGATTTAAATTAAAGAAATCTAAATATAGGGCAAAACGTGATTTATTAACGCATTGCCCAATACAGTCGAAGGCACGCGTGAATCTTGATTCACTCAAATCGTAGCTCAAATTTGTTCTTGCGAAATTAATTCAACTGCTCAATATTCATTAAACCTTGAAGCAAACTTATTTCCTTACATATACCTTGGAACTAGAATATTTCATTGAAAATACGTAGGTTTTTACATGAACTTAATTTTGTATATTTATTTTTTTTTTACTAAAAAAAATTAAACTTGAATATTAATAAATAGTCATGGATATAAATTATGAATAACAAATAAGTATATTACAATACATTGGAAATTAATAAGTGGCATCAGATTTTTTTTTTTACAAATTACTTATTGCACATTGTATAAAAAGTAAACTATTTGAATAACAAATAAGAGACAGAGAGAAATGATAGAATAATAATAATTACAAATATTTAAGAATAAGGTATAAATTTATTATTGGGAAAGAAATACCTTCACACCTTCAGAATGTAAATAACCGCAATTTTACTGATTATAAATTGAACTTTAATATACAAAATAGAAAGTTAATAATTATATCCAGTATTTAATTTAAAAACTTATTAACAATTAGTATGTTAATTAATTACTTATAGTATCTCTCTCTTGCTCTTAAATGTGTATTATATTTCTTTTCTCTTATCGGTGTATTAATATCCCAAGTATTTCATAAGATATATCAACATACTATAAATTGCTATTTTCATAATTAGAAATTTTCAAATTTTCCAAATAATAAATCGCAACTACATCGTACAATGATTATTCAAAATTAAAACAGTATTGGAATTTGAAACAATTTTGTTATTAAACAAGAAAATATAATTATAGTTTTAATTTAAAATTACTTACTTTATAATTAGAAAACATTTCACGTAAATACCTAATGAACAATCAACAAACAGGACATGTCATCAATTTGTGGTTAAGGTCAATAACATTATATTTAAAATTGTTAAATCATTACATTATCAAAATAATATGAAACTGCAATTTAAAATAATTAATGAACTTTTAATTCCTTATCATATATCGTACAAATCAGAATATTGTACAGTTTCAACGCAGATATATATTTCGATGTATTTATTAAAAGTGCATTTTAAGAAACAAATTAAATTAAATTTGATAAGATTCATTGATACAAAATGCATAGTAACATGTAACGAAAAGCATTCCTTCTAATATTTTTTATAAAATTTATTAGAAAAAGGTTTTCTCTTAAATTTTACGAACCAAATAGAATCTATCGAAAAAGTAAGTTCCAATTAAATTTCATTACTATAAAATAAAAATATATAATTTAATCCTCTAAATAATACCGTATATTACGTATTATATATAAGTATACCGTATATTACGTATAGATGTAATATACGGTTGTATCAAGATGACATCAAACTTTCTCATACGTATGAATATATGTTAAAAAGAATGCTAAATAAAATTAATGAAGTACAATTGTGTCGTTCCAGAAATAGGACAGACTTTTAACACTTTGAAACTTCAAACAAGAAAAATTTCTGATTATAACTGAATTGAATATGCAAATTTCCAATTCAGATTCAATGCCTTTTAGATTGTACATAAGAATTATGTAAAGTTACAGTTAAGATCTCAAAATATTGAACATATTTGTTTTCTCATATTTTACAATATAACATAAAGATTACTTAGAGAAAAAAATTATAGATGATTTTAATAATAAAAGTATAATAAGAAGAAATACTGATAGACAAAGACTCATCCGTTTACTTTAATTACTAGTTAAAAAAAAAAAAAAAATCAATTATCACAATATTTTATATGCAAAAATAAATATTAAGTAACATTGAAAGAATTTTGGTATATATGAAATGAAACAAATACTATACTATAATTATGAAATGCAAATACTGCTTATTATAGCAAAGAACATCTTCTTAAGAAAATAAACCCTTAAGGACTCAAATATCAAATTTACCGAATATGATAAAACACAAATTTTATAGATAATAAATATACTTTATAGATAAAAATTCATTGTTATACCCTTCTATCACATGAAAACATCATAGTTAATATTTAAAGAATAACCATTATAATTGTAGCTCATTACATAGATATTCTCAATTACGATATGACAAATAAAATGAGTTAATGACATGTAATGATTTAGCACATTTTAAACATACAAGAAAACTTAGGTATTTAACTATAATCACTAATTATAATATATAGAAAACAAAAGAAAAGAGATGTTTCCAAACTTAATAATTCAAACTAATGTAAAAAATTAATTTTTTCCAAAAACTAATTATTTGTAAGTATACAGGTTATTGTATCTTAATAGTGTTTAAAGATAGCAACTGAATGCATGTAAGTACTTTTTTTTATATTAAAATAAAAATACAAATAAGAAAATTACTACAAAGATCGAGAATGAAATTTTTGCAGGAATATTCTAGCACAACTTAGAAAAACTTCCTTTCATTTGTAGCAAATATAAGGATATAAAGTAGAAAACATACTTATCAATGTGGATGACTTGTAAAGAAACAAAAACACTAAAAATTAAGGTAAATAGAACATCTTGTTTAAATAACTTACTTGGACTTGGATATTATAATTACCAAATTACAATAAAAATTCATGAATCTGCTCTGCTTTATATGCCAACATATTAATCTTATTAAAACGAGAATCTAAATAATAATTTGAAAGTAGTTATCTAATACAATATTCTTTTAAAATAATATATATTGATTTATACAGACTTATATCTCTTAATCCAGTTATCACCTTAACCAAAATGTGATTAAAAATGACCATTGTTTTCAATGAAATTTTTTGATCAAGCATATCAACAAATAACTGCTACAGTTGAAATATCTCGTCCTGCTCTTTTTGTAGCCTCTGCAATGACGTTTTCACTCTTCTACCTTGTGTCATCACTACTGCTGATGGTAAGTTCTTTATGTCACCAGAAGAAGAAGGCCGTTGGTTCTCAACTGAAGTCAAATGAGAATTTGAAATAACTGGATGAGAATTACGCAACCTAGCTGTAGCTCTTCGTCTTTGTATATATGTATCATCTGATTCTCTAAAAAATCTGTTTAAAATTAATTCATTACATTTAAAAATGACATTATAATACATAACATAGAAGTATAACATTTAATATATCATTGGTAACATATTTTCATCTTAATTTTTAATGGAAAATTACTATTTGTTTATTTCAATATATTTTCAATTACAAAATTTTTTTTAACAAACTAATATAAAACTTCATTTATTAATATTTTTTAAAATTATTAACATTGTAATTTTATTATATATTATTTTTTTATTCTTATTGTAACTCTTATATAGAACATTGTTTTTGTCAATGACAATCTTTTTTATTACAATATTCAAAAATATTTATTACATTGAAATACTATTATGAGTCTCAGTTTAGTAATGTAAATTTACACTATTTTTATATTTTATATAAAATAATTATATATTACCTATACGTTTATGTGATTAATTATAAGTAATATTTATTATTGATTACCATGTACAATAATAAACTGAACTGCATACTTAGAATTTTCCAATCTTATAATTTAAATAATGTCGTTTAATTGTTGTTTTAATTTATTTTCAATTATTGAATAAAATAACAGAAAGATAAATTATTTGTAAAAGTATTATTATTTATTTATTTAGTTTTTATCTTTATTATTTAATAAATGTATTACAATATACTATTTTTATTTATTATTTAAAGTTTATATTATTTACATGTAAGTAAATATACTAAAGTCAGTAATGAACAAATTATATTAACACGATTTTAAAATTGTCTTAACAAATGAAATGAGCAACAAAATAATAAAATAAGTAGTAAAAGAAAGATTTTAAATGACAATCTATTGAAATAGGTTATTCTCAAATTTATAACTTACTCACTACTGCCTTGTACTTTCTTCATTTCTTTTTTTACACTTGCTATAGAGAAATCCATTTTTGCTAGAAAGTCATTAATAGAAGAATTTTCATCATCAACATGAGAAGACACTGCAGATGGACTAGAAACCTAATAATAAAAATATTTTAGAATATTCTGAATTATTTAACATTTTAATTGATAAACATTATTTAAATTTAAAAAATACGGTTTACGTTATTATTACTGCTTAAATTTTCAGAAATGGAGATAACTGTACTTGTACTAGATAACCGATTATCAATATTAACTGGAATTAGCAAATGTTCCCTTAAAAATAAACTGTCTGAAGCCCAAAGCTTATTTACCCTTCGAATTTGTTCAGTCTGAAAAATAAGAATTAAATGATAAATTTTTAATTTATAAATATAGCAAAATTGTTCACAAAATCCTTAAATTTAAAAATAAGCACCAATAATAAATACAAATTGAAGTAATAAAAAAAATTAAATTTTAAATAATTCAGTTAGAATTATAATTAATACATCAATTCAAAAGTTAATTAATTCTGTTTTAATTAGACAGTATAAATTATATATAAATATACTTATAATTAAATGGGATAGTATATAAACAATATTCAATGCAAAATCAATACAAGTGTGAATTTAGTAAACAAAGATTGTTTTATAATATTGGTCCTTAAAAAATTAATAATAAACTAATTATAATAAAAAAATATAATTATAGAAAATGTTAAAGCTTAAAAAAAAATAGAATAAACACTCAAAATCAGTCAACATTGATTCCTCGATGTTATTCTAAATATTGACTCAATACAGAAAAAAAACTAAACGTAAGATTTGCAATAACGTTATAATTAATATTGTATATATATAACATAATGAATATATAAAAACTACTCATGAATAAAAATAATGAACTGATGACCCAAATCAACGTAAAAATCAATCAACAATCTATTAAAAAGAAATTTATCACTAAACGAAGCGTAAAAACTCGACATAACGTAGAGAATGTGGCAAGGTCAAAACAAATAAATTTCATGTAAAATATAAATATAAAAAAAAGGTTGCTAAAAATGAAATGAATCACAAGGTTCGAGATAGTAATTATAGTTAATACCGTAACACCGTATCTCAGCGCAATGCCTTGGAGAGTATCAGTCTTAGATACGAGGTGTTTAAACATAGTCTCCCTTGTCACGTGCCTGGCCGTACTACCATATCTCTTGGGAGCTCTGCCCGTATCTCGTATGGATCTCCGCGCTTCCATTTCGTCGCCGCCGCCATTCCATTGAACTTCATCCATCTACGGCCGTCTGGACAATGCCAATGCACGGCCGTAACAACACCTAAAGGACAAGCTAAACGCCGTCCTTTCGCACACGACTCCTCGGACGTAATGATTGTTAATTAATTCATCCGTTGATTGTGACACTCCCTACTTATCTCGGATCGTTTTCGCTCTTCTCCTGTAATCACTTATTCGCACAAGTTGTTTGCTCACGCTTGTCGTTTGTTTCTGACTGCTACTCATGCGCCCGCGCATGCCTATATAATACCGTAGATTCGATAATTCTTTCTACCTCATGAAACTCATTCTACAATGTCGCCAACCAAACTCGACTAAACTTTCGACTTTGATTTTCAATTATATGCTATAGAATATCCATCTTATTTCGTTCATGTTTATACAACTTGTATCTATGTAATAATTCAAACTTATCCAGCGTAAATGTTTATCTAAGGAAAAATATGAAAAGTCACGAATATCCCAAAAATTCTTATACTTAACTGGCTCTTATAATCAATCAATAATACATAATAAACTCTTATAATACATCAATATAAATACTACTTGATTACGTGCAAACATTTGCAGGAAATTTAATGTATTCAATTACTGATTAAAATTAATTCTTATACAGCTATTTCATATTCAAATATAATCTATTTTATTTTTATCATGTCATAATTAATATTATTTATATATTCTTTTATTTCTTATTATTCGTTTGTAGTTTGAAAAGATTTCATATGCTTTAATTTTCTAATCAATTTATTGTCAAAACATATATCAGTTACGGCTTTATCTGGTTATCTAAAAAATATTGATGATATGGATATCACCATTTAGGTAGATATTAGCCTACAACATAATATTAAATATTTTAGTGCATTATTTTAAATACCAACCATAATATTATGATTATTAATACTTACAATTGTAAATAAAATCATTGATGTGATGTTATTTATAATTAAAATATATTCGAAATATATTACAATCGAATTAAAATAATGACTATATATATATAGCTTACTCTCCGAAACTAATCGATAATCTAAATGTTGGAAAAAAACATATTTGTATATAATTATATTACATGAAATATTGTTATACAATTAAAATTATTTATAATTCCTATACCAAACTATTAAATATATCCATTCATTGAAAAGTATTAAAATTAATAAATGTATATTTTGAGCTAAAAATATTTATACTTAGATTATTAATATTTATTAATGTAAATAAAAGCTAGTATTAACTAGTGTTAGTTTTTTTAGGGTTTGGAAATTGAAAACATCAACTTAATTTAAAGAAATTTGAAGAGTTTTTACGAGTCTAATATTTTTTAATATTTAAAACCGTTATTCCCTATATGAAGTACAAAGTAGCTTTTAACAATTCTTTAATGAATCCTTAAATGTATATATAATTAATAAATGACATATATAATTATATCAATATAATTTTTCAATAAAAAATTAAGAATTTACATTACCAATGTACATAAATGATTTATTTGTATATATTTCAATAATACTATTGTTTAATGGACACAACGTACATCTAACTCCCATTAATTTAACCTTCATTTTTTTAGACAATTATTCTATACTCAAACTAATTAATTAAATATAAATAAAACTTAATAAATAAAGCGTAATTAGTTTTTATTGTAATTAATTGGTTGTTTTATCATTTAGAAACAAATACAGTATTTCTGAATTGGCAGAGTGCTTATCTCCTTTGTTCTCATTTTATTATTTCATATTATTTATTTAAAACTTCATAATCATTTCAAAAATACATTCAATGAAACTAATAACTGTAATAAAAGCACATTTTTATTGTTATTCCAGAATAAAAGTATAAGTTGTATAAATATATAAAGTATAAGTTCCAATTATTTTATTCCTCAATTTATAAGTTATTAAACCTTAATTTTGCATATTTAATAATGTAATGTTTAAACATTGAACTTTCTTTCGTGCTTCAATATATAAATTAATATTTATAAAAACTTAATACACTACAAAATTCGCCAGATAATATATTTACATAATTTTTCAAACAAAAACTTTTACTGTTATAAAATCTAGAATAATTATTTTTAAAAATTATATAACGGACTTTGGACATATCATTATTTCATTTTTATTTCTTTACGCTTTTAATAATATTTCATACAATATCAAATTATATTTCTGGGCGATGAAGTTACATATACGTGTGTTAAAATACTCTATCGTTTAGCTTGCTTGCATGTAATAATATTGGTCTTTAAGATTCTTATTTTTAAATCTAGGCTTTTATTTTATGCTTAATATATTTTAGAATATTATAATATCAACTCATTTTTAAATTAAATAATACGTTTTTTTATAAATTTAATGTTATTAGAAAACGCTTATAAAATAGTTTAATATTTCATAATGGGGACTTAATTTATAACAACAATAATTTTATAACAATAATTTGAAAATAATTTGTTACATAATTTCTAAATAATTTGAAATATAAACTATGAAGTATTTTAAAGTGCAACGGAAAATTAAATAACTTCTACTTTTTTCAATTCTGTATTTAGGTTTGGAGATTTCTATTTTATTAATAATATTTTTGTGGAATTTACAAAAATTTGTTTTAAAAAAGATAATCTATTCACTATATATCAAATAACGAAAAAAATACGGTTCAGACAATTTCCAGAAAAAACTATAAATTTAATATTAAAATAAATTCTACATTTTACGTAATGAAATTTGTGTTTACTTGTAATGAATAAATTGTTCAATTATGCACCTGTATGAATGATGTATAAAAAAATTCGGTTGTATAATATAATTCTTGTTTTTAAATTTATAATGTACTATCATATAAATACAATTTTTCATTTTCAGTTTATGTAAATTCCTGTAACATATTCTAGAGTACAAAATTACATCCTAAACAAAATCAATAAAAATCGGAATTGATGCAATTAACAAATCAAAACTCAGTCAAATAAAAATATGTATAAATAAATTCAATATATTCAATATATAAAATGCGTATTCAATATATAAAAATAAATTCAAAATAAATTAAATTTTATTTCAATAAAATTTTTTTATTATATGATATTAATTTTATTGATTTATATGATATTATTATATGAATTTTTATATATAATATAAGAAAAATTATATTTTCACGCAAAATTAATTTTAAAATGTATTTTTTATTATGTTTTTGCAATTATTTTGACTATATATATGGATATTGATTACTTGAGAATTTTGAATTTTTAGTCTTTGTGTACATTAAATATGTACTGGATAAAATATTAATAAGTTTTTCAATACTTTATAATAAAATGAAATTTAAAATTATTAAAAGACAAGATTTAATACCAAATACCAGTCGTTATCTTTTGTAAGAAATTTTTTTAATATTGATTTTATAATTAAACTAATATGGAACTAAAAATTCTGAAACTTATAAAAAAACATTGAATTATTTCAACTGATTATGTATTTCATAATAAGTTAATAGAACATGAAATAATTGATTTAATTTTTTAAATTAAATTAATTATTATTAGTACATAACAAATACTGTAGTACACAATCTAATAATGTTAAACGATTACGTAGCAACAGTGGCTCCAACTAGTCAATACACTCCATTTATTTTCTGTAGAAAATTAAATAAGTTTATTTTCATTTCTTATACATGATTGTGAAGTATATAGTTTTGTACAGATTACCGTATAGTTTGTTAATAATTATGCCAACAAAATTGAAGCAAAGTAAAAATATTTAATAAGAATTAAATCGTTTAGCAATAGACAATGACAGACAAATAAAGTTGACAAAAAAAAAAAATGCATGTTACATTTTTACATCCAGACTTGGGTATCGGTGGCGCAGAAAGGTTAGTTGTGGATGCAGCTCTTGCACTCAAGGAAAATGGCCAATATGTTGACTTCGTTACAACACATCATGATCCTAATCACTGTTTCACTGAAACTAAGGATGGCACTTTCAAGGTTACCGTCGTCGGTGATTGGCTACCACGACACATTTTTGGCAAATTTTTTGCTTTTTGCGCCTATGTAAGAATGGTAAATGAAAAAACACTGAAATATTGTAAAAAGAATGATTGAATATGAATTAATTCTTACTCATTTAATGGTCTTCTCAAAATTGAAAATAATAAAATTCTATTTTATTCCAAGTACTATAAATAATCGACATGCTTTTTTAAAAATATGTTATTATTAAATATTAAATATATTATCATTAAACTTAGGAAAAAATATATTTATTTTACATGTTGAACAGTCATTGATAAATTATCAATTTAGTAATAATGGTTAAACTTTTAAATATAATTTTTTATTCATTTTAAAGTATTTGATGTACTCGATATAAATCACTTGCTTTTATATTCCAATATTTATTTTTGCAGATATGGGCAGCCCTGTACATTATTTTCCAAGCTAATCATCCAGATATTGTTTTCTGTGATTTAGTTTCTATATGTATTCCATTTCTCAAGTTATGTATACCAGTGGTTATTTTTTACTGCCATCATCCTGATCAACTTTTAACATCTTCTGAAAGCCGATTAAAAAAATTTTATCGTCTACCACTTAACTTTTTTGAAGAAATTACAACTGGATTAGCTGACAAAATATTTGTTAATAGTTTGTATACCAAATCTGTATATAAACAAACTTTTAGAAGACTTAATGCTGATTTTACAGAAGTGTTATATCCATCAATAAATACATCTTTTTTTGATCAAGTATATATATTTCCATTAGAAAGGATATTAGATAAGAGATTTAATTCAGATACTTGCTTTTTACTTTCAATTAATCGGTATGAACGTAAAAAAGAGCTTTCTATAGCAATTAAAGCCTTAGCTGATTTAAAGAAATATTTAAGTTTAGAAGAATATGCAAATGTATACTTAATTATGGCTGGTGGCTATGATAAAAGAGTTGAAGAAAATGTTGAGTATTATCTTGAATTGATTGGATTAGCTGATGAATTGGGAGTTACAGAAAAAGTATTCTTTTTGCGATCTCCAACAGATGCAGAGAAAGTTTCAATTCTTGTAAATTGTGATATATTAATATATACACCACCTAATGAACATTTTGGAATAGTGCCATTAGAGGCTATGTATGTTTCTAAACCTGTTATCGCTCATAATTCTGGAGGCCCCAAAGAATCCATTATTAATAATGTTACTGGTTATCTTGTAGAAAAGTCAACCTTTTCAGAAAAATTATCAATTTTAGTTAAAAATAAGTCCCTTAGATTGCAATTTGGAGCAGCTGGAAAAAAATATTTTATAGACAAATTTAGCTTTAAAAAATTTAGCAATTGTCTAATTTCGTCAATACTTGATACATACATTAACAAAAACCAGTAATTTACGAGAAAGGTAATTTCTGAAAAAATTTTACAAATTATTTTTTTTATTTTTTTTTTATTGAGTGTTCTATCACAAATAAATGGAATTTAAACAAACAAATAAATAAATAGTTGACCCTTTATTCACGAAAATATCCTAATTAGATACCAAGTCAAAAGAACATTCATATTTATTACCGCTTGGGGCCAACATCTGTGTCGAGAGCTAAAATTAAAAACATTGATATAGTATTTAATAACTTGGATTACAAAACATATCTTAAGGATTATTATTAAACTTACTCTTTCCATCACATGCAACTATTTTAACTTTATCAACAATAGCAACTTCTTGTACTTCTCTAAATTCTACATCGTTAAGCATAAATGTCCATACATTATCACAAAATCTATATGTATTCAATTTACCAGCCTAAAATATAAATTAGCATATATAATTTATAATAAAAATATTTCTTTGATTAAATAACCCAGCCAATATAGATGCACAGTTTTCTATACGATAAAAAAGTTTTATTACAGAATAAACAATATATGATGTGTAATGTTAACATTTTCATTACTATTAAAATTATTGTGCAATTAAGTTTATTAAAAAAAATATATATATATATATATATATATATATATATATATATACATACATCTCTTTTTAAAAGCATCTACATTCATAGGTTAAATTAATATACATCCCAACTGTTCTTTACTCTAAAGCTAAGTCTTGATTTGACTCTTGTTGCTAATGCTTGATTTATAGCTTTATCAAATTGTAATAATACTTTGACTGCTAATCCAGGTGTAATTTGACCATACTGAAACATTGTATATCTCTATGTTAGTTAATTTTTTAGTCAATTATGATATTAAAAGGTTATTTAAAAACAGTGTAAACAAAATAACCTATCTTAACAATTGAAAGAAAAAACAGAATCTATACTTACTTGAATTAATTCATCCAGACTTTCTTGTAAAGTGTTTCCTAAAGTTGTATTTCTATACAATTGATAAGACATTTTTAAGATTTTTAAAAAATAAAAATAAATATAAAATTTAATTATACTGTACGAAAAAATATAATTATGAAAGTTCACATATGTGCAGCAAGTTATATTACATATACAATACACAACACTTTATATTCCACTAGAGGGCAGCACAATGAAAAGATAAAAAATCAATATAGCAAATACTATTGCAAGTGAAATGCAATAAAAAGTTCCCTTTAATATAAAAAAAACTGTAAAATATATTTAATCATTCAAATTCAATTATTTGTATTAAATTATTTTCTTGCATTAAAACTTGATGAAAATAAAAATTAATTTCATTTGTGAACGACCTTTTATTTACTATATATTTGTATTCTATACATCATGATCTGTCATAGGACTTATCATAAGTAAAAATACAACTGAGTATTTTAACATTTTAACGCTCGTTATTTTTTTAATGCCACGATATTCTAATTTTAATAAGATACGTGATAAGCAACTATAGCTGAACAGCATGCTGTAATAATAGATGTATTTAATCTGTTCTTAAGTCATTAAAAAATAAAATAGTATTACCTTTTCTAAATATTTCTATTTTTATAAAATAAAAAAGAACATACGTATATATACACGCATATATGCATGCAGACATATATGTATATTCTATATTTTACCTAAATATACAATTTAATTAATTGTACACATGTATACTTTAAACTCTTATTAAATTTAATGTGTCTCACAATAAAAATATGAATATAAGACAAATATATAAGTAAAATATTATTATAAAATAACTTTTGAAATCATAATGAATAACCATAATGAAAAACATTCAAAAATAGATAAATTTAAGATCTGAGATATTTATATTTATAATATTGTTTTTAGATTTTTAAAAAACATTTTGAGTAATACATTCAATAAAAAAAATATAAGCTCTTTTATTAAATTTAATTGGGAGTTCATCATTTTATTTGTACCATAATTTTTACGTTTGCTTGTAAAAACAATTAATATTATTAATAATAAATATTTAATAAAATTTAGATAAGATACTGAGTGCTTTTTTATATACTAAATCAATATGATTTGTGTCTATTAAAAAGATATTGATAATTATTTAGTTAATATTTAATTAATGTTAAAGTGTAGAAATAAATATCTTCTCTTGTATTAACTCAACTTAGCTATATAATAGGGTTGTTTTTGTGAAAGGTGACCTTAACCAAATTTATACTATACATTGTCTAAAAAGCTGTGTCACCTTTCACCACAGTTACCCAATTTATTTTAATAGCATACGTATAGACGATTTAAAACTTAATTAAAATTCTGCAACTTCTTAGTATCACCGATGTGGAGTATCCACTTTCGAATATGTTATTCTAATAGGTGGTGGAACATATTCTCCACAATTACACTTTTTTGGACTGACAAAATCAAAAGAACCAATTCTCGCATGACAAAGAGGACAGTACAACTTGCCCCTAATCCAATTTTCCTAAAAAGAATGAAAACATTGAAATAATATTTATAATCTGATAATACCTGATAATATATAAGGTGAATAAGATAAATATAGCAACTTTATAACTGACCAAATTTACAAAAACAATTTAACTCTTAATAAATATTAATTAATATAAAAAATAAAAAAAAAATTAATAAAAGAGCACTGATATTTTTCATTTATATTGGATTGTAAAGTTAAAATTTCATTAAAAATCTCTTTTATATTGAATGGAAAATAATATTTTTATTATTTATCTAAAAGTTTATATGAATAAATATATTGTATTAAAGTACTTGTAATATTTATAAATAATGCAGTTATGACATGTTTATAATTAAGATTTGTAAGTTTTTTTTTAAGATGGTTGTAAATATAATTAATATTCATTGTTATTCCTTTGGGTAAAAAATAAAATAAATATTTTTTTCTATAAATTGTAATTGTCCAAGATTATTTATAAATACCTTTGTTTAAAACTAACTAGATTTTTTCAATTTAATACATTAAACATGTTAAAATATATTTGAAAAATAATTATTAAATTTAATTTTCATCAAAATCATTTTTAATTTCTGTAAATTACTATAATTATAATGATTAGGTTATATGTTAAATATTCATTACATTTAATTTTATATAAACTGAAATCTGCAGAAAAAAGTTTTATAAGCTTAATAACATTTCCAAGTATTTATAAATATATATGCATGGACAATTAAATAGCACAAACCAAAGTACTTGAAATTAAATAATTTAAGGCAATAACATCTAATAATGACATCTTATAATAATAATAACAATAATTGTGTTGTCTAGAAATATAACATTTATAGATGATACATCGTTGTTAGAAGAAAAAAATATAACGAAGAAAAGAATTGACAGGATTGAACTGTAGTAACTAGTGAATAGAATATACATAAGGCGATGAAATAACAAGAACCGATGGGTGTAATGCTGGACGTAGCAATACAAAACTAATTGAAGAGGTACATTTATAAAATCGTTCGTACCCGATCGACAACTTCATGAATCCAGTCGGGCATATTGTCCTCCGCGAGGTACAAGCAGTCTTCCTGCACATCGCTGTTGCACTTTGTATTCCTGGCCCCGGCGCCAATCACCTGTCCATGAGCCGTCAAGGACGGCGAGACCTCCTCCGTGAAGAGTAGATTGCGACAACGCTTGCACTTGATTTCCGTGATCTGCGAACAATTGAAACAGAGCATTGTAGCATAGCCCACGTAAATACGCAGTTGGAATGCGTCAATTTAGTGTCGCGCAGTCCACATTCCAAAGCCTCCTCGATTAATCAGTCGCTTTGGGGACCTTTAATGGAGTCTTCTGCTTGCGCGATTACCTTAAGAGAGTAAAGGAAAGTAATACAAGGAGCAGGAGTTGTTAATGTGGTTGGAGGTCCAAAAAGGTCGAAAAACGAAGAGCCAACGCGCGCGCGCCTTCCTACGCAACAGCATACATAGCCTACTTTATAGACTCACTTTGGCGGGCATTTCGATGAACAAAAGCTGTTCGTGGACTATATATTATTAGCAACAGCTCACGCAACAAGAGCATCTACTGGATGTTCATGACAAACTGAAGCGGACGATCCAGCGATACTGGAACTGTACACAAGATTTGAGACAATATGAGCAGCTGCAGAAAAAGATACACTCACAGTTCCAACTACGCAATAACAGTAGCGCTCGCGCAACTACTGTTTCTGGTCATTGGCGCAGTCAGCCGATAAACTATAAAACTCTGGTAACCTTCCTCCTCTCCTACATCGCTCGGAGCCACAGAACTCACAATATTGAAACGGTGGTTGGCGCACGAGTGACGCCACGGAGCCGATTAAATGAAAAAGAGACGGAGGAGGAGGAGCAGAAAGAAAAGGAGGAAGAGGTGATCGTAGAGGAGGATCGGCGAAAGTCAAATCGCAATCCCCTCTACATAGCCGTACACAACAGCTGCTGCTGATGCGTCGAATTACGGCGCGCTGGATTTCAATCTTGTTTACGTTCAGTTGCAATGCCAGGAACATCGAAACAAGCCAAATTAAGTCGTACTGAGAGCAGCATCTACGCCACGCTCTGGATCATCGCCGTTTTTTACTCCATTTATTGCTTTTATTCATCGCCCGAGACGCGTAAGTTCCTTCCGTTACATGTGTCGTATTATCGTCGATGTCGCTTCCGAGACATTACATCTCACGCTGAATTTGCGTCCGTCTGCTCTTATAGACATCTTAGTTTTCGGCTACGTGACTCCACCGATCTTCCCCATTCTGAAAGTGCCTGCTGATTTTGAGATTTTTTCTATTTGAAAACTTTTTTTTCACCTTGGTTAAAAGTACTATTTAAAAATGTCGACTACGCGCTAGTCCCACGACTGCGGCGCACATTGAAAGAACATTGTTGCAGCAAATAATTTTATTATTTGAGAAAAAAGAAATTCGAAGTGTTTCAACTCATTTGTTCAACGGCAAACGAAGCTATTAACATTGACTATTATAGATTTCAAAATCAATCCATCAACATTTTTTATTTTAAATTATTCACTTGTCACTTAATAATTATTTCATTTTAAAATAAAATAAACTTCTTATCGTTTATTTTTCTATTTGCACGTTGTAAACTTATATGAATTTTTTACGAGTTTAACGTTAAGCATAATCGTAAAATTAATTTTACGTGGTTTCTTTTGATTGTTTTCTATATATTTTAATTAGTAATAAAAACTTGAATTACACGCCACAGATAAAACATTAAATCTATAACAATTTCCAAATAAATTAAAAGTACTATCCTTGTGTTTGTTGGAAATTTTAATAAATACAAAAAGGAAAGACGTTTCTTAGCCGTTGAAATATTTACAAATTCCATTTATCTCTAAAATTAAATAAATTTACTAATATATTTCTTAATATAATTAATTATCTTTTACCATATATAATTAAATCGCTGTTTCTGATTAAATTATTAAAAATTCAAAGCTACATATATTTATAAATCGTAAATTAATCATTTATTCAAGTTGCTGCCGCTTTGATCAACTTTACATATATATTAACAGTGATATTGGCCAACGTGATTACATTGAATAAACGACTATTAATCTAAATATATTTATATTTTGAATTATCATCGTATTTACATTTACCTTTTAACATTTACCTTTTAATATATTAACAATCTACAAGTCTGATTTCATTAGTGCTTTTTTTAAATTACACTTGCACCAATTTATCTTTTTCCAAATATATAATATTTAACATTTTACACTTGTTATTATTATTATTGTTATTCTTATATTTGTTTTATATTAAATAGAATTTATTAATTATGTTGATACTTACAATGACTTCAAACCTGGATGGTCATTTCTCAATCGAAAAATTGATGTTTCTGATGAAGAGTGGAGATTGTGGATACCTCTTATTTACAAACTTATTCCTTGGATTATTGTACATATTTTTATAAGTCAATATTTAAAATACCTTTGTAGTGATACGGTAATAAAAAAAATATTTATAAAACTAAAAGATTTTAAAAATATTTTAATAATATTTTTAAATCTATTGTTATCATTTATAAAAAAATGAATTATTTTTATTTGTAGGCCGTAATATACATTTGGTATATTTTAATATCAATTTTATTTTTATGGAACTACTTTGGATTATTAAGTACATTATGTACACTCCTGCTACCATGTATATCGTGTTTATTGACTTCACTTCAAAGTAAATCACTTTCTTGGCTTATACATTCCATAACGTTAGTTATTATAAATTGGGCAAAAGTGTCAGATGTTATTTTTATGGAATGGTTATTGCTCACAGCCGAGCATCATTATATATTGACAACAGCTATCTGTTGGATTCAACTTAGAAGTATTAGCTATAGTATAGATAGCATTGGAATGTATAAACACATTGATACATGTGGATTTTTTAAGGATTTGCTTAAAAATATAGCATACTGTTTATATTTACCGACTCTCTTCTTAGGTCCAGTTATTCTTTACCAACAGTTTACTGATGGTGTAAGTTTTTATTTCTTAAATTAATAAAAATTTATTATAAAATATTTGAAAACAATGCTTTCAGTATACAAAAATATATTTACAATTGAAATACAAAAAATCGTTTTAAAAATTTTAAATACTATTTTAGATTAGTTTATTAATAATTCTTATTAAAAAATCTAAAAAACATATTGCTCAAAGTTCACAATTGTACACTAAGTATTAATTATTTAATTAAAAAAAAAAGCTTTAATTAAAATCTAAAATTTTTATGATTTACTTTACTTTGAAAGTTAACTTAATTTGGTTAAAATATATTATGAATGGCATTTCATATTTACTCTACATTTTACAGATTGATAAACCATTTACAGCATGGAACAAGACAAAAATAATTACGACAGTTTATAATGTAATGCGTTACTCATTTTGGATACTTTTTACGAATATTTGTTTACACTATTTATATTTTAACGCATTGCTATTTCATGGACATATTGTAGCAGAACTTAGTCCATGGGCTTTTTATGGACTTGGTTATTGTATGGGGCAATATTTTTTAAATAAATATGTTGTAGTCTATGGAGTCGTATCAATTGTATGTAAAGCTGAAGACATTGAAGCACCTGTTCAACCAAAATGCATTGGTCGAATCCATTTATATTCTGATATGTGGAAACATTTTGATAGAGGATTATATAAATTTCTTTTGAAGTAATTAAAAGTCTTTAACTCCATGTTTTACTTTTTACAATAATTATACTAACAATATTTTTCGTAGGTATATTTACATTCCGTGTAATCCAAAATCGTCTTATGGAAAATTTTTTGCTTCAGCTTTATGTTTTGCATTTATATTTCTGTGGCATGGTTTGAATTTTCCCATTTTCATTTGGGCATTTTTAAATTTTTTAGGTCTTTTGCTAGAAAATATAGTGAAATCTACAAGCGCATATTTTTTTGAAAAAATTTTACATAATAGTTTAAGCCCTCAAAATAAAAGAAGACTGGAATGTATACTAATAAGCCCTCTATTAGCATTTTCTGCCATTGCAAACTTTTATTTCTTAGCTGGAGATCAAATTGGAAATATGTATATATGGAGAATTATAAAAGGTAACTTGTATTTCGTTTAAAAAGTATAAATTATTAAAAACGTTTAAAAAATATATTTAAAATTTTCTATTTTTACAGATTCTTGGCAAATTAATTTTATATTATTATTTATCTTATACTGCTGCTGCCAGACATGTATAGAAATTAAACAAATAGAACAGATGAATTCTTTAAAAAGTAGAAAGGATATTGAAATCAAAATGTACAAGAAATTAAGTAATTTTTAAGATTTATAGATATAAGTACAAAATATGTATAAAAATACAATGACTACATACACTTTTTATGATAAAAAGCTATAAATCGATATATGTATGCAGAGTACGATATCCTACAATTTCTTAATTATTAATGCATAAGTGACTTAAATAAATCTATTCATACAATGTTCTTTTTATATTAAGAATGCTGTAATTATTACTAATTGGTTTCACAATTGCTTTTTGTTAGAATAAGGCACATTCTGTGTATTGTAAAGCTTTAAATTTTCTTGCGATCATAATCACATGAAGGAATGGAATTAAGCACACTGGCAAAACAGTAAGGAAAACTCCTCATCTTATTTCGTTTTGAAATGAATAGAAAAATTTTGCTTGAGAATAATGCATAACTTACAATATATATGGATATTAATTATCAAATTCGTTGCTTCAATATTTGGCAATAGATCAATATAATCTGAAGTTTATATACATTTTTAGTATGTTTCTATAATTTTCTTGTTTCCAACACTGATATATTTTTTACATTTATTATTTATCGAAGCATTTTTAAAGATTTACATATGAAAAATTGATACCATTCAAGTTAACTTATTTTTCCAGATTCCTGGAATTGGAAGACAAATTTGAGCAATTTAAATGGAATAAAACAAATGATGAAATTGAAATGAGCCGATTATTTAATATTTAGCTACATTAATAATGCAAATGAAATGTATCATGTTAGAAATTATTTTGAATAATAATTATAAACACATTTTGTCTGGTACATTGTATAAATGTTAACTTATAGAAAACTTACTAAATCTTCTGAATACAGCTTCATTATAAAATGGACAGATATCTTGCAAAATTATTTGTAGAATTATAATTACATATCAATATTCAATAACAAAAATTGTATTGTATCGCTTACTTATTCAGCTGGTACAGCTATTACAGGTAGCGATTTTGATCCTTCAATAATAGCATTATCTAATTCTAAGACATTATTTTCATCACTGGCTAAAAGCAAAATAGTATGCTGCTTTCCATTTTGTAATAAATTGATACTTTGAGTTTTATTTCCAAGTAAAGAAATCTTGCTATTTTTTAGTAACTGTAATGTCGTCGTACCTCTATTATCGCATACTTTTACTTGACATGGTATTATTTTTAATGTTTGCTCATCAGAATTCGTATCAATTTCTATTATATTATCGGTTTGAGTAGAATTAGATGTAGAAATTAATTCTTTAAATTCTGAATCAGCAACTTCATGAGAAGTTATTATTTGTTCATCATCTAATACAAATACATTATTTTCAGGCTCTGCCTTTACTGTAAAAATAGGATCTATTGTTTCGTTATAATTATCAGTACACTCTTGATATTCAACAATTGCTTCTTCTCGACTATCAAACTGTTTTACATTATTTGTTAGATTTGTGTTAACACTCTGTTCATTAGAAAATTGAATTGTATCTTCTGTATATACGGAATCTTGTGCATAGTTATAATTTTCAAAATGTAAAGTGCCATTTGAGTCAGTTTGTGCAATGACTACTTCATTATTTTCAAAATTATTTTCTATTTCAGTCTCGTTTAAATCAGTCTTTATCTGCGATTTATTTTGAATTTCGTTGTAATTTTCCTCAGTTGCTATATTGGTTTGATTGTGATACATCCATATAGTATTATCAATACATTGTTGGACCTTACTTTCCCTTGTGCTATTACATGCTTGTTGCTGTTCCCAAGTGAATTCTTGATTCTCTGATTGATCCAATATAGCATCAGTTGCATTTATGACTTCATTTGATACATTTTCACATATATCCTGTTTTTTTCGACGATTTTTAGTTCTTACTTTTTTTGAATCTTCTTCTGAGAGATGTAATAATTCACCAGTTATTGTGAGGACTTTACCATGACGTGTTTTCAAGTGACGTTTGTAAGTATTTCGTGTTTTAAATCTGGAAAAATCAATTAAGTAATATATTTAAATTTGAAGTTCGTAAATATTTTAAATTTAAATAATACTGAAATTGTGAATATAATTTAATTTCATATAAAATTTAATAGCACTACGTAATTTTTATTAAATTGATAAAAAATATATCGTACAAAGATAAAATAAATACAAATTATACTTAAAAAATAAATTAAAAATTTAAGTACTTTTAAATAATTTAATAAAAAGTATTGATTTATTTTAAAACAGTAAAATCCAATGCTTAAAATATATGAAATACAAATTTAATGAATATAATAAATATATCCTGTAAATATCATGAAACGATTACAAATAAATTATCCACTTTTGAATATTGTAATTTTTAAATCTAATCCCGTTTAATACTTCATTTGCAATTATATTTTTATTAATGCATATATATTTATATACAATATGTGTCTTATTAAAATTACGTTAAATTTAAGTTTATTTTATCAAATTGAAATTTTTAAAATTAACAAATATATTATTGAGTAGGTTTATACATTATATTAATTTCATGAAAACTTTTAAATTAAATTATTTGTATATCAAACAATTATTTCGTCACATAATATATTTCTCCTTGTTACTTTCACTATACTATAATTTTTCATAAAAAGTTTGCATAAAAAGTATTATTATTATTTATTTCAAAAATTTATAATATTAAAACTAATAATATTAATCACCTTTGCCCACAATCATCACAACCGAAAGGTGCTTCTCCAGTGTGTCTTCTGCGATGCTCTCGAAAGTGCGACGGATGTCTAAATTTTTTTCCACAATCAGCGCATGTAAAACGAGTTTGATTTTGATGTATTAACATATGATACTTGAGACTATGTCTCCGTGTAAAAACTGCTCTACAAATTCGACATTCATATGGCTTAATTCCAGCATGACTACGATAATGTGATACTAAAGTTGTGGGAGCAGTAAAACTACGAGGTGGATCACAAATACGACATTGTAAATTGTTTCCAGTTGGATTGCCTTTCTTTCGAATTTTTTCAATTAATATAAGTGCCATTTCTCTTTCTTCTTTACTAGTGCCAATAAATTTCGCTTTTCCCTTAGGTTTCGCAGGCACAAAAGCATCTGGGACAGTATATGATTCTTCTTTCCAAAGTGTCATATCTAATTAAGTAATAAGTGTTACTTTTACAATAATTTAACAAATCATTATGAATTATTAACGAATTATGATTAAATGAGAATTAATTTAATTTCAATCAAGTGATAGTAATTATATAATAAAAATATTATATTATATATGTAAGAAAAGCTATTTTAATAATGAAGAATAAGATTTTTCATAGATAATTTACTCATCTATAAAAGAAAATATTAAAGTTTAAAAAAGTTAAATGAATATTCAATGTTTAATAAAAAAAAAGTAATATATCGTATCAATGTTTTATAAGGAACTTTATTATTATTCAACTGTCCTTGGTATAATAGAAAAATTAATCGTTAATACTAAAGATCTTTAAAATAATTAGATAAAAATTTCGATTTAAACTCTAAACAAATAAAAACTCTTACTTTCTATTTCATTATTTTCTGCAGTTGTGTGGTTAGAAGTATTTTCTGTGGTGTTATGAAGATCTTTTACACAAACGCCATTACTCTCAACTACCATTAACATGATCTAAAAATTATAAATAGAGCATTTAAGTATTATGTAATAAAGTTTTCTCTTCCTTCTCTTCTCATTGTATCTGAAAATCGGGCTTAATGTTTCTATTCCAAACCTAATTTTCACATGTGAACTACTGATTTTGCCATTTTTATTTTAAAAATATACTCACATTTTCATTACTCAATGAATTGACAGGTACTTTGTTAACAGTAGATGTAGATTGTTCGTTTATATTTTCGTCTTTAATATGTTCGTAATAACTATGATCTCCCAAGACTTTAACGTCTGATACTTCTTTTTTCACATCAAATACATGTGAATCTCGCAGGTCGCTAACTTTATCTTGATCTGTATTATTTTCTAATTCTTTTAAATTTAATTCATTAGACAGTATTTTACGTAAATAATTAGTTGATTTTCCTACTTTAATATCTTTATTTTCTTTATTTAGAGTTTCTTTATGAGGTTTCTTGGTCTGTTGAATTTTAGCTTTCTTATTTTGTACAGTAGATTTTGGTTTAGCATATTTTACAGCTGATGCTGTAAAAGAAGCATCTGAAAATGAAATAATATTAAATTAATAATAAGGATTTGTAGTAGATTATTCTATATAATTTTAAACTATAAACTACTTATTCTTCAAAAGATATATAATGTAATTTAAAATGGTTTTACTAACTATCTAGTATCTTCGTGTAATTAAACTCTTATTAAATTTTTTACAATAATATGTATTCATTAAAAAACTATATAAAGATATAAACTAATAATTGCATTCAACTCAATGTTATTTCATTACTTAGAAATTCAATTCTACTATAAATTTTGTAATACAGTATTGCACTCACAAGTCTCTGCATTATTTTTCAAAAAATCTAAATGATCTGCAAGGTGAGACTTAATAGACATTCTAGCTCTGCCTTCACTGGCAAAACTAGTATAATTTTGACCACATCCTGGTACTAATGCACATGAGTAGGAGTATTGTTTTCTAAGTTCATCACTGCTGAACACTGAAAACAGTTTGACCAATTGAGTAGCTGGCATAGACAGCAGCTGTGTAACATTAAAAGTGATTTGCTGACTCTTGCGCTTTATTTCTTTCTGCTTTATATTCTTGGTGTCTAATTCACTAAGCTTTTTTTCCGAATGTAATGTCTGGGATGCCACCTCGGCTAGCATATCCAGTAAGGCTCCTGGACTATCTCTTCCCATATCGTCTAAAATGAAAAATATGAATTAAAAATATTGGCTAATATTTTTAAGAAACCAAAACGATCCAATGAAGTAATGTTATAAAGAAATTGTAATATGATATTAGAAATAAAGGGATATATATGTAGTAAAATTGGATAATAAAAATTATTATTATTGACAGATAAATAAAATACTGATTAACACTTGAAAAATATATAAAATATTGTTCATTCTTACGACAGATGGTAAAATGTATCAATGAAACTAATGAAATACAGTAAAAACAAGAGAAACTTGAAAGAATGAAAGAAATTAAAATAAAAATCCACACATATTAAAAAAAGGTGAAGACCGATAAAAAGTAAGAAAATAATAAGGAATAGTGACAATGATCCTAGGTCATAAAAGCTTAAGGTAAAATGACTTAGATACGGAAAAATTGGTTCTTATGGTGAAATGGTTGATGCCAAGTGTGGTGGAAAAAATTCATGTCCACTTGTTGCTCTCTACATTGCCGGCTAGAGTACGACATTTGTGCAAGAGACATTAATTACGGCGTTCAAACGCGTATCTACGATTCGTATATACATAAATATATATATATATATATAACGCTTCTCGCGCGCGGGCCGCGCACGTCAAGACATGCGTCCAATATTCCCGGGTTAAAGTCCTTTATTAAGGGAAGCAAAAGACGAGCTGTCTCCTCGCCTCGAAAGAGAAGGAAGAACGGTGGCGCATCCCCTCGACTCACAAGCCAAAGAAAATTCCAACGACGATGGTGCATCCCCCATCGCGGCTTTTCTTTTTCTCATTTTGTTTTCCGTGAGCTAGCAATTACCACGATGGCAGCTGCAACGATTAATACAACTGATGATCGCTCCGACACGTAGCGAAGTCACTGCGGATCGGTGGCTTGCGCTAAGTTTCTCGTCTCGTCATAGAACTTTAAAAACAAAGTATAACAGGCGCTCTCGATTTTTGCGGTGTGTCTCACTGAGAAAATTTCTTGAACGCCCTTTGACATTTTGCGCTTACGGGGCCAAGCGGTGGTGGTAGTGTAATACAAATTACAGAACCAAAAGGGACGATCATGACCGCCGTGGCAGCGGCATCAAACTAGCAGACGCCATCGCGAGGACGCGCAGCAGACGGATTTTCGAGTCCTGGTCGTCTTGCAGCGCGCGGCGAACCCCCCGAGGGCCGCTGGCCATGGCGATGGCGACGTTGGCTATGGCAATGGTGATGATCATAACGATGGTTATGATGATGATCATGATAATGATCACGACGACGACGACGGACGATGATGATGATTACGATGATGATGATAATGATGGTGATGATGTAGTTTTGTTATACACGGTACCCATAAACCGCAGGAGTAACGAAGAAGAGCGCGCTAACTTACCTCTCTCGTAGCTGTACGTTGGCACACAGTCGACGCCAATCTTCGTGCTCATCCTAGCTAAACCAAGGAGACCCAGAAACCCCTCTAAAAACTTTCTTTAAACTGTAAGCTGAAATAAAAACAGCCCGCTCTTCTAAGAGTTACGCAGCGACATATCGTCAGCACATAAATCTATAGCGTGTTCTCTGTTCCTCGATGCGGTGAACTTGCCTCTCTCTTTCCCCCGTCTACTCTTTATTTCTTTCTGTTGCGCTTTATGCGTTCTCCTCTCTCTCCCACGTGCGCACACGAGCGTTCGTTCTGTCCTTATCTTATTCTCACTTATGTCGGCTGCGCGTCCATTCAACACAAGCGTTAGCGAGTTTGCCACCACCAGGAAAAACGGGGAAACGACGACGACGACGACGACGACGACGACGACGACGACGACGACGACGACGACGACGACGACGACGACGACGACGACGACGACGACGACGACGACGACGACGACGACGACGACGACGACGACGACGACGACGACGACGACGACGACGACGACGACGACGACGACGACGACGACGACGACGACGACGACGACGACGACGACGACGACGACGACGACGACGACGACGACGACGACGACGACGACGACGACGACGACGACGACGACGACGACGACGACGACGACGACGACGACGACGACGACGACGACGACGACGACGACGACGACGACGACGACGACGACGACGACGACGACGACGACGACGACGACGACGACGACGACGACGACGACGACGACGACGACGACGACGACGACGACGACGACGACGACGACGACGACGACGACGACGACGACGACGACGACGACGACGACGACGACGACGACGACGACGACGACGACGACGACGACGACGACGACGACGACGACGACGACGACGACGACGACGACGACGACGACGACGACGACGACGACGACGACGACGACGACAACTTTTATGCGTCGCTATTAAGAAAGAGAGAACAAACTTGCGCAGACGCTGTTCGCCTCACTCTCGTTTTGTAAACTTCTAAACTTGTGTATCTACTGCTGTTATGCGCTCTGTTACTGCGCGCTGAATCTCCGGAGAATTAATATTTATGCGAATAAATTAGTTTTAATAAAATAATTGATTTTACATATTGAATGGCATCTTTTTCGTAATATATTTACAGAAGTAAACTCCAAAATAATAATGTTCATCCAATCTTTACTTGCAAAAATGTTCAATTATTTTTACATTTTTTATAGAAACATTCTGTTCTGCAATAGCGGCCATGATTTTTCGAACTTTCATTCGTTTACTAAAGTATATTTGTTTCTAAACGATAAATCGTTTGGATATGTTAATCTAAATTGATATTGAATATTAATATTTTAAGAATATTTAATTTTTTAATAAAATAATGAAAGTTCTAACTTTAACGATTATTTACGTGATCCTTACAATGTAAATATAAATAAATCTTAATTAAATCTCATTCAATAAATTTACTTTTTAGTTTAATTACAGTTGTATTAATGAATTCATTTATGTATAAATATATATAGTTAAAGTTGCAAATGTAACTTATTTAAAGTACATCTTCAAAGTAATGGAATTAATTTTATTAATTTAATTTAAACAAACGTACATTTAAAATTTTAATTATAATAACTTTAGTTATACTATTTATATTTTTAAGATAAAAATTATTATTAAAAAATGATTTATTGCAGTCAATTTAATTAAAAATAATATATCTTTAATTTTACATACATTGGAATTAGAATTAAATTTTTTTAATTTGTTTTAGAAAATGAAAATATAATGTCAACTAAATTTACATACTATTTTCTTACTTGTTCTCCATATGATCATGGAGTTAAGTTTGTTATGTATTTTTTCTTATTTGGCTACAAATGCTATAAATTGCAATTATACGTGTTTATTTGCGACAGGATTTTCTTTCTTTTTCTCTTGTTCTTTTTTGTAGTAACGAAACGATTGAAGCGCCTCTTTTCCGAAGATTCTCAATACATCACCATACAGATAAACATTTCTATTTTAATTATGAAAAACTCAATTATAATCTTTATTATTTAATTGTTGAAGATGATTTACCTTTTTTTGTTATATATTAAATCCCAAAGTAATTTTGAAATATCGTGATAACTGCAATAATTTAGATACAGTTTATATTAAGATATATTTATTTCAATTATAATAAAGTTTTCCTTAAATGTAACTAGTATAAACTAATAAATTATAAACAGTTAGTAACATTCATGGTTCTATAAATGTTTAACTATACTATACATTAAATACATAAGAATTTTATTGATAATCCTTTATCATAAAATAATGATTTATATTTAATATTTGTTTTATTATGCCATATTTATATTAATTACATAAATAGATAAAACATATTATTCGATTAGAATTATTTAAAATAATCAACATAATAACGAAATTCTTTAATTTTTTACTTCATTGCAACAATAGATAAAAAATAAAAAACAATAGATAAGTAAACGTGAATTAAAATATTTGATCATTTATTTATAATTACATATAAAAATTTATGTTATTTAATATAGGAAATTATTAACAATATAATACATATAATACAATTAATAAATATAATACAAATTTAATTTCCGAATTAAAGTATAAACATGTAAAATACATATAAAACATAACATTAAAATTTGAGTAAAATATATAATTAACATATAAATAAAATATAAAATAATATAAACTATATTATCTAGTTAATGTATAATGATCAGAACATAACAAATAAAATATTTGTACTTATATTGTATAATTTCCATATACTTTGTTTCTGCCGTACATAGTACTTAGTTTAGTTTTATCAAAGTAGAGAAAACGTAACTTTTATCTTAAAAGTAACATTATCTTTTACCTTTGAATAGACTGTATTTTATGTAGCATTTAAGAATATAAAGTAAAGGCTAATACTCAAATATAAAATAGCATTCTATTTGCCAGTTAAAGTTAAATAAACTTGCTTAATCCTCTAATATAACCTAAGTGATTTTAAGGTTCTTATTGAATTTTAAAAATTTTGTAATTAAATGAAGTTGTCACAATTTTTATGTAAACATCATATAGGGCGACAAATTAGACAATTATGGTATATTCAAGGGAAAAAAAAACCTTTAGATTTTAATACGGAAAGTAAACTAACATCACAAGGAGTACATATTGAAGACGCTTTAGAAGTTACAAATAATTTAAGAAAACTGAAGTATTATTACTTAATAATATTTATAAAATATTTGTAATTAAAAATTTAACACATTATTATTAATTTTTAACGATTTTTTCAGTATTAAAGTCTGTAATTTTTCTGACCAAGTTGCTCCTATTAAAGTTGATACTCATCCATATTTTAATAACGAACCATGTTTTTTGTATGAAGATAATGATTTGTTAGTAAAAGGCCTTACTCAAGCCCAAAAAATTACGAATACAATTGTTTTTGATACACTTCCTGAATCTATAGAATCTATAACACAAGACCTTTCAGACAAAACCAATGATTCTGTAAAAAGGTATAGTGTTGTAAATATAAATGTACAAATATTTAACTTTATTATAAATTAAATATAATGAATCAAATATACTAAAAAAAATTAATTATATTATTAATTAATTAAGTTTATATATTTTTGTAATATTAATAATAATAATTAAATAGATTACATTGATAAAAATGTTAATGAATTTAATTTATTTCGCATCAATAAGGATAATAGTTTAAAAATCAGTATAGACAAAAATTTTTACAAAAAATTATCAAAGAATCATATATAAAAAAGAATATAGTTTATTATAATCAAATAAATAACATATCAAAATTTTCATAGCTTTAAAACTATATTAATAATTTATGAGATGAAGATTTAATATTTTAAGAATTATATTTGTTTTAGAATAATACAATCTTCTATTATATTTGATGCACATCAGCAATTATTGCCAAAATTAAAAGATCCAGATAGACCTGCTTTTAATTTTCCACGAAAATTTGGTATAACCAATAACAGAAAAACGTAAATTATTTAAAACTTTTTTAAAATTTTCCATTGATAATACATATATACTACTACTTCATGATTTATTTTTGTACAGATCAAATTTAAACAAAAAATTTATTCAACTTTGTAATTGCTTAAGTGGATCAAATATTGGCAATAGCAGAAGTATTATGGATGATGCATTTTTGTGTGTACCCTTTGGTATGTTGTCATAACAATCTAATTTTATTAGAATATTTAAAATATTTTGAATATTTTATAAATAAAAATAATTTTAGATAAGGATTTTCACAAATTTAAATTTTCATTAACAATAGACATTATGTTAATGTCAAAAAATATCTTGAGACCAGTCAGAAAACTTGATACAGAATATGAATCTATGACCTTACCGACAATTTATCCATTACAATATTTAATTGGTTTAACGAAAAGTCAGATATACGAATTTAAAAACTTGTATCGTATGTATTAATTTGATCAAATGCATGATTATATTCATATTTATTCTTTAAATAATGTTAGTTTAAGAATTTATATTTTGAAATGTAAATTATTATTTGTATCTATATTTACATTTTTTTAAAGATCTTAGAATCTTGTATAAAATAATAATATAAAAATTCGAATTATTGATATAAAATACGAATTAGATAATAAAATAAATCAAGGTAATATCATTTAATTATTTTAATTAAAGATTTTTATCACTTTTACGATGTGATTGATATTAATTTTTGTGTTAATTATAACAAAATCAATATTAAGAAAATATAAACTCTAAGTTCTGCTTGTTATTTAAAAGTATATATAATTATAATACGAGATATAAAATTGTATTATAAAGGTATTTATAATTTATAATACAATTAACAATATTAACTAATAAATAAAAGTAATAATATTAACATTTAATTTTATTAGCATAAATGTATAAAATTTATACAAATTATATATATATATATATATATATATATATATATATATATATAATGTTCCTGTTTATTAAAAGAGTATTAATTAAAAAAATTAATTATATTAATAGACAAAGGGGAGAAAAGTAAATATTTAAAATTGCTTTTATATAATAAAGAGATAAAATCTTAAAGACAGACATTATTTTAATATTTTTTATTCCTTATTTAAATAATTTAGTGGATTAATTCTTAGACTTTTTTCAGCATTTATTTCAGAATATAATAAAAAATATATACATACAATTTTTATATACTATGATAGTACTAAAGTTAAAAATCTAACAGAATTAGAAATAGAAGAAACACAGATATTTGGTAGAGCTCTTATCAAAGCATTTACAGCAGCGGCTAGTACTGCCAGACAAAGATATGGTGCTAATGTGAAAACCCTTCCTGAGCCAATAACTGTACAGTGTATTCATACTGATAGTAAAGCATATTATTTTTCAGTGTATCAGCTTAATACTTTAGATATTAATGGTGAAAAAGGGATTAAAAATTATTGTTGGGCCTTACCAAAATTAAATTTATACGATCTAGCTGATTATGTTCAAGGTATACCTACTCTAGAAGGTTATAATCCAGATGTGTTCAAAAGAATACTTGCCTTTTACAAGAATCAATAAATTTTATTTGATTAAATATATTTTTTTATTTGTATTTATTTCTTGGCCTTTTTAAAAAACTTTATATAAACTGTACACCCAAGAATAGCTATTTCCAGCAATATAATTAGTATTAAAACCAATTTATTTGTCAATATTCTTTTTTTCATAGTAATTAAAATTTTGTTAGATTTATTTAATTCTTGATCAGTTTCAATTATTCTTGACTTTGTACGAAGTAAAGATTCTCTTTGTTCCCCTAACTCTGAAATTACTTCAGTTCCAATTTGCTCTGTTTGTATCGATATAGCTTGTGATTTTGCAACAGATTGGTTTGATCGTTCAATAGCGGCACGACTATCTAAAAGAACACGCTGCTGAGCAAACTGATCACTATTCATTTTTACAATATTAATGTTTCTATATATAAATATTAAATATAAATATATTATTTCTCATATATTTTTTTAGCAACATACTACATGTTTTTAAAGCTGTAAAATATAAAATCATAATATAATTCAAATTTTTAAATAATAATTTTAAAAGTGATTATTGAACATGAATTGTAAAATTAAGAATCATATCCAAACAAAATATACTAACCTAAATTTTATCATTATTAAAATTCTGTTTACAAATGTTTACAAAATCTGTTATCTATTGTTTTAGAAATATTTATTTAATACTTAACAATTTGTTTTACTTCGTATATCATAAATATTAATTACTTTTAAATACTCATATATAATTTCAAATTTAACAACTCAAACTCAACAATTCCTTATTTTCCATACTGTAGAATGAAATTGTTGAATATATATATATATATATATATATATTTAGCTTTAAAAAGTCATCCAATCCTCACTTCATTCGAAATGCATGAAGGGAATGAGATGTACCATCCAAGAGTTTTTAATGCGAAATCAATCATTATTTTTGTTAATTATTTTGATTATAAATATTAAAAAAAAATAATTTTATACGCGTCAAATTCTAATAATGCACACATAACGAAGTACATGTAATACTTTGCGAGATAAAACAATTCTTCCTGTAATCGACATCAATTTATTATTTTTTAATAAGTGGTACCGAAAATGCAAAATTATATTCTTATTTAAGAGTTTTATAAAGATTCAAATCATTAAATCATAGAATGATTTAAACAATATAGAATTTCTATTTTTGTTAATATTTTATTACAATTATATTTTTATATTGTGAAATTTTTATTTAATTATAATTTATACTATTGTTGAAACTTAATTTATAATTTTTTCAATAAATATCTTAAGTTAAATGTATTAAAGAAATTAAAAATTTAAAAACTTTTTAAATTTAATGTATGTTAAAAAATATAGGAATATACAAAAAAGCAAGTCGAACTTGTCTATGGAAAAATCATTGCTTCTCTTGATTTATTGGGTGTCCATTTATATATTGTCTCACTTCTTAAGGCATTTGCTATTTCTTATTTTTTTAATTTCTTTTTATTTAAATTTTTTTTAAACTTTTGTATCTCGTTTCTTTGTAGAGATTAATAAATTATATTTTGATCAAAATATTGCCATTTTTATTTAAAATTTATCATCACATATACTAGTTTTTCTTTTAATAAACTAATTTCAAACTTTTGTGTATTTCACAATGTTTTTAAAGATTAAAAATACGGCTATAATTTGTTTTCTAATTTGTACAAATTTCTACTAAAAACTTTTATTCCCTTTAACTGAAAACAACTTTATAAAATTGATTTATTTTATAGATGAGTAAAATAATGGAAAATAAATAACTTCATTTACTTAATTTTAAGTAACATATAAATAAACATTTATAATCATATATTTATTACGATGAATATTATTGTATTAAATATTAAAATAAATAATTAAGGTATATAATTAAAAAGAGATTTTAATTCATATAATTTAATTATGTATTAATGTAACATTGATTTATTACTTTTCTCAGGATTAGTGCATTAACAATGTTTATAATATTAATAATGCAGAAATTCATAAAACTCTGTTCGTACACCGTCCTTTATGTGAAATAATAGATTTATTTCAAACTGTATAAATTAAGAAGTTAAAAATCTCAAATGTTAAATTATTTGGAACTACCACTTTGAAAAATTCGAATATTAAAAATTATATAGCGTACTATAGAATAAAGTCACTAATGATGAGATTTTGTCCAATCTTATTGTGACCTACAAAAGATGATTTGCAACGAGTATTTTTAAATAATAGCAAAATAAAACAAATGTTTTATAGATATGTAGTTCAATTTAAAAAATCATATAACACTGATAATAGAGCTTAAGAATTAATACCAATTAAGTTTACATATGTAACTACATTTTAGCTGTAAGAATACAATAACTTATTTTCTTTACTTATATTATACCCACATAGCATTCATTAAACTTTAAAAGTCGCATAAGTTAATCAGTGACAGGAAAGTTCAAAAAAGGTATATCATTAGCAATCGATTTTGTATCATTATGTCAGTGACAAAATTAACAATGATCGCTTTAGTAATAAAATTAACAATATTAGTCAATCAAGAGATTAAAAGAAAAACTATAACTGAAAATTTTTTGAAAATTGAAAAAATTTTATTGCTGAATAATTCTTTTTTTAGTTTGTCAAACAGCCAAAACTATTATTTATTCTTATTAAAAATAATAAAGAACGTATAAAATGATAAAATTCTATTATAAAAATATATTCAACGACAATTTTTAAAAAATATTCAAATAGTTTTACTAATTTTTCTATTTTTATAGTTTTTTGAAAAAAAAATTCATTTACTCAAATTATTTATTACTTTACAACAGTTTGTAAAATTTTATATTGTTTTAGTCTTGATTTAAAATTTTTTTTGGATAATTTTTTTTCAAAATCAATGACAATCAACTTTATCTTTCAGCTATTAAAAAAACTTTGATTGTGAGATTTGATTTAATGAAACAGGAATACAAAATTTGATTTCCCCATCGCCTGTCATTCGCAGGATCATTGCAATAATCAGTACTATAACAATCGACAATCGATAAAATAGTGCTTTAGATTTAATTCCACGCATAGAATTTGTCGTTAGATTACATTCTGAGTTCAATAAATTAACATTGTCATTCATTAATATTTTTTCACTCTGATTGCAAAGAAACTAAAACAAATTTTTCATGATAGAAATTGATTTATTTTGGTTAATTTTATTGGATGATTGAACAAATATACTTACTTTATTTTCTCTTGATTTTATTTGTTGACGTATGAACATCATTACTTTGCACTCATATTGTCCAAAATCTTGAATATCAGGATTATCAGATAGATTTGACAGTGCATTGTCGTAACTAATAATTTCTGCATATTCTCCATTGCACAAACATTTACTGTATGTCATCATTGATGACATTGATCATTAAATGAAATTTATAAACATATTTTAAAAACTTTATAAAATTAACAAAAACAAACTAAAAATATTAAAAAACAAATGACATTTCTTATACAATCATCAAAGCTCTTCAGATTGTAAACATATTAAAATGTAAATGAGTTATTAATAGAGTAAAAAGTTTACAGAACTCTGTAAATAAAAGATTTTTAAATATTGATATTTTTTATTTTTCAATAACATCTTTAGCATTAAAATATTGTGTCAAAAAGAAATGAAAATGAACTATTTCTAATTCAATGCTATATTATATAATGATACAAATATATTGAACATATTTTGCAACTATAATTTTAATAAAAAAAATTAACTTGATCTTAACAGTTATATCTTAAAATAATTTCTATTTAATTTTATGATAATGTAGATAAGAATAACTTGTATCTTAAAAATATATTTAAGTATTTATTTATAAATATTAATTCAACGTGTTTTACATAAATTTATTTTCACTTATTGCCTGCTGGTTATATATATATATATATTTCATTTACATAATAATTAAATAATATTTTGATCAAAGTTACAAATTAAACAATGTCAATTTAATCTTGGCTTACGTTCTGGTGGTGGTTTCATATCTTTCTTTTCAGATTGAGATTCTTGTTTAATTTGTATTGCTATAACAATAAATTTTATCACATTACAATTTCTAAGAATATTGATGCATACTTAAAATAAAAATATGAAAATAATGATAAAATAACATACAAGGTTCAATTACAGTTTGTATTGGTTTTGGAATTGGTATGGGATATTTTCTTGTTAGTTCTCCAAGCAGCATATCAACTCTTTGTCTTTGAAATAATGTACTAGGCTCTTCTCTAACAGGAGTTTCTTTTTGAGCTGTTGCAGTTTTACCATTTTTAAAGTCCCACGAATATCCTTTACTAGGATGATATCGAGAACAACTACTAGCTTCTTCAAAAGCAGATTGTATATGATGAACTGCTGATAACTAAAAAAAATTAGAAATTATTTAATTATTTTTAAAATGTTATACGTAATTATATATTGATTTACAAATCTTACCAATCTAGAATTAACTACGGATGCTAAATCAGGAGCTTGATAAACAACTCCTGCAATTATATAGTAATCAGCTAATGGGGTTGCTTGAGTAGGACTATGACGATGTTGTTTACGTATCACATATAAAATTGGTTCTTGAACATGTAAAAGTATATATTCTAATCCAGTCATATTTCTATAATAATAAATAACAAAATCACTTTGTTTATTGCTAAAACTTTCTTTAACTGGTATAAAAAAAAACTTACGTAAGTTGATCAGGATTGAGTCGCTGCATTTTTACAATTTCATTATTACAAGTCCTATCATAAAAAGGATTAGATCTTTCTGAAAAGTAATCCATTATATTGCTTGGATTGAGCATCGGAATCCAAGCACTATCATGCCAAGACAGTCCCAAAGGATTTTCTGAAATATGTCAAGTTAATTTCAATTGAAAAATATATATTAATTGTTATTATACAAATTATTAAATATTAAAATAAAAAAATTAAATTAAATTAAAAATTTTTTATTAAAACTATGTATTTCAAAAGTATGTACATTCAGAGATTTTATTTTTATATTGTGATAAAATAAATGTAAATGATATAAATAAAAATGATGTAATATAATATGGAGAAAGTTCTATTTAGAAGATGTCTTGATTTTGACATTTTGTAATTGTTGAAATGATTTAATCGTTAAAAATGTAGGCTTATGTATAAACAAAATAACAACAAATAACAACACTTAAATAAAAAATCGTGTGAAAAATTATGATTTACCTGGCATAGATAATCGACCGGGAATCATCTCAATGATTTAAGTATCGAATCTATTCTACAAAACTAATGATAAGTAGGTTGCTTTATATTTTCCAAACAATACGACAGGTACAGAAATGCACACGTAAATAGTAAACATATCTAATAACTGGGCTATTTTGCGCGCAAGTTCTTAAGCCGGGTATAGCTGTCTAGATACCGAATGTCCATTTTTTACAATACACGTGTCAAAAAATCATTAATGTATAAAACCAATGATTTTATTTCTATGTGAAATGCTATAAATATTATTTACGTCTAAATGTAAAATACCTATCGATTTAATTACATGAGATGCATGGAAAAAAACATATCTATATATTCTTGAACATTTCCAGATAGTATACAAAAGTTGCTCCTCGCGTCACTGTAGAAATACATCATATATTGAATAATAATTAAATATTAATAAATTAAATAATAATAATTTATTATTATTAGTTTTAGAATAAAAAAAAAAGAAAAAAGAATATAATATTATTTTAACAGAACTGTACATGCAGTATTTCTTAAATTTCCACGAATTTTCGATCTTTCAGACACATAATTTATTTTCGAGTTGATGATGCCTTTTGAAGCAATAAGGTAAAAAACCATATTATCTGTCTGTTTATAAAGTATCGTTTTAATAATAGTGTCGATATAAAAATTGTCCAAAACATTTCAAAATTTATATACGTCAACAGATATATAAAGAGAATGTAGGTAGTAATTTGCTAGATCCATATTAATAGAATAAATGATTTATTGGTAGAGAAGCTATTAATAAACTATAGCTTTTAGGTTTTTCACGAAAAAGTTCAATTTTAATTTGAACATCGCGGTGCAGTTTGACGTCCCACATAAATAGTACGTTGCGCTTAATAGGTAAGGGAATGGAAGAAAAAAAGGGCAGTGACAAGTGTTCATTCGTGCCTCAAGGCGAGAGTCAATGTAATTCAAGGGAAAGTCTGGGTGTGCACTGTCGTCTGCTCGAAGACAATATGTATACATTTTGATTTGTCCTAAAATTAGCTGAACAGCTGCAACGCATCGGCAAGGCCTACAAAGCTTTTCACACGTGCTTATGCCAATGTTGGCGTTAGGAGTGAACAGAATGCGCGATTTAAATAGCCTGTCAACATGAAGATGATAAAGCTGAATATGTCTGACAATTTTATAATAATATACACCGGCGAGGAACTAGTGAGGGGCAGGTACGCAGGGGCATTCGTTGTTCGGGCGCCTTCTAACGCACAGAATACAATAAAGTATGATTTGAAGTAGTTCCTTGCAGGCTGTGGCTGTTCCAAATGTCAAAGCGCCAGAGCCTTTCATCTTACATGAAATGGCTTGAATATCAAGTGGCCCTTTTTCATAATAGTAGAAAAACTCTACCATGTAGGCCCCTGTAAGTTTTCATTTCTGTTTGCTTTTCCTTTTTAGAAATGTTTTCACTTTTTACCCAAAAAACGATTATTATATCCTAACAATTATTGAATATCAATATTAAATATTTTCACTCAAACATTCTCAACTTCAGAAAAAACTTTTTTCCATTTGTTTGTCCTAATATTTTTACTATAACTGGCTATTCAAACAATTAATTTTAATTACTCCATGTATATTTTAAATATGTAAACTTTAACACAAACTTAGTGTTTAATTTATCATAAATCTATTCCTCTGGTTTAATAAAGCTTGGGTACATTTTGTAGATTTCATTGTATTTTGGTTTTCCTGCTTTTCAGAGAGATTATGAAAGATTCCCGGTATGATTTAGTTCCACTTCATAAGCGACCTGATTTTCTACAACAATGCTGCAATCTACTAAACTCTGAATGGAAACGGAGCAAAACTGCACGGTATGTAAGCGAAAAGAGTAATTTTGCTAAAGTGTTTAAGATATTTTTCCTGCCTAATTTTATTATTTTTAAAATTTCATCAAATACTATCTAATTTGCTTATTTGTATTGTTTTTTTAGGTACCCTAGCTTTATCATACATCTTATCTTTTATATCATTAATGTTTGTTTTCAATTTAGTTTTACATAAAGTGTATAAACATTTTAAATTCAATTCAAATTATTGTAAAATTTTTTCTATACTTAGGTTAAGAAGTCTCACCATGTCCTGTGATAAATTTCCCATGTATCTTCTACTACTTAGTAAAAATACAGTTCTTGGTCTCTGTAAAATATCATTAGTACACAATACAATTGATAGCGTTGTTATAGAATCATGTAAGATATTTTTTTCTTTATCTTAATAAATAAAATTAAAATATGTAAAACGATGTTTTATTTTAGAGACACACATTTAATTTAATGAAAAATATATTGAAAAATTTTTAAATATATTATAATAATTTAGTTATTTAATTAAAAATTATCATATTTAATTAAATTTGAGAACGAGAATCTATGTAAATTAGACTGATATTGCATTTTAATAACAAAAATTCTTATAACAAAATTGATATTTTATAATCAATTATATTTTTTTACAGTCATAATTGACCATGCTCATAGATATCAGGGGCTTGGATCAATGTTACTACGTGCTGTTGAAGATTATGTACATAAACGTGGTATTAAAAATATTTTTTTAATGACCAAAGGACAGGAGGACTTCTATTTAAAGAATGAATATATTATTTGTGAACCTATTCAAGAATTAAATGGATATTCAGATTTTGGTTCTGATACTTACTCAACAACTGCAACTAATTCGAAGATAGAAACAAATGAAACTTCTGTGGGACCTCCACCACCACCAATGCCAGATTTCAGAAAATCATCTATACAAATCTGTTTAGCAATTCCTGAACGTACTTTCATGAAAAAAATTTTAGAATCCTGAATAATTCATTACAATGCATATTATATATTGTAAATAAATTTATAATTATTTATGAAAAAATTATTAAAATTAGTTATAATTATATTTAACTAAAGTATGTATTTTTCAATAAAAAAAGGTTTATGTTTAAAATTTATAATTCTTCAAAAATATTCATATTTTAATATTCTTTATTATAGTACTTCAAACATATATTAATACATTTTGATTCTATCAAATTTGAATAAAAACGTAGATATTATAATCTAAGAGTGTATTGTTGTAAGACAAAAGTATATTTAAAATGAGAATTTTTTAAAATTAATAATAAGAATATTGATATGGTAAGAATCTAGTAAAGGAAATTATTTTATTGTACATTATAAAGCAAGATTTCATTTTTACTGTATTAATGTACAGTTTTGAATACTTTATAGACTATGCAGATCTTAAATTATTGAAAGAAAAATATATTGAATTTTTTAAAAATTAATCTGTATATTTTGTATTTTAATTTATTTACTTTTTAAATTAATATTAAGGCCATTTTAATTGAGAGTTAATGTAGAAATAATTAATTATCAATTAATTAACTGCATTTAGAAATTATTTATTTATTTAAAATAAATTAGTTACTAGTTACATCCAAAAAATTCAATATATAATTTTAATCTTTTCTTGGTAATATTTATTTATCATATCTGTTATTAGTTCTGTAATCAATAGTTATTAGATATTTAAGGTCGATATTTAATATTAGATATTTATTTAATAAAATAATTAATTTTATATTATAAATGATAATCCAAATGTATTTATGTAACTAAAAACTTTTAAAGAATTTCAAATGACTTACAAAGTAATCATTTATAATTATTTGTAATTTTTATTTTATATCAAATTATTAATTTATATTTTATGTTTACTTACGCTATATTTATATTTACTGTTTTTTATTTGTCTTATCAATATCTAAATCAATCGAAAATAATTTAATTAAAACAACTTTATTTAGTAAAATTTAAACTGTACTTATGTATGTATTATACAAGTAAATGAAAAATGAAGTTCCGTATTAGTGTTTAATGCAATTATTGAATTATATTGAAACTATCCTTAAGTTAAGTTTTATAATTATTTTTACAAACTTATTAGGTAAACAGTTAAAGAAAAGTAATTCAGCATAGGTAAATTATATTTTTATCCATTTATAACTTATTATTAGCAGGTAACAAGTTGACTTAACAAGTATCATATAATTCCAAAATTCTTGTTTGCAAATTTTACTCTTTATAGTCTATATTACATTTATAATATATAAATATCTAATATTTTAGGAAAATATAAAAATAGAAGTAAGAATTCAAATTACTTTATTTTATATTAATAATTAATATCTATATTGTTGAAAACTGTATATCGTATCCACCATATTTTATATATCTAAAATATAAGTAAAAATTATTTATTTATTTTCTACTTGAACATATCAATACAAACAATTCCGATTTTCAAATGATAAGAATTATTAATAATTTCTAAAATAAAAAAATAACTAAGTAAAATTAAATGACGATATTACTTAAAATCTAACTAACTTTACTAAATGATAGTATTCTATCATTATTTACTCAGCAATATTCCAGTTCCGTTTCTTTTAAAAAATAAAAATAAGTTTTATACAATGAATTATTTAAATGTGATTTAATTACAACTAATGAATCGAAGATGCTAAATATTATATTCAATATACTGATTCATAGTTTAACATATGTATTAATGAATTAAGAAAAAACAATATAACATTTATATATGAAAAAAATTATTCTTATAATTCCACTTTTATTGAAGGCGTCTTACATATTTCCATGTTTATATTTAAATTAAAAGAAATATTAAAAATTATAATACACGTATATATCAGTTATTTCATTTGGATTTTATTATATAGTTTAAAACAATATTAAATTTTACAACACAATTGTTTTACTAAACGAAAAACAGAACCAATTATGTGAAAGTATTTCCACCCTTTATTGTTTAATTTTATGGGTAATTTAATAATAAAATTTAATACTAATGGAAAGCAACCAAATCTAACGTTAGTTTATTGAACTGTAGTCAAACAATCTTTACAATCATTGTAAAATCATAACCTACAAGAGTATAATTGTTATATACTATTAATTAAATAATGCATGTTATATTTAGATTCAAAAATTAAAACAAAAAATTGTTAACGAATAAATTAATTGATTTTACATAATTTTAAAATAAATAGAAATATACGCAGCGTTTATTCGTTGATTATAGTTATCTAATATAATTAAATAATAAATTAATTATTTGTTAATTCTAATTAAAGTTTATATGCATTGATACAGATTGGTGATTTAAAATGCCAGCTATAGTTGTGGGACCACCTCAACAAAACAAGCAAATGTGGCAAGCTCTTAAAACACACATTACAAAAGAAAGAAAATGTAAAAAACAAGGTAAATTTTAAGTAAAAATTTGGTTGATATTTTCAATAAGTTTTTTATATTTATAGAACAAGAAGCTGATGCAGAAGAGAAACGTCAAAGAAAAGAAAGAGAAACACAACAGAAACATAATGTGATGACATTAGGTGAAACTCGACATCAAATTTCTACCCTAGAAAATGAATTGACACGATAAAAAATGAGAAACACCAATTATTTGTACAATTGAAAAAGGTTCTTCATGAAGATGACAATAGAAGAAGGCTTATAAAAGAAACTAAGTATGTAATTAATAATTTATTTGTATTTAAAAATGGTAAAATATGTCATCTTATAATATATTGTTTTATAAGTGTATTATTAGAGCCAGTACAAGTTAGTGGATATTTTGATCCAGGTGTAGTTATCCACTCTCATTTATATATTCCATTTCCAACAAGAAGTCCTCTGTACAAAGTTAATGTAACTACACCTTCAAATGCATTGATATCAAGTTTAAGTATAAGTAATTTGTTTATTTGTTAATATTAAAAAATATTAAAAAATCTAATCTTTAATTACATAATTCCATTTATTATAAAAGTAAAAAAATTATTTACAATTTAAGTGTAGAGTAAAATTTTGAATGATTTTTTTTTAATAGCAAAGTTCACTAAAAAGATTGTACAGTCCATCACCTCCCCCAGTTTCATCATATCATCCGGGCTATGGTTATAAACCACCACCTTCTATACCAAGTTATATTCCAACACTATTAAGTAAGTTTAGTTTTACTTTACCTATATATATATATATATATATATATATATATATATATATATATATATTATACACATCTTTATTTACATTTAATTTGCTCAATACTTTTCAAAATATTATAGTTGTTTAAAGAATTTATTTGAGTATATATGCTAATATAGACTAGTAACAAAAAGTATAAAAGACACTCTTATACTATTAGAATTTAAAAGGTTAATTGCATACTGTAAAAAGTACATTTTGATAAAAACGTAATAATAAATAATTATATTTTGCAGAATCTGATGAAGCCAAGAGATCGAATGATTCTCGAGTTGTTTTATGGAATAGTGTGTCTCATATTGATTTTTTTTCTTTTTGTATACATCAGTATATTTATTTGATGTATTTATTTTAGAATCAGTCAATCAATATTCTGGATCAAATTATTATGGATCAGTTAGTGAGCAATATGATTTTGGCTCACCTACATCACAACCTCTACTATGTATACCACAACTTGGCAAACCGGTATATCTATCTGCGGTTCATGCTACATTACCAGCAATTTAGACATGTAATTAAGTTTGAATTTTATAAAAAAATATTTAAACTGTTTAATCTTTACATTAGATAGTAACTCTCTAAGTATTTTAATTTATTATAAATATGGACTTTGAACATAGTAATATAACATAGTATAGGAAATAATAAATATTTCTTTCTCTTTAAGAAATTATTGTAACATATATTCATTATTAAATTAAACAATTTCTTCAATAATTTATAGAGACTTTTGATAAAAATTTATTATAATAAAGAATAATTAAAATATTCTGATAATTTATTAATATTTTAAAAATTAATTATTTATATTATTAATAACTAGTATACATTTTCTTATGATAGATTTAAAGTATAGTTGTTTTATATTTACATTATTCAATTTTTCAAATTTATAGAATAAAAAATGTTTGATTTTAGTTAAAAATAGTATAATTATAGTTAATAAATTTATATTAATAAGTTTTTATTCAAAATGGATTCAAATAGTACCTTACACTGAAGATAAATTTTATCCACGAGCAGGAAGTCATGTAACTGTTCATGGAGGAGCGATACAAATTCAGCAACCACCACAGGTATTTTAATATTTTGATATTATGAATTATTTTATATTACAATGTATTTATCATAGATATTTTAAAATATTTAAAAAAAATACAATTTTAAGTTCTTATTAAAATTTCTTTCGAATTTATTTATTAATTATGTATTATAAAATCTAGTAAATAAATTTTTATTATACCATTTATATATATATATATATATATATTAGTGTGTAACAGTAAAAATTTTAAATAAAATGTTTCCAAACACTTTATCAGTTCTTTGACAGATAAATAAAATTTGAATCTATTTTAATAAAGCATTTGTATATATATATATTGTTGAATCCTTCCTATCATTTCAAGAAACCTTTAATAAATAATATTGCCTTTGTAGGGAGAGAAGACAGGTGAAGTTACATCTAGCTATACAGTTCGAACGCCTCAACCTCCTCAAGGACTATATCCTCCTCCTCTATCTGTTAATTATGTGAATGTTTCAGGTGCTAATATACAAGGACGAGTTTTATATACTCAACCAGGGTCGCGGTATCTTCAGTGAGCTCTTCTGATACGAAAATTGAAAACTGGATTCATATGACTGTAATATAGGTCCTAGGAGATAAAGACTGATAATAAATATTGCATATAAAATTTAGTCATAAAAATTAATAAATACATTATCCTTTATATCAACTGTATTTATAATAAAATTTTTAATTAATGATAATAGAATAATAAATTACTAGAATAATAAATACTGCAGAATACAAGAATGTGCACCATAAAAGTAGGATATCAAGATAATTTTAAATAATGGATTGATAGCTTAAAATTATAGTTATAGAAATCAATTATTTTTTAGATGATTGAATACAAATAAAAAAACCTGATAATTACAAAAAATAATAACAATCATCTTTTATCACTAAAAGATTAAAAATTTATAAAATTATTTTTTCTTCTTTATATTTATCAACATTTGTTATAATTAATTTATGTTTGATATATTAGTACAAAAAATTTGTTTTTTTTCTTATTTTAATAACTTTCCTTATATTTTATTTAAATATTAATTTACTGACGATTTTTATAATTCGGCATATACAAAAGGCTTAGAGCTGCTTGCCCATATATTCCTATCTTACATAATTTACAATAAATCTCAATATTTTTTTGTAACTTCACATTTCAAAAATCAAATATACATTTTTATTTTAATACAAAATTATTAAATAATGTATTTATGAATTCGATAATGAATCTAGTTCATTAAGCCCAATGAAGAGGATAGAGGCTGTCTCCTTTTATTACAACCTTATTTGAATATAAAATTGATTCATGATAGTTTCTTAAAATTTGCAATTTTTTCAGGTTTATATAACTTCGTCGATTGATTTATTCATTTATTCCTGTTGGATTGTTAATCTATATTATTAAAAATTTTTAGACAAATTTCCATGTTTATCCAATAGCAAAGCCTATTTATCTATACAGTATAACAAAATTTACAAATATTAATGATTTTGATTTTTTATAAAATATAAAATAAATAATTATATTATATCTAAAAATATCTTCATTGTTAATGTATTAAATAATATTAAATAATATTGTTTTTGTAAATTCGTAATGCAAAATAAAATATAATATATTAATAATGTATGAGTATTTTTACATTTTCTATTGATGAATTTTATGATTTTGTTTTTGAAAAAATTAATAAAATACAATAACATGGTAATAATGAAAAGAAAAAAATGTTTTTATTATACATTAATAGATAGACTGATATTTTTCTTTAATTTAATATCAATATCAAAATCTTCCAAATCATACTCTTGTAACAAAAGTTATATATATATATATATATATATATATATATAACATAGTAATAAAAAACAAAGTACAAAACTATGTTTTACTTGTACTTTTTGTAGTTCAATTTTTTATGCAAAAGATCAGATAAATCAGCATTCGATATTGTATTCAAAACTAAATGCGATCTAATTTGATTTTGTTTAATGATAGAGACTATTAAAAAATATCCATGTCAATATTTTTAATTTGAATATAGCAACATCGTTACTGTTAATATACCCAGCGGTTGTTATTCATGAATATGTTTTAAATATTGACTCGAGGTTGACGAATCTGTGGAAAGATTTGATAGTTCTTTGCGATTAAGAAAAGCATCCTTTGAGTGTTATAACGATTTTATTTAGTTTTCGAGAAATTTTTATGATTCCGTAGATACTTGTTCAAGTATTCTTTTTAGGTCAAGTTGTACCGAACATTTTTTTGTTATTTATGCTTGTATTTTGACAAATAGTTTTTTCTAAAGCAAATTCTGTTCTATTAATAGATCATTTAATTTTAAATTATTTTCAGAATCCTCTCACTAGTACGTATTAATTGCAGCACAAGAATGTTATCAACTATAGAATAAATTATACCAAAAACTTTATAATACTTGCTTGTGTACTTGAAAAATTCATACGCTTTTTTAACCACGCATATTCAGCATTATATTTTTGTAGAATCTAAATTCCAAACAATCTAGACTAAAGCCAGAACCTGTGCATTAAGAATCTCATAAGTAGCTTTTATTATATTCAAATTTATTCCTCTTTTACATGTATGGTGACGCAGATAGATGAATAAATTCCTAACTATATATTTTCAATATTTTTAATCTTAAAATAGTATTCTATTATAGCTCGATACATTTTTTATTGTTCCATTTCACTACCGCAAGGGAGTCAATACCTGGTAGATATTTAATATGATTTGACTTAACATGCTTTAAATTATTTAAAAAATGTTCAATTTTCTTTAACTTCTTCCATATGTAATTGTTATTTTCATCAATTTGTTTGAATTCTCAAAATAGACAATTATAATAAAGATAATAGCATCATTTAGACGAAGTAATTCTGGGAGCTCTATTATCATGAAATTTTCCTCATTCAAAAACATGTATAAATAGAAATATAATAGAAATACAACACATAATCAATAATCAATATAACTAATCAATTACTTGCTTGGCAGTCTTTAAATCCAACACTGGGATTGTCAACATTTAGGTGTCTTATTTTCATAATTTCATAAACAGATAAAAAAACTCAATTAGAAACCTTCATTTATTTCTCATTGCCATACTGTTTATTTTCACTAAACATTATATATATTCTTTTGGAATTATCAAATTTTATTATAATTTTATTATATCACGGTATTATATCTTTAAAAATCATCTGATTTATTTACTATATAATTTTTCGGAATATTTTAATTTTCATCCGTGTTGCTAAACAGTTCGTGTTAGATTGAAACAATTTCACTGAAAATAATTTGGTTAAAAAGCTTTATCTTTTACGATTTTATATATTTGATGATTCACAATAACATTCTATGGACGGATAGTCTCTCTCTATCGAAAAAATTTAAAAAAACTAACAAGGTAATGTACCTCCTCCAACACCTTTGTTTGAACATACGAAACATCTTTATATGAAATTATGCTTAGCCCATGCATACTTACAAGTTCTTTTCTTTCTTTTCTTTTAATATATGCATGTATAGATATACAAATAAATAAAAATATTAATTTTTATGGATTCTTTAAAGTAAATACTGTAAAGCTTTTTATTTTCTTTGATATAATTTATAATATTATATAATACTATTTTGTTTGTTTGCAAATATTGATTTATATTTCAAATTATATTTGATTTATTTATAACACAATTGTTATCTAGGTTAAAAATTACTATTAATGATACTGATAAATATCCTTGGTAAAGATGAAAAAGTTTCATGTATTTATGTATAAAAATCTCAAATTGATACTATCCTTTATTATTTAATATTGATGCTATCTATAATAACAATATGCTAAAAAATTGGTATTCTTTAGTAAATAGATTTTGCTTAAATATACGAAATATTTAAACTGCAAATTTTTCTTGGCAAAATTCTTCTTTTTAAATAACATATACAACAAGAAAATAATAACGCTTATAAATTTATATCAATATTTGAAGCTCTCATATTTAAAAACTGAGAAAAATTTGATGCTGAAATTTTTTTATCTTTCAATCAACATTAGTTTATTGTTTATAATTCATGAACAATAATATAAATGGTCTGTATAGGACATCATGGAAATAATTAAAAATAAGATTGATGATGTATAAATAAAAGGTTATAGTTTAAAACGTATAATAAAAAGAATAAGATATTTTTTTCTTTTATATTAAATTGAATTTTACCTAATTTTTAAAAATTCTAACAAAAGAGTAAACGACTGATTGAATAGCAGGAATTTAAATTTAAACACTGTATAAACTTTATGCATAAAACTATCGCAATAAAAATCACATCAAATTTTAACTTAAAATTAAGTAAATCATATAAGATTACTTCAATTTTTTACATATTTAAATAGTCCCTTAAATCATAAAAAGAAAACAGTATATATATGATATATGTTTTATTTAACACAAAATAATATTTGATATTTAATATTCAGTGTTTGTTTTACAAAATATAATATATATATAAACATTCAAGATTTTTTTTTATTATAAAATATTTGCAAAATGTTAAATTATTTAAAAACTATCAAACAAGTTCATTCATAGTATTATAAATTGCAAAATATTTGTTAATTTTATTGGTGTTGAAAGAAATTTATCTTTGGATACATATTTATTTGTAACTATAGCATTATTAAAAACATATAACATATATATAAATTATATACTACACAATAACTATATAATACTATATAATGAATAATTTCAATTGAGTATGAGTTTAACATTTAAATATAATGTAGTTCGTATTTGATGTAAAAAATGTTAAATATACAGTTAGCCATGTTGCCAGCTCTAACACTTAAGCAAAATTAAAAAAAAAAAGAATCTTAGCCTCCAAACAAATCTATTGCATTATTTAAATGTGAATTAATAAGTAAGAAATCATTATATTAATACATTTATTATAACTCTTTATACATACCTCTTATATTTAGCACTTTGCCAAAAAATATTCATCGCGTTCATCAATCAACAATGTTCAAATGTCAATAACGTAATAAATGTCTTTCTTCCTTGTTGGCAGTTTTTGACTTTGAAATAGCATAAAGAATTAATTTTTTTTATAGATTTATTTATTTTTAGTAAAAATTTTAAATATCAAAAAGAATTAATATGCGTAACAATAGTATTGGTGTTGAGAGCAAATATCAAGAGCTTAAAAAGATATCAAGTGATATAAAAATTCTAACGAAAACCGCTAGAGTTAAAGATTCGTAAGTGTCATTTGACTTTTAATGATGTATATTTATATAATTATGTGTATATTTATATTTATATATATAAATAAATATATGTGTATATTTAATAATTACTTTTAGAAATTGGTGGCTACTATTTGGAATTATTCTTATATTTACCTTTATTACTAGATTTTATAAAGTAACAGAACCTGCTCATGTTTGGTATACTTTAATTTTTATTATTTTTAATTTTTAAATAATGTATTATAATACATTTTTTATTATTTTTAGCTGGGATGAAACTCATTTTGGTAAAATGGGAAGCTGGTATATTAATAGAACTTTTTTTTTTGACGTTCATCCACCTTTAGGAAAAGTATATATACTTTTAGCTTTTTATTTATTTATATATATAATATATGCAAATAATTCATGTTATATTTTATAGATGCTTATTGCATTATCAGGACATTTAACAGGTTACGATGGAACATTTCCTTTTGAAAAGCCTGGTGATAAATATAAAAATGTTAATTATATTGGTATGAGAATGGTAAATATTTCTGTTTTAGAAATGAGTAAATTATCACTTAAATTTATTGATTAATTATATTTAAATACATTTGCATTTAACTCTGACTAATTAATTATTATAAATAACATTTTTTAGTTTTGTACATTTCTTGGTGCCACAATAGTACCATTATCATTTTTGATTGTATGGAAACTAACACAATGTGCAAGAGCTGCTGCTTTCTCGGCTGGCTTAATTTTATTTGGTATATTGATTGGTATAAAAAAAATATTTATTATGACTGTTAAATTACAATTATAATTTGTAGATGTTGGATTGCTAACATTAAATCAGTATATTCTTCTGGATCCTATACTTTTATGTTTCATGATGTGCACAATATATACTATGACTCAAGTTGGTTCATTATATAACCAACCATTTACTTTGGCTTGGTGGATTTGGTTATCACTCACAGGAGTATTTCTTGCTTGTACGATTAGTGTAAAATTTGTTGGATTATTTGTAGTTTTACTAGTTGGATTTTATACAGTTCATGAATTATGGAGAGAATTAGGAAATTTAAATCAGTCTATTGTAAGTATCTCTATAAATAACTACCAGTCAATAATAGAATGAATAATCCATAAAAATTAAATTTGATTTTAGACTGTTGTTGGAAAACATTTAATATCTAGGATTATATGCCTTATAATTTTGCCTATCTTTTTATATTTATTTTTTTTTTATATCCATCTTACTGTTTTGAATAAAAGGTAAGATTCATGAATTTCAAATATTTTTTAAAGATTTACTTATATTTGTTTCTTATTTTATTCTTATTAATTTGACAGTGGAAGTGGTGATGGATTTTATAGTTCAGAATTTCAATCATTATTAGAAGGTAATTCACTGCATAATGCAAGTATGCCTCGTCAGTTAGCATATGGTGCAAAGATTACTTTAAAAAATCATCGTACTGGAGGTGGTTATTTACATTCACATTGGCATCTATACCCTGAAGGCATTGGAGCACGACAACAACAGGTATAATGTTAATATTTTTATATTTACATTTAAATTTATACCTATCTTTTTTTTAAATTAAATTTAGATAACAACATACTCTCATAAAGATGACAATAATTTATGGTTTATTAAAAAATTTGATATAGATGAAATTTTATCAAAACCAGAACTAGTTAGACATGGTGACCTCATTCGCTTAGAACATGTTATTACTAGACGCAATTTACACTCTCATAAAGAAATTGCTCCAATATCTAAAAAACATTATCAAGTTACTGGTTATGGCGAGGTAGTAAAATGAATAAATATTTATGTTATTAATAAAAGAATAAAATTAGTATAGAAATACATTTTGTAGAATGGAACTGGTGATGCAAATGATGTTTGGAAAGTATTAATACAACATGGTAAAGAAGGAGACGTCGTTGAAACTGTGACTAGTAAATTAAAACTCGTTCATTATTTACATCATTGTGTTCTCACGTGTAGTGGAAAAACATTACCAAAATGGTTTATATACTTATATCTACATTTTTAAATTCAAATTATATATAAATTTAAATGTTTAATTTACATTTTTTATAGGGGATACAGCCAACAAGAAGTTTCTTGTAATCCTAATATAAGGGATAAGAATTCTTTTTGGAATATTGAAGATAATGATTATTCAAAACGTAAGTTACTTAAAAATTTTATAAAGTTTAAAATAAATTATCTATATTTACATTATGTTTATAGTTCCAAATGTTAGTTTCCAAGTTTATGCTCCAAGTTTTTTTAAACGATTTCTTGAATCTCATGCTGTAATGTTGCAAGGAAATTCCGACTTAAAAGTTAAGGAAGGTGAAGTTTCTTCAAAACCATGGCAATGGCCAATAAATTATAGAGTAAACCAAAAAACATTTTACAAGTTTTTAAGTTTCGTTTTATTTAACAATTAAAAACCTGTTTCAAAATATAGGGTCAGTTTTTCTCAGGAAACAGTCAAAGAATATATTTGCTTGGTAATCCTGTAATTTGGTGGGGAAACATAGTTTTCCTCTTCATCTTTGTATTGGTATATATAAATGCAGCTGTATGTGAGAAACGTGGCTGCAAAGAAGATAAATCATTACTTCAACAGAGAAGAACTGTTATAAACGCAGGAAGCTGGTTATTTATTGGTTGGCTATTACATTATGTACCATTTTGGACTATGACACGTGTTTTATATTTCCATCATTACTTTCCTGCACTGCTTTATAGTTCTATGCTCACTGGAATAACTTTTAATTATATTTTAGAAAGTTTCTTAATATTATTACCAGAAAAAATCGGGAAGACTATTTATCATGTTATTCTTGGTGTTGCAATTTCAGCCGTTGTTTACAGGTAATTATATCAAATATAAGATTAAATATTTTATTTTAAAAATAAGCTAACTAATAGCTATTTATTTTTTTAGTTTTTATGTATTTTCACCATTAGCTTATGGAATGGAAGGACCATCAGCTAATGATCCAAATAGTACAATGTATTCACTTCGTTGGATGGATTCATGGGAATTTTAATAAGTATTATATTTGATGTGATCACTTACAAAGTTTTATATATTTATTAATGTAGATACTTATGATAAAAAAAAATATATATATTTGTATTATAAGAACCATACAAATATTTTTACATGTGCAATTATTTTATACAAATTATACATTTTTATAAAATTTGTATTTATTGATCTAATTTAAGGACATATAATTTATTCTATTCTCTTATAATTTAATTTTTAAATTATTTATGACTAAATATCCATTTATTTCAAGCAATGCAAACTAAATGAATTTAATATTAATATCTTAATTATTGAGCTATTGTAATGAATACTGATTAAAACTAAAACAAAAACAAAAAAAGTAATATTAAAAAACATAATAGTTTATTAATGTTTAGTAATTGTTGCTAAAATATTATTAAAATATTGGTTTACTAAAAAAATAGAATCAATAGATCAATTAGAATCAATTAATAAAAATTTTTATTAATAATATGTTTACTAATAATAATATACGTTATTTACAAATTAAATTAAATATTCATAAGATAAAATTAATCTTTCAATACACCTTTATGAAATTCATATAATTAAGAAACTAGTTTTCAAACTGAGATTGTAGTGACAAGTATAAAGTTATTTCAAGTTATTATAACTACAATTTCTCCTGTATATTAAAATGTTGATAACATTTAACTTGTTATTAGTATTATAGTTCTTGTAATGTCAATGAATACATTTTGTGTAAATAGTAATTATTAAACTTTTAATAATAACTAGTCATTTTTATTTTAAATTGATAAAATAAAAGATAGTAAATAATATTTTTTGCTATAGGTAGCCTTATATGACTTTCTTACTTCAATATGTTAATAATTATTTATGTGTTAACCCATATTGCTTACTTTAATAAAAAAAATATAAAATATTTTAGAATTTATGATTACTTTAATTGTTTAAGATTTCTAAATTTAATTTTAAACTCTAAACCAATATTATATATATATATATAATAATATTTTTTGATTTTATTGCTATTCCCTCATCTGATACACACACACACTCGTGCACACATGTACAATCAATACTAAATTTCATAATATTTTATGAAATTTTTTGAATATCCTACAAATAAATTATGATTAATTTAATATAAAATTATGATATGAAAATAATATTAAAAATATTAAAAACATAAGGCAATTGAAAGTGTCTAGTACATCACATATTTTTAAACATTTTTAACAGTTTAAAATATAAATTAACATTTAATGATTTCTTTAAAATATTGCAAAATTTAAATAATTTTGAGACACTAATTAGATATAATAATATAATGAAATATCCAATGAAATATAAATAAAATAAGAATTAAAAGAAAAAAGATAATACAAATTAATTAAATACCCTACAACTGAATAGCTGAACTGTAATTCAATTTAAATTTAATATATAAATTGTGTTTGTAAACGTACTTTTAAATGTATAGAATATTTTTTACTCTTACGCCTTCTAAAATCCAAATGTTTTTTTATTTACTATATACATTTATTTAAGATCTCATGAAAATACACAAGTATTTTATATTTTAGATTGCTTGACATATCTGGTCAAAATATATACATATAAACATAATAGTTCTCTATCCATGAACGACTCAAGTCATAAATTCTCACTAAACAAGTGAAAAGCTAATAAAAGCAATAAAAAAATAAGTTTATGTTAATTAAATAAAAGAGGAGACACTAGACTTTCCTTTAGTCCTATTGTATTGAGGTTGAGCCCAGGAGCCACAGATTTTATAGTACCTCCAGTAGAATAAATTCTTGTAAAGTGAAAACAATACTGTATATACTTATAGTCGAACCAGGTTGAGGATGGTTCGTTCTTTTAAAACGAAAAGTACGCTCGTCATCGTCAGCGAGAGTGAAAAACCGAGTATCCAGTAACCAACACAGCATCTTCATGACGTACTACAAAACAATGGCCAGCAGAAGAGAATCGATGGCCTCTGGTGGTTCATCTCCATCATTCGTTAAGGTTAAAGCTCATAAAGCACGAGGGTTCGCTATAGAATTCGCTCTCATCTCGCGATCAATACATAGGCATCATAAGCTTACTGCAGGTGTAGTTTTTCTCATATGCATCTTTTAACCTCTTGCAACAAACGAGCTTTTAATATTTCTCTTACCCCCTCCATTTTATGTTCTCCGTCTTCTCTCCTTCGATCCGATCACTGTTCAACGTCTCCCTCTCTTCATTCTTACTAACAACTCGTGTATTGGAGTCAAATTGTCTCCAGTGAATTCAGCCTCAGTCACTCGATTCGAGCCTCGTCGACAGATTCAATCAGCGCGAGCTTTCCAGAGGACGTGATAAGGCAGTTTTTATCTCCACGTGGCGTATATAAACACACGGATCGTGCCGAGGGCAACCGAAAATGCGTAGTAGTATAATAGCGCTGGAGGTTGTATTGTAATAGTGAGGCTATTAGGATATCTTAGCTGGAAAACGCTACTCGGACTTTTCTGAAGTTTTATTAGAAAATACGTCGGAAAATCAGGTGTAATTCGCTCGATTTGCGACTTACGATGGACGCCACACTCATCACTTATAAATGAATAATGTGTTCATTGGAACATCGTGTTGTGTATTTAAATTTTGATAGCTTACATGCGTTATTTAAAGCTGCATTCAAAGCTTATTGATTAATAAATTCCTTCTCTCTCTCTCTCTCTCTCAAAGAAAAATAACGAGTTGTTAAAATTCATTTACAGCTTACTTCATTACAATACTTAATTCATTACAACTTAATTATTATTTTTCTTAGAAAAATGACATTTTAATGATTTCTGTTTACTTTCTAATTAATTCTGAATTTGTACTTTCACTTTTCAAATATATAATAATATTTGATAGGATAACGTTTGCATTAGTTCATCAAAACACTCTCACTGCATATATAAAGAATATATAAAAAATAGAGTTATTCTCCATTCATCAGTTTATAACTGTTTTATTACTAATTAATTATTAACGGTTACTTAATTATTTATACTACCTAGTTACTCTACAATAATCCTATAACCTTCACTAAAAATGTATCTGCGGAAAATTTGATTCGAATGGTAATTTACGTCGTTTTAAGAAATAATTAATTAGAGCACAATTGGCGTAGGTACGCGAGTTGATTAAAACCCCTTTATAAATTACAGGCGATTTGGACTTTAAATACATTAATATCAAGGTCTCTGACAGAATAAACATAATGCGATCATTTAATTTATCTCCTTTAACGATTATTATATTGATGATAAGTATATTGGAATCTTTTATTAACTCTTTAAGTTTTACCTCATTTTGTCGATGAAAGTGTAAAAATAAATTATCCAAATAATACTAAATTTGAATTATTAAATTTGAAAAATAAATTTCATTTTTATATGCATTCTTTTTTACTAATTAATGACTTGTAGCACAATTATGCAATATTTGTTAATTGTATTTTTAAATATATGTAATAAAATGAAAACATTTAGTAAAATTTCACACTAAGAAGTTATAAAAAAGTACTTTAATTTACAAAATTCTTTCGGTATTATTCGATTATCGAGTCTGCATAAAGTTTGTAATTGCTATATTTAAGATTTCCATAAGATTAATCACAATGCCTTATAAATTTTTAGTAGTAAAAAATAAAAAATTTGTAATTTGCATATTTACGATATTGTAATCATTATGTTCGCTTCTTATAATGTATTGATCTATATAAATATTACATGAACGCAGATTTTTTTGTATTTTAAAGTTTATTATAACATTAAGAAAGGAAAATTTGCTAAGATATTATGTTCTTTACAGTAAAGTTTTTTATGTAGTAAAATTCTATTATTTATAATAAACTGAAAATAACCCAATTTTTTTTATATAAGATTTTTAAAAAATGTAATTTTTTTTATAAGAAATTAAATTAACTATTAGAATTTCTTTAGAAATATAAGATGATACATTAATTCGGGTATTATTAGTTTTAATTTAGACAATAATTAATTGATAATGCGAATCAAGTGCTTACATCAAATTTTGATCATACACAAGTATTTTCAAAAAGGGCTTTTCGTAAAATCACACAGTGTCACTACAATCTCACAGAGTCAGTTCACTTTAAACTCACAAACAATGTCTCATTGAGTTATTGAAAATACTTGCCTTGCATCTCTATTCACATGAAAAAAAGGAAAGTAAGAAACTTAAAAAAAAAATCAGGAGCCGACAGTGCGCCATTACATATCATAATTAGCGTCGGTGTGAATTTAGTTGATCACACAAGCGCTCGGACAAGTTCTCTTGATCATTCACACAAGTCTCTTGTTCTCCTGCAGCGCTGATTGCAGGTGTTAAAAGAGTCTTGGTTTGACCGAAAAACGGTGAAAAGCGATATGCAGCTACGGCTGGACGTGGTCTTGCCGATTATTTGGGGCTTCGTCCTCGAGGGGCTGACTACCGGATGCGCCACTAGGACAGAGAAACTCGCTCAACAATTGGGAAATGTACTTGTTGATTTCATTGCCTACCGTGACATATCCATCATACATTTCGACGTACCGGAGAATGCCTTCTCTGTTGGTTTCAAGTGAGTTATGCTTGTCAAATCTGATGACTATCGTTAACAATAGCAAAAGATACACGGCTCACTGCTGTTTTTGTTTTGTTTAATAATTTTTACACTTATATTAAGCTAGGCATTTTTTATTTCAATTATTACTTTAATCGAGAAACTCTAGCCATTTTAGAATCTATATTACTAATGACTTTTCGGATTATTCGTTGTTTGTTAGATAATTGCTAATTTGGCCTGTACAGCAGGCTGCACTTATATTTGAGGTAATATCTTGAAATAAATGTGAAAGTTTGATAAAAATCATAGCCTACGCTATTATTATAATATTTTTATTAATTATGGATTAATCGAATATATTGTTGAATTTTCTTATTTAAATTATTCCAACAAAAAATAAATGAAATTTAAAGTTGTGAAAATGAATCCATTCTAATTTATTATTAATATTTAATAAGCAAATTTCCGAGTAAAATATGCGGGATTTTATTGTAGAAAAGAAAATGTAATTTATATGATTGCTTATAGTTAAAGATTCAATAACGGAAAACATTGGTATTGTAATATATTTGACTTAATGTGATTACATATCTTTTATCCGTCACAGAAGATTTAATTTTGTTTTCTGAAATTCTTGGTGTAATCCGATAATCAATTTTCATTTCATTCGCGAATTTCTATGATAATATAAAAGTACGCATAGATTTCTATCTATAATTGGATATATTCAACTATGGAAACATCATTGTCTTTATTTAGATACATTAAAATCTTCTATATTAGTAAATAATAATAGTGAAATAATAATAGTAAATCACAGTAGTAAAATAATAGTAATAAATAATAGCAATGAAATAATAATAGTAAAACGTAATAGTAAATAATCGAAGCAATATAATAGTAATAGTATTAAAATAATAGTAGTAAATAATGATTTAAATGTAAGATAAAACAATAATTTTTAATATTCAAAATAATATTATTTTGTAAATTAGATTTTAATGAAAAATTTATATATAATTTGTTATTAAATAAACCTGAGTAATTGTAACGATTTTATCAAATTACAAAAATATGCAAAGCTATTCAACATACGTTATTTTTCATAATTACATGTCAGATGTAATAAAGCATTGTAAAATATTCTTCATATTAATAATTACAGGAATTTAACATTTAAATTTAATACTTGTCACAGAAAATGATTTAATGATGAGATATATTAGTAATAGTGAGTAATTATTCTTCAACAGTCGAACCTAATTTATATTGAATTTCTTTTTCATAATTAAAGTTAGTGTAATTAGTTGTAAATAGTGATAAATTATCTTGTATTATTGACAGATTTTTAGTTAAAGAAGTGAAGACCAGTGGTATTGGCGAGTGCTACCCGCGCGACGTGACGATAAACATAAAGTCAGGAAGTCTTCCACTTATTAAACCGGATGGCTCGAAAATAGAAGCTAAATTGCTGGAGAGTAGGCGAGAGCACTACACCATCGAGGCTCTGAGTAATGGCGACGAGCACATCATTAATATATTCGCTCCACCACCGGGGGACTGGTACGCCATTGCTTATAGGTCATGGTTCGATCCCAATAGCAGCAGAATACAACAGCAGGGTAAAGCTCACTTCAATTTGCAGTCATTCCAGCGCCTCGACTTGCGGCTTATCGTATTCGCGTGTAGCGTTTAATCAATTTATGAAATTTAATGCACGCATTTCTAAAGCTTAAGGATTGAATTCGATATAATAACCACATTTACTATATGAATATATATTTTTATAATTTTTATTTTATACTATCCAAAGTAAAATAACTTTTCATGTTAATGTTATTGATGTTGAAAATAACATTTTTAAAATTAAAAGAAATGCTTTTTCTTTTTTCTTCGTTAAAGAATCTTTATTTCTTTGAATTCATATGCCGAGCCTGAAGTACAATATTAATAATTAAGTACTCGAATGACATGTATATGTGTGTGCGTTCTATTATCTAGAGGCGATATTTATATTTATTTTTTCAATGGCTATATATATTCTTTCGTTCACACATTCATATTTCACGACTTTATCGTACTAATTATTAGCTAAAATTTGTTTTGAGAAGTACACCTTAATATATGAGCAATATGAAAGATTTACAGAAACTATATTTAACCTATTTAAAAATTAATATTTAAAATAAAACGTTAGTTGCAGAAGTCGTAATTTTAAACAATATTATATAATTAATATTACCAATCTTTTATATTTTTAAATACTTTTAGTGAATTTATAATTTTATAAAATTAAAATAAATATTTTAATTTAAGGTATTAAATAATAACTGATTTTAAATATTAAACAATCATAAATAACTACAAATTACACAATTTTTCATTTAATTTTATTTATATTTTCATACTATGATTTCTATTTTTTGCTAATATTGCAATGCTAAATATTTTATATACATCAGTATAACTTACATATATTTTCCCTTAAAATTTATATACTACCCTCTATATAAATCAATAACAGAATAATGAATTAATCCATATTTCCTTCAAGAAGATAGATCTAATCGATTCTGTTTTATTTATTAAATATATTGATTTTTTCTATAAATAATACTATTTAAAAAACAGATGAATAAATTAAGAAAGAAGCATAATTCAAAACAATAATATAAATATATATAAAATATTCAAAATCATTGCTTATGCTAATAACTCTGCAATTATGTTTTCTTAATTTTTCTTCTTTATTTTTATTCTATTTTATTTTATTTATTATTTATACGTAATATATTCAGAAATTTTTAAAAATTCATAAATTCTTAAATGAAATGAAATGAAATGAATTCTCTAAAATTTATTTTCTAAATATAAATTAAAATTTTCAATTTTATTTTTAAAAATCAATTTTTATAAAATAAAAAGTTTTTAATTTTTTCATTCTTAATGTTAATTTAATTTTATTTCAGATCATTTGAATAAAATATTCATTTGTATATAGTTAATAACGTTCTTTGTTAAATAAAATGTTATAATTTTTATTAAATATTGTATTCAATTTTATAATTTTTTTAACTAATAATGAATATAGTCAATTTTATGGATATTATCATAATATATTATATAAAATATATTTTTACGTTGATGTAGAAAAACTAAATGTTAAAAACAATATTATTATTTAATAATTATACTTTTTATTTATTTATTTCAATGAGATGTATATTTTGGGTTTTATAAAATATTACATTTCGAAATGATTTATTTTATAATAATTTGTACTTAAAAAATTAATTGCTTAATTATAAGTCTAAATTAGACAAGAAATTATTATTTAAAAACACTTTAAGATTATTCAAGAGAAAGCTCAAATAAATAATTTATAATTTAATATATAAATTTAGATCCATTTAAACGACCGAATTAAAAATAAGAAGTGGACTGGAAATTTAATTCTGATTAAATATATTTCTAATTTTGTACATATTATTAGATTATTGGCTGTTGATGTAATAATTTGTAATTTAAAAGTGGCTAATCTTACTATAAAGAAATAAGAACAGACATTTTGCTTTAACATATTTTTAACTTATAAACTTACTTATTTGAAATTCGTAAATTATATTGATAGTAAACTTGATCAATTAAATAAGTAACTAATGAAATTGTGGTGCAGGTATCGGTGCAAGTTGTGATACGATTTTGGATGCAGAGCTCTCTGTTGAATTCCCAGATTTGCTGTTTCCTCTAGATGATTCTGACTCTGAACGTAGAATTGAGTTAACGCCCTTCGCCGATTCTTCAGTCATGCAGTTTCGAGTCCCTAAGAATACTGAGCTGTCTAAACTGCAAGTGAACTCCAGTTGTGGGGAAAATTGCTCAATATTATTATATGTAACAGCTGTTGATCAGGTATTTGGAAAAATTGTTAATATGAGTAATAGCAACGTCAGCTTTCGGCCTTACGATGAGTCCATACACTACGTAGTGCTGTACCTCGAGACCGGTATAGCCAGCAACGTTTCCCTATTGATCACAAATGTTCAGATGACTACAAATAATCAGGTGCACGTGCCGCTTCTGAGGAAAACGCTACCCGATTTTTTTCTTTTTGATTATGAGCATCTAGTGGAGAATAGTAGTAAAGCAGTGCCAATGAATTTGACAACTAGTGCTTTGAGTATATTGAGATTCAAAGTTGGAGCCGTCTACGATACTGGTGGCACGTTGTCCCTTGGACTAAGGATCGCTGATGACGAAAAGAACCAGAGCGATAAAATTATCGTCGTAGGCTGTGTTTCTCTAGGTATTATATCTCTTTTTTCTTATCAATCGCTTCTGTTCTATTATTCAATGATATTCTAATTAATTTTCATCTCTCAATTTGAATTTTGTTTTTTAATAGTAATAACATTCCTTATCCAATCTTTCATATTTTCATTTAAAGCTTCTAATATTTTTACAAAGTTTAAATTCTAATAAAGTTTAAATTAAGCGCTATTCCTTACGTTATACTTTCTGGAGTATCTAATAAGATTTTACTTAATATTTAATAGATAGGCTTAATATCTTTTTCTTTTTCATTTAAATTAATTACATATTATGCTTCAACAACTTATTTGGGTATAATATCATGGATTTATAGTAAGATTATAACCTTGCTATTGCTTATTTTTAAAATGGCTTATTTTTCAAATAATGAAATATAATAGAATTGAGAAAGTCAAATATAAAATTTAATATTATTTATAAAATTAATAAATTAATACTTTTAATAAATACAATTTATTTTTTATTTAAATTAATTGAAAATGTCTCTTTTTAATAAAAGCCATAAATGCATCTTACAAGACTTAAAATACACTATTCAAGTAATTAACACTATAATTTGCTAGTTAGTATTATGCATAGTATTTGCTATTATTATTTAGTACATTATTTAGTATTCTGCTATTTAATAATTATTGCTATAAAGTTATAAAATGTACATTATAAATAATAAAAATTAATAACATTCATTAATCACGATTGAAAATTTGGAGTAAATAATTTCTTTGAAAGTAGTTTTAGTAATTACAAAAATATCTTACTATGAAGTTAAATTTTTTTTTAATGAATGGCAGTATTTATCTTCTTTCTAAAAAAATTCTTATTAATATTTGTAAATAATATATTATCATTGTACAGTATGTCTAATTATAATCTGACGATTCATAAAGAAAAATAGAAACAGTTACTTTGGTGCAATCTTGCTCGCTTGTAGGCTACGCCATACTGATAAATGCAGAGGGCAGGTGCCAGGGTATTAAGGGCTCAACGAGATTGGCCGACATTCTGGTAACGAACCGTAGCAGCCCGGTATTCGTGCATGTACCTTATCCAGAGCCAGGCTTCTGGCACTTGAGTCTACGAGCTTACTGCTTCGGAGAAGGCAATTGTGACTGCTTCGAACGATGCTCTCAAAACCTAACCGACTGCGAAAAGTGCAGTTGTGTACAACCTTGCGAAGTCCGAGTCGAGAGCAGCGTTGCCTCGTCGCCCTGCATCGAGGGTGGCTGCGGCTCCCATGGCCGCTGTGTACACTACATGAGTGGAGGTTTTGTATTCTCAGCTTGCCATTGTATCGGTGGCTATCGAGGTTTTGACTGTGCCGATGGCGAGTACCTTCTTAGCAAAACTGATGTTCTGATCAGGCTACTGATTCTTACTCTCAGCAATCTAACTTTTATTGGCTCCATCTATGTAGCCATTATCAGGCGCTACTACACCGAATCCATCGTTTATGCAGCCGTAATGTTTTTCTCAACATTCTATCACGCTTGCGAAGCTGGGGAAGAGGTTAATTCGCTTCTTTCTTTTCTCATTTTTTATTTCATTAATAAACACATCGTACAATAATCAAAATCTATTACACAAACTTGGAAATTATATAAAATACTTCGTAAATATAAAAAGTGTTAAATTATATAATTAGATTGTAATTTTCTGTAATTCTAAGCCATTTAAATAATAATTCTATAATTTATTTAGTATGTGCTAAATACACACTAAACTAAAATAGCATTGAAACTACTGCCTTAAAGTAGAACATAACTTTAAAAATTATCAAAATAATGAAACATCTATACATTATCAATTTTTAACAATATGATATCAATTGATAAACTTTAGAGTATAAACAAATTTTTTTATACAATATAAAAAAATATAAATACTTATTTATATCTTTCTGTTATAAAAATTATACAATAATTTTAGACATTTTAGTGACTTCTCCAATTAACGAATTTTAACAGGGCCACAGTTTCTGTCTAATGAAGCTGAGTGTTCTGCAGTTTTGTGATTTTTACAATGCTTTACTCTCGATTTGGGTGACATTGGTAGCAATGGCGTCGATGGGACCACGTACGACCTCCTTTTGCCACATGCTAGGAGTTGTCATACTTGCCGTTGGTGCTGAAATGGATCGTACGGCTCTTTGGGTTTTTCTTTTACCTACAGTATCCGGGTGTATTCTCGTTCTGGTTTTCTGGACGACAAAATGCAGACAGAAGGGTATATATATTCTTATAGAGTTTTAATCATATCATCTTTATTTTATTAATAAGATTCCATTTCTCATGAATTCAAATCATTATAATACAGATGTATTTTAGTATAAATGTATTATTAAGAAATTATAATGTTAAATAGTTTCAAATTTTTAACGATTATAATATTTATATTTCTAAGAATTATTTATTCTCTAGTAGTGCAAATCTATATTGTTAAAAGTATACTCTTGTAAAAGAAATTATATTTTAAATTGTTCATACAAATATTTCTGTCAAACTCAATATTTTGATTCTGATTCATATATATTTATATTTGTATAATCACTAGTCATTAGTGCTTGAAATTAGTTTTCAAACTTTTATTAGTTGAATAACTAAAAAATATATACGGAAAAATAGTATTACAAAGTAGATATTTACTCTTTAATCAGCACAAAAAAACATCTACTTATGTATACCTACGATGTTTAAATATATTAATAACAATTACTTATTTTTGAGAGTTCAAATTCTAATAACTTAATTATATATTTGTAAACACAGGTACATATTACATATTGTATTATAATAAATATGTAACAACTTTTTTAAAATATTCAAAACTCAATCAATAATACTACTAAGAAGAATATATAAATTTTATTATATTTTCATAAAGAAATATTTTTACCATTTTACAATTCAATGAAAATAAGAGTGAAATCTTAGTTGATATTGTTGAACAAGCAAATAATAAAAAAAAACAAAAATAATAATATACCTATATAACAAGATATTAGTAGCAACAATATTATAATATAAGCTATTTAAAGCAAATTATTGTAATAGTTAATGCATTTCTTAAAAGCATAAGTTCTACTTTCAAGTTATAATTTAATTTAATGAAATAAGAATTTCAACTAGATATTACAATATTATTATTTAAAGAGAAACTGTAAACGAATATTACTAGAATAACTATATATAATTAGTTTGCTTTAGAATTATTAGAAATTTAATTAAAATATAAAATTTATCTTTATATTTATTATGTGTTGTAGCAAATTTCACAATAACTGTTTAAATCGACTCTTGATAATACAAATCTAAATATCGTATTTTCACTGTATAATAACAAAGTTACAATAAGTAATTATATATGTCTTACTTTATTTTTATACGAGTTTTTATAATTTTTAATAAAGCAACATATATACATAGGAATCTTCACTTGGATTTTGTATATACTTCACTTCGATTGAGTATATAATTCTAGAAAATGTAAAAAAACTTTGCTTTTTTGTTTTCAAAATTTAAAAATACTATGAATTACAAATCCTATTGAATATACTTCTAAATTATCAAATTATAAATTTATAATAAAATTGCAGGCACCTTGAAGTATCCGGCACGAAAGTACAAATTTATTTATTTACCGATCGGTCTCGTCTGTGTGCTAATCGGCCTCGGCTGCTATGGCTTTCTGCAAACACGTCGCAACTATTACCTCGTGCATAGCTTGTGGCACATATGTGTTGCTGCAGGAGTTATTCTCCTTCTACCTAAACAGGAGCACATGTAATGACATTGGATTTGCATTTTTACATTTTAATTACACGATTACTTATTCAAAATTCATAATTACCACAAACCAAATTCCTGACTGTATTTGCAGGAAATATTTTTCATAGTAGTAGTATACTTAATATTCGCAATAGATTTCACGGTATCCGTACACCTTAGCATTAATAAGGTCAACACAAGCTAGATTATAAAGCAAATTTCCTATTTTCATTTACAACTAATAAGCAAAATTCATATGGATTATTTATCCCACATTCAATTATCATGTCAAATTTTATCTAAGATAAAAATTGATCAAATCCTTAATTATATCAAAACAAAACTATTAAAAATGTTTCCATTCTTACGCATTAAATATTTTTAAAAAAATACTATTTCCTTAGAGAATATTTTTTTTATTAATCAATTTTACTTTTACTTGATAAGAGAAAAAATAAAAATTAATAAGTTGATTCAATGTGTCCAAGTACGTGGACTATTTTTAGTATTTTTAGTTTTTCTTTATAACAAAAATTATCTGAAAATAATTTATTTTTGAAAGCAAATATTTTAGACTATTAAAACCATTAATAATTAATATTTAACATATTATTTAGAAATAATAATAGTAAAAGTTATGAAAATATTCTTTCTCTAACAATTTGATTGGAAAGCTAAAATAAAAGAATTTTGTTTAATTGCTGAACATTATTCGATTAATACATTAATTTAAAATAATTTAAATATCTGTTAATAAAAAGTTTTGAACATATAAAAACATTGAGAAAAATCGAACGTTTGTCTTGATGTTAAATTTTAGATATTGTAATGAAGCATTATCATTCATAATGATGTTTGATATATCTTTATTCTCGAATGATATACTTTTTAAGGATATATATCTTTTTATGTACCATTTAGACTTCAACTGCATATATATTTTGTATTGTGTAAATTATATTATATATAAATAGCATTATATAAAAATATAAATTAGATAAATAACATTATATTAAATCTATTGGTATTAAATATTGAATTAAATTGATTTTTTATCCATTAACTCAAATTATTATTGTTGACCTGTATTCTATTTTTTGTTATTGATAATTTATTTTATAAATACAATATAGAAATTTTGTAAGAGACTTTTTACTTATGAGTATTATTTTCAATAGTTAATACTGAATGTGAAGAAATACATATTTATAATAATTAAAATTATAATAAAACATAAATTATAAAACTTATACAGACTTTGTCAAAGTTTTCAAAGTTGCAATAACTATACGATTAGATTTGATGAGTATGTAATATTTATAATATACAGATAAATTCACGAATTTTTCACACGAATAATTATATTTAATTTTTATTGTTGATATACATAAATATTCAAATAATACAATATGTTTATTATCATTTGCATGGCAGCACGCACAATCAATGGCAGATTTAATAGCATTGAAACCTTCTTCCTCGAAATTATAAGATTAAATGAAATTCGATATTATATAATAAAATGTGATACATCAACACCTACGCAATCTTATTTTTAATAGATAATACATGTTTATTGAAATTTGAAATATATTTTAATTCATTTCAATATATTATATGCATTAAAAATACTTATATTAAGAGAATTTTCGAGCTATAATCAATTTTGATTTATATAATAAAATCAATTTGACGTTTAACAATTTCTAAACCTATTTTACATCGTATTTTATCTTTCAATGCAAATACTATATACTGTCAAATATTAGGTCATAAATTATAGGAAATAATATATATTAAAAGAATTATATAATAATAGAATTATATAATAATAAATTTATCTAAAATAGAAAGCACTATTAAAGTAATATAACATTTGATGCATGTAACTTCAAATAGTATCAGGCGATTGAAATATCAAATTTCTAATAGTAGTATATTATTAATACTAATACTATTACTACTACTGCTAATATTTGTTGCTACTACTGCTAATACTGCTAATAATAACATGGTGTGAAAACTATGATGTTAAGTTCGATTTGTATCGTCACCGGCATCACATTTGCACTTGAGACGTATTAAAAGTTGGTTGCATGATATAGGGAACCTGCTCAAAGATTAACAAGTGTCAAGAATTTTCTCAGGGCTTGGTAGTCTTCAAAATATCCAACAACGAAATAAATTTATAAATTAATATGGATAATCAATCACGCGATGGTTGCGGCCTTGGCGGAAGTGATGACATTGTTGGCCGCGAGTTTGGCGAGGATGGTAAGAATTGTGTCCGTAGAAAAGCCGCAATGTTGATAGGTTCTGGCACAACTCTGTCCATTACGACCTGTTTCCATTGCCTCTTGTATTGCTGTACCCTGAAGGGCGGCGCGCATCATCTGGTTGGAGGAGAGAATATCAACGAACTTATCGATGCCCGAGACGGTCTCGTTCGAACTCTCATCCAGATTGAGGTTGTGCATCGCCTCTGCAGCCTGTTTTGAATAAGAGCAGGCAATCCGTTGCATGCAACTCGTGGTGTCGACACCGTGGCGAGCAAGAGCATCATCCAGCTTTGTCATCACCTGGGCTATACCGCCGTCCTCGCCTAAGTTAATTATTTGTGTTAAGGGGATTCCCCTCTTTTTCTTTCATTCTCTCAGACAAAGAATTTATCAACTTATAATATTGTTACATTTATTTTTTTATATTTTGACTGGATACTAATTTAAGTAAAATTGATAATATTTATTTTACAAACAAAAGTATACTAAAATTATTTTGTATGATGTGCGAAAAAAGATTGTTATTATCAATATTTTCTATTTGTTAAGTAATTTAAAAATTTCATTAACTTTAAAAACTTATAAATATTTTTATTAATATTACTTTCCAATTATATTATAATCTGGGCCTTCCTTATTAAATGCATATATAAACGATATTTAATATAATTTTGAAATAATATCAAATTTAATTTTAAATACAATTATTATTTTTAAATGTTTCTTTAAATATAAGGATCATTCTATACCATAAAGGACTTAATATTGGAATGAATTGAATTAAACTTACTTCTAGCATAAGCTCCATACGTGCCCGATAAAACATATAGCAATTTTGGTATTATCAAGATTGTTCCGATACCTATCACAGCTCCTAACAGAAGTCCTCCTAAATCAATTCTCGCTGGTGCATAACTGGAAATTCCGTATCCCTTATGTGTTTTTAAACATACAATCAAGTAGTTAGTGTTTTTGTAATACTCTGTTTAACTATTATATTATAATAGTATATTGAATGATAATTAAAAAATTATGAATATTTTATTATGGCCCTATAATCATACTAAAATGATGATTAATAATTATGAATTAAAACCATTTGTACTTAATTTAAAAGATTAAAATAAAAAATGTGTTGTTATTGAAATAATAATAATGATGCAAATATTTTTGATATATTCATTCGTGATTTATATACTGGTAGGTAAGAAATATTTTTTCATTAAAAAATTTGAAATGCTTACAGTATTATCTGCGACGTTTGTGAAACCAAAACGTGGCTCTTGAGTTCGATTGATTATGTCATTATCACTTTTGAATAAATCCAAATCTGTGCGTGATTTTAAATTAGTTGGTGTGGCAAGTTGATCTTGGGATTTACTCGACTTGCCCGTATAATCTATAGAACTAGGTTTAAAACTAAATAAGGATTAATAAATATAATATAGAGTAATAAATACATGAAATTTAATTATTAACAACAGCTATAAAGAATAACTTACCTTCCATCATCGAATTTTGGAAAGCAAACGACAGATACCACTAATAGGCCTATCGATAGCAGTGTTACAGATTTCATTGTTATCACCTACAGAAATATTTATTCAGATAAGCTTAATATTAATATAATATATATTATAAAAACAATTATTCTTTACTTTTAGTTAATGTATATTTGTCAGACAAACACATTACATAAAAGCTGATAAAATATTTATTTGTAAATATAAAAACAAAATTATAATTTTCAATTTCAGATGAAAATAACGTAATATAAATTATTCAGATTATATCTAATAATAAATTGTCACTAAATATAAATTGTTAAGATAAACTACATTTCTTGTAGGTTAGAAATATAAATAATGTTATGAACATTTAAAATTCACCTTTAGCTATCTCAGTAATACACACTTTTCACCTTCGTATTCAATATGGAAAGTGAGTATCAAATTAAATTCCAAAAAATTTAAACCGTCGGTGCTTTTGTTAAATTTTCTACTGAGGTACTGTAGGTTTGGACGAACCCATTATATATAGTTATGGACCGTCGTTAGGTGAGCGGTAACGAGGATAATTGCTTTTGACGGTTTCGCTTTCATTGCTTGTCTCTCCATAGCCGATGCGTGACATCTCACTCGTGCTTCGCTACCCGCGACCATCCCGAAATAATTCGACTTTTGCGACATCGTAGGCCGTTTAGAGAGAGAGAAGATGATAAGTCCCAGGATAATCTTCTGACCCCGAGAATATCAGGTACTTCCGGCCTTTCTTTCACCACTTTATGCAATATTAGTGAGGAGAACAGGAAGATTTATAACACGTTGTACATGGTACTTGTTCTGCTAGTAATTTCGACACTAATAATAGCGACTTCAAGTTGTATGTTTCATTCTTTGACACGGCGCGTTGCGTTATGATAGCGCCGGTTGCATGCATTCACTTTCGGTTGACGGTTCGCTGTTAAAGAATAACGTATCTGTCCTACCATCGTTGAGACCATGGACACCGATTATTTTGAGGTAGTTGTTTCTGTACTAAAGTACTGTTTTTCCAGGTTTCTAACAAAGTTGTTAGAAATTTGGTAATAATGGTTGTACCACTATTTTCTTAATCTCAAATAACTTTCTGTTTTTTAATTTTCTATATTTTTAACAAATTTTAAAATCATGTATAGATCAATAATCAACTTTATAAAAACAGTAATTTATTAATGTTTTCAGTACTATTCTTAACGTAATATGTGTACTTTAGAAATAACGTTGTCTTAAATCAAATTGACTATCAAATATAATGTTGGTAATAAGAATGAATGTGACCATAACAATAATTAATATTGTAATATTTATTCATTATTTCGACTATTTGGTCACTATAAAATACTAAACTTATAAGCACTCTATAATACATACATAAATCATTTGCAATGTTTATTCCGAATTAAAGAAATCAATTTCGTAAATGAAAATTTAATCATAGTAAAATGTTTGTAAGTAATATTTAAAAATTATAGATACAATGTAAAACAGTTCATTGTCAATTACGTATAAAAGTCAAATAGTTTATTTTAGATAAATTGAAACAAAATAATAAATTATAAAAATTTTAATAAATTTATTTTAAAAAGTTATAAGTGCTATATATTTGACGAGAAAAAAACGTAAATACACTTAAGATACATTTTATATTTTACGCCATCATGTATTACATTATATCTGTCAATTTCTATCTACATTATATGTGTTGTATTATATATAAATAAGTCAATAAATTACAATTAAAAATCTCTTTAAAAATTACGATTATAAATAAATTAAACTACCAAATATATTAAACCATTTAATTATTGGGGAATAAAAACTTAAATATTATTTCTTATGATATATATAATGCTTGTGAAATTACAAGTGACAAAAAGAATAATAGATAATTTATATCTAAAATATTATTAGTACTTATTAAATACTTCATATTAATACTTCATTAAAATTGAATTTTTATTTATTTATTTCCGTATCTAAACAACTAAATTAAAAATGTATTTACAAATTATTTTAATTCTTGACGATTTCTCCCCAATTTTATACTTAAGTGCATTTGCTATTTCCAAGCGGTTTGTTAGCTTTAAAGTACAAGAAGTTTTATTTTCGTTTTCACGTAAGTTTCATATTACTTTTCTTTTTCATAAATTACATACTTTTTAATATGTTTTCAGTGAATAATATAAACTAATTAATACAATATTAGTACTCATGAAAGTATTTAAACATTTATTTTTACAGAGATTATCATTATTATTTATTATTTATGATATTAAGTACAATACAAAGATTATATAGGATTTGTCTTTTTATTTCTAGTGATTGATTAAACTACAATGTTTTTTTATTAAATTATTTTATAATAAAAAATATTAAAAGTACTGCGAATCATCAAACATTTACATTTTAATTTTATATTTGATTACATAAATTAAATAAATTTGTAGTAAATTTAATCAATAACAATAAATATAAAGTAATTCAATACATAATTGATGAAAAAAGTAATACAACGGATACAAAATATATGAAGATTATTAAAACTATAATTATATTATTTATTTAACATTATAGTCCCATTTGACAAAAAAGTGTTACAATATTTAATAATCATGAAAAATAATATAATATAATATTTATAATAAAAATGATGTGTAAATAATTCATTATAATAAAAATCTTGCACCAGAATTATCATTAATTCCATTTCTTATTTGTAATTACTGAAATATACGTGATTGATATATAAGTGCCAGGTTGCTTAATCTATAATTTTTTTATTTTCATTGACAAACAAATATAACTGGATTTTCATTAATGAAATTAAAAATAATAACACAATTTCACCTTTTTTAATTTTTTTTATCAATGAAAATGGATTTAAATTAACTGAAGAAATTCTAATTTTCAAAAAAAATTAGCTGAAATAATTCCTTAATCTATCTTACTCACTGATAATAAATTCAATAATACCCCAAGAAATTGCAATACAAAATAATATTAGAAAAGAAACAAGCGAAAACAACGTATATATAACTACGTCTTATAGAAGTCCGTTCTAGCCTACTGCTCAAAAAAAATATTACTCGAGGAAAGTATCACTGAGCATAAATTGAGTTTCGCTTATTTCCTCAAAGGTGAAAATATCCAGAGACGCTGCCACTATCCTTAAATATTTTTAACATAACCATTCCTTCGGTGCACACACAAATTTCAAAGTCATTAATGCCGAAAGGCCGATGTAATGTGCTGGAAAATATGTTTCCTATTCTTGCCTTTTTTGTCGAAGGCAAGAGAAAGGGTTGGAAGCCAGTAACTACATATCGAATGTACGCTTATCTGCTTCTACGAGTTGTCATTCTCGGTAGAACTAGGCATAGTTCTGTCCACGAAACAGAAACGCTGTGGAATAAAAACGTAACTTGTTACCAACTGTTATCTCTCAGGTAATAATTAAAAATCTATAACGACTTCTTTGTTAATTTCTTTAACAATGTTAAATACTTCACAAGTAATTTGTATTTTTGGAAATGCAGATGCGAAAATTAATTTGTGCTTTCATGGTATTTGAATTATAATTGTACTTTATATATTAAAGAGTGATTATTACCATATTACAGGATAATGTTTCTAATATATATGATGTATGTAGGTTATAATGAAAGAAAAAGAATGGAGACACATAACTGCAGATTTGAACGTTATTTAGTTTAAAATACGAAGCTTAAGTGAAATCAACAAGTAGACATTTATAAGCAGTAAATCTATGATTTAATCAGATATTTAAATTTGTAATAGATGTTTGCACTAGCCATAATATATTATGCTTTAGCTTGAGTTATCAATTCTTGATTTAAAATGGATTAAAATTTATATTTAAGTTCAATTAAAATTTAATACTGTTGTTTGTATGTGAATTTTTATGCCTAATAACAATTTGTTTGTAAATGCAATTTGACTGAAGACCAAATATAGATGATAGAAAAACAACTCAATTACGAACATTAATACGTAAATTATACAAAATTCGTTAGATATTTTTTTTTTAATTTGTCAATTACAATTCTATGTTATGACTTTAGATTTTAATATATAATTATATGATTTTTTGATAATTTATCATCAAGAAAGTAAAATATTTTACTAACGGTAATCCACATGTTTTATTTTATTTTAATTTGATCTGTGAAGATATACTCATTTTTATTAAAATCTTTATTATTTTTTGCACAAAATTGTACCTATTTTTAATCTATTTTAAACTAAAAAATATTGTTTTCTTTTATAATTATATAATAATGCGAAGAAAAGGAAATTATTATTTAAAAATCATTGGTAGTGAGTATCATTGATTATCAAAGACATGAGACACATATATTATAAAATGAGATGGTTAGCTCCAATGTATTATTTTTGTTATTAATTATTATCATTTATAATTTCTCAATAGATTTCTTACGTATTGTATTAATTACATGTATTTGCACGAATTAATTTTGATAAATAATGAATTAAAATTGATATAGTCTTTTGGTTGAATTTGTTATATAAGATTCTTGCAGATTATAAATATACGTAAATAGCTTTATTTATAAAAAATGTTTGTATTTATATACTTTAACTAATTTGGAATATAATTTTCTATGTTTTCAGTTACATGTAAAAAAGGAGATATTTGTTATAAATATTAATTATTAACATTTATAGGAATTAATTTGTTTTAGTGCACAAGGAAATCGGAATATTGAAATAATGAGGAAAAATGTATTATTGATACCAATGTTAATATACTTTTTAATGCCATTCATTCCAATATATGGAAAAGATTATAATATACAAACTAGTACACATAGAAATCCAAAATTCATTGCATTTAATACAAACTCTGGAAAAATTGAGGTTAAAGTATAAAATTAATATTTTAAATTGAAACAGCACTAACAAAAAGCACTAGAAAATAAGAGAATTTATATCATTTTATCTCTAGAAGTTATGTAAGATTTTATCAAATACTTTTTAAGTAAAATAATGTATAGAAAAATATTTTTATATTTATAACGATAATTTATTAATTAAATAATTTAATATCAAAAAGTAATCTATAAACATTAATTAGAATATAGTATATAATAAGAAAACTATATATATTATATTTATAAAAATTTTTTTTTAGATCGCTCTGGATTTATCGTTACCGTTTTTGACAATTCCTTTAGAAGAGAAAACCGAAAATAGTGGTTTAATACAACCTTCATTAAAAATTAACCCAAAAGCATTAACAATATTAAGTATGCTTACGGTATTATCAACATTAATTTTTCCATGGTTTCGAAAGGAAAAACAAAAGTCATTTCCACTTCCAATTGATTTACATCATTACAATAAAGAGCATAAAGGTAATATGACATATCTAAATTATTATTAAGGCAAATAATAGTTCAATTTAAACATAATATAAGTACAATAACTTTTACATTAAATTTTACATTATTTAATATGTACATGCATTATTTAATTAAATACTAATCTAATAAATCACCGCCAGATTACACCATTAGTTAAATTCCAAAAACGTTAATAAATAATCGAATTTTAATATCGATTTAATAAACGAATATTTGAAGAAATTAATATTTACTTTTCAAATATTGAATTTTTATGAAAATATTCTGAAAACATGTTTATTAAATAAATTATTTTTATTATTTAAGACATCTGTATATTCGAATTGAAATTCTGTTTTCTTAAAATGTTACTTCTTGTTTTTATTTGATTAATAAATTTAGCGGTAAATAGAGGATTGGATCTTTTTTATTTAGAAAATATGATCAATGAAAGTTTATTTCAAAATATTCACATAAAACCTTGTATGCAAAATATTATTTGCTGGGCTGTTGCATCTGCGTTTCATTCGCAAAATCCATCCAGTGTGCATAAACTAATTGATAAAATATCCAGGTAAATTATATATATATAGTTTAATAATAATTAACCTTTAGTAATTATCATTATTTGTGTATTTAAATATATGAATTATAATAGATTTTATTTGTGTATTTAAATTTATTTGTGTATTTAAATATATGAATTATAATAGATTTTATTGAAGCAAATAATTATATTTTCCAACGTATTACTCAAATTCAAAGTTTTCTATAAATTTATATAAAATTTTGTTCACTTAAAAATTATGTGTGCGTGCATCCGCGCGCGTGTTTGTACAATCTCTGCAGTTTTTGATAATTTATACGCTATATTTTCTATATATTTGTGTAGCAAATGAATGTATATATTAATTATATTTGATAGATGTATGTAATAAAAATATATAATTTTCAGTACTTAAAAAAGCATTTTTAGTATCATAGTAAAAGAAAAAATCTAATTAAATTTATAACTAAAATATTTCATTGTGTTTTATTACTAAGTCATTCTATTATATAATACTTTATAAAACTTTAATTTTTATATCCACATATCTAAATATATCATTAATATATATGCAGATGTATTTATGTATGAAAAAACAAATATATATATATATATTAATGTGTACAAGAATGTATGGAACTATTTATATAACATGTTTGTATATTAATCATTGATTACAGTCATACATTGTTTGATAAGATCACAAATAATACATTTATAAAAGACGCTGTACTGAAAGGTCGCAAGGTATTAGAACCAAATGAATGTATTGCAGTGTACAAACAATGTACATTATTAAATCAAGAAATCATTGTTAACATTTTCAAGATTTTTGGAATATATAAATAATTCAGGAAGTGACAGAAATTTTCATTAAATAATAACAATTATCCGTTATATTCGATTTAAGGACTAAATTTCATTGTTCAAAATTTTGTGAAAATATTTAGATGTAAATTAAAATATATTAAAGGATATGAGTTAGAGTTTAAAATTGTTTTAGTAAACCGTATTCAAAATGATGTTTAAAAAATATATAACAATATAAAGTTTTTTTCAAACAATTTGTACTAGTTAATCTTGCATAAAATTGTATTCCTTATTAATCATTACAAGTAAGAATTAATGTATACTAGAAAATTTTTTATTTTACAATATAATTAAAGAAATATAATCATTAATTATAACATTTTAGCCTCTGAATGATTTTCATATCTAAATGTAGAAATGGATTCACTTGTTCATAGATAGTTAATTCATTAAAACTATACCATTTAAGAATACATATAATAATTTTTCAATAAAAGATTTTTCACAACAATACAGTTTATTTAAATTATATTATACCTAAATTGTGAGAATATCATACTATGCTAACATAAATAAATTATTTTAATTTCAATACGTTTAATACATGTAGAATAAGTGATTATGATCATTTATAAATTAAGAATAAAAAATTCTTTAAGTTTTTAAGTAAATATTTTTCTAAATAATTTATTTCGAAAGTTTTTTCATAAAAAAATTTATTTAAAAATAAATATATTTGTTTGAAATTGTGTATATTTAAATAAATTATTTAGGTTTTTATGTATGTTTAAATTTAAAAATAATTGGGTATTTATTTACAATCATCATAAAGAAAATTATTAGTGACAGACAGTTTTACCTGATTGTTTATCTATCAAAATAAATAATGTGCATTGAAGAATCATACAATTATAAGTATGTAGATCAGTAAACATACATAAACTTATTTGTAATGTTATACACAAGTCTTTTTAGTCAGTAAATTTATGCTTATATTATTAAATATTCTTATTTATTTGATACTTTGATAGTCACTTATTATATTAATGAAAAAACCTTTCTTTTTTAAAAATTTGTTTACATAATATTTTGAATATAGATATAGAAGATAATTTATTTTAAATATTGCTTTCATTATGATTCAGATGATAATTAATATTCGTTCTATCTATTTTTCTTTGCTTTATTAATGCAATAGGTATGAATCCACTTTCATGTATTTAATATTTTGATGTAATAATCTAAATTAAAAAAAAATTAATGTTTATTGTATGTTAATAAATTTTTTATAAATACGAAAAGTTCATTTTTAATTTTTGATTTTATAAACGACAATTTTTAAATTAGTATCCAGTCCAACTTAAACTTTCAACTTTTAAGTGATTCGTTTAAAAAAATTTGAAAATTTTAAGTATATATATTATATTTTTTATAATGATTGCTCATTTAATTAATATACACAATTTTTATAATTGCATGTGCTAAACTGATAAATAATTCTATACAAATTTTGAAAGTCGTTATTTTATTATATTATTAATAAGTGGTGATTTTTCTATATGCAAAGCATATCTAACAGATTCAATATAGGGAGATAAATGAAATATGCTCGAAAATTCTTTCCACAAAGAAATTAAATATATAAAATGGAGTATGTGCATACAGGTTTAAATAAAATAAATTAAATGTTTGAGAGGTTTTACCAGAACTTCTAATAAAATGCTAGCAAACTTACTTTTTTTTTAATAGTATAACGAATAAAATAAGAATTCCTTATTTTTATATGGCGATATAATACTAACTTAATATTACTATTTTGGTATTAAATTTATTTCATCAATACAGATAAGCAATACTAAGATAATGTACAAATGCAGAACCAACATACATGCTTTAACACTATATATACTTTATTTTATATTAAAACAATGGGTAACTTCTCTTATCATAATATATCTCTTCTCAATCATAAAATGTAACTCTTATCTTAATTTCAACAATTTACGTATATACTGCAGTATTGATCGATATTCTCAAATAATTATAATATTAAATTATGAGGATAAAATTCAGAAATCATAAAATCAACAAATAAGATTTATTAATAAGAGAGTCGGTAAAATTCTTTCAATTCTAACACTAATAAACGGTCTAATTGTTACAAAACAAAAGCTAGACATTATAAATTCAATATAATATATTTCATGGTGTATAAAGTAACACTTCATATTATTTATATACTTTGACATGTTTCTCTTAGTCGTGAAACTATTCGTTATTCACAATTATGTAGTAGAACATCACAATCAAAATCTTCAACATCAATGTAAAATTCCAGATTGTTCAGTTTTAGAAATTGCGGATTATCGCTCAGGACTTCAGTTCAACAAGGAATTGCGATTATATACCCGAGACTCACGTCAGCGATGTTTTAGGATGATTTGCCTCGGCCCCGTGCTCGATGAGGAACCGGACAGCTTCCTGATGATTGTGTTGGAGCGCCAACTGTAAAGCAGTGCGGCCCGAGACATCACTCTGCGAGAAATCGGCGCCAGCAAAATGATACGATCGTAATCGTTCTAAGTTGCCAGTTGCCGCTGCACAGCACATCCGTTCTCCTATCAGGCGCCCCTGCTCATGCAAATGAGCGCCACACTGAACCAACAATTTTATTATCTGAAAATAATCGGAGCACGCATGATTAGACATAATAATGTATGTCCTTTAAGTAGAAGTACTGTTTTATGAAAATACTTTTATAACTTAAGAACCAAAAATCTTTATTATGTAAGTTACTTCCGTTATTGAAAAGTAAAAGTAAACTTATTTTAATTAAATTTAATATAGTACCTCATGATGATCATATTCCATAGCATCTGTTAAGGGTGTTCGATTGAATCTATCTTTAATATGTACATTCGCTCCCATTTTCAAAAGATGACGAACTATCGTTATATCGCCTTCGCAACATGCGACATGCAAAGCTGTTCTACCATCGGCATTTGTTTGCGAAATGTCTGCACCCTATTTTTTTAAAAAAAGGTTAAGTATAGAAACAGCAAATAGCAACAGCAATGTAAAAGCTTTTTTATTTTAGATTTTGACGTGCTTGTACTGAAAATATTAAATAATAGGTTAGAAAAAATGTATAGATAGCCAAGTATACAATAATGTGGTATCGATAATTACTAAGTATAATGTATATACTATGCGATATCCAATTAGATATTTAAGTTTAAATAATGACATCTTTTAGATTATATATTATTCAAATAAATTGCTACACATTAGTTTATTTAAAATAATATATATATATATATATATATATATATATATATATATATATATATATATATAACTTACATATCTCTTGAGAGAATCTAATTTGGCTGTATCTTTGGCTAATACAGCAGCACTTAACATTGCAGGGAAAAAGATAGTGCCAAGCTCTTTGAATTCTGTTGGTGAACTTATTCGTAACGATCTACCGATTGAATCAACTAGATCCCAATCTTGCATAGTATCTGATCGACTAGAGATCATTTCACCACGCAAATTTGTCTCCATCATTATACGTTTTGTTTTCGTATCCCATTCAGATTTAGATAATACATAAGCAAGCTTCGTGAGAGCTGCTTCTGGAGTCATATCGAATCCAGATATTACCCCTGTTACATAACGTTCAGAAAATCATCATTTTTATTTAAATACTTATAGTATTTGTCATTATATATTTATTAATTGTAAATAGATTTATCACATATGAATACGATTATAATTTAATTAGTAATAAAAAACTCAAACCACATAAATTACTATGTTAAATAATGTAGATTCAAGTGTATGTAGAATTTTTAAAATTATAGTTATTTAAATTTTTAAAAAATTTTGATTATATTGTAACAACGATGCCATGTAATACAGGAGGGTAGCTATTTCATTAGTAAAATCAAAAGTTATAGTTCTTATAGAGGGAAGTGTATTCATTATTACGTGTCGCTCATATTATCTTATACTGTAAAATCATTTTAAGAAATTAATTTGTATCGAATATTATCCACGGTTAAGCTGAAAGCTTATTGATTTATTAGATTTCCGTGAAATAAGAACTATGCAAGGTAAATTAAATCACTTTGCTGACTATGGAAGTGGAATGCAGTATATTACATTTGATGTTATGTTGGATCTCTACAAATTCTGTACAAAGATAATTTCGCGAGTAAAGATACCGCTATTACATTTAGTATATATTATATTTTCAAAATGCATTTACTACTGTAAAATATTGATTTCATTCTTCATTAAGTTAAGAAAATTATAATGTATCGAGTAATAAAATTTACTACAACACTTAATATAATTTTGAAAGATATTTATAAAAAGTAAATAGTTAATTAAATTAGAATTACTTATTTCTAATTTTGAAAATATGTATACGAATATTTTGTTAACAGTTTAAAAATAATATAAATAAAATAATATCAAATAATTTTGGATGAGAAATATGGATGAGAATCATTATAAAATATATTCTCTTCTTCCCTTATCTATATTTCTATTCCAACTACAAATGTATGATAATATAATACGACTGTAGAATACTTTTATATATATATGCATAAAAAATTCGAATACATTTTCATTTTATTATGTTTTTACTGAAAAATAATTTATTTGAATTTATATAAAAAGTAGTATAACACTATGTTTATAATTGAGTTAATAATTTACTTAAGAAAATATGATTAAAAAATTCTAATATTAAAGATTAATAAAAATATTTCAATGAAAATGTAACGTTATTTGTTACAACAATGATTTGAGGAATAAAAATAAATATCGTCTATAGAAATGGAATTATTAATAAAAGGAATTCTTAGTATGATTTAATGAAAGCTGAATATAATTGCATATTATTCGAATAAAAAATCATTTTATGTATAAACTTTCAGCATTTTCATTTAATCAATAATTTAATACCAGCTTCTATGAGTATTTTTCCAGCTTCATACATAGATGATACACTGCCTTCAGGACACTGACTGATATTAACAATAATAATACCGCGATCAGCTGCTGCTTTAAATTCAGTTAATATATCTTCTCTATTCGATGGCACATTTCCTGCACCATACGTTTGTAAAACTATACCTTCAATGGGTTGGCAAAGAAACGCTCTGACTAATTCCGCAGTTATACTGGGAAATAGACGTAAAAGGCCAACTTTTTCATTCAATGTTGTGTGCACGTGAAATTTTTCCAAGGTGCACATTCGAAATATGGATCGATAATCAACTAAAAATATATTCAAATGTTGGGATAAAAACATGTAGTTTAATTAAAATTATTAATTTAATAATAAATAATATCGTAGTAATAGGCTAAAAAAGACCATCTATTTCGATGCCTGCAACAGCAAGTGGTGTAGTATTAGGTGATTGAAAAGCTTCGAATGCATTAACAGATGATTTTATAGTACGATTTCCTCGCATGAGACGAGTTCCAAAAAAAACACAAACTTCAGGAATGTTATAATTAACAGCGATTACTAATGAAGTTAAAAAATTATCGAGTCCGTCGCTTCTAGTATCGAATAATGGTATTTGTGATCCTGTTAATATTACAATTTTTCCGAGTGCTTCGAGCATAAATGATAATGCTGAGGCAGTATAACTTAATGTATCAGTACCATGTAAAACTACAAAACCATCAAAACGTTCGTAAGATTCCTAAATAATTTTAAACTATTGTTAGCTATTTATCCTTTAACAGTATTGTTAATGTTAATAAAAATTTTAAATATTACTTTAATATCACGTGCAATTCGAATCCAGTCATCCATTCGCATATTACTTGAATCACAAAGAGGTGAGTATTCCAAGACATTATAAATTATTCTTCTATTCACAACATCAGACATTCTGTGGAATAAACATCAATATTAAATTAATTGTTTTTATATATAGTTATAATTTTTTTGTTATATAAAAAGAGACGAATATATCATTTCACTGCTTTTGAATTTAAAATAGCCAACCTTCAATACCAACCAACTTATTATCATTACATTTATTGCACTTACTTTTACTATTGTATACATACAATTATGCATATAATTATTATTATAAATAAAAAGTTTTTTAATTTTTTTTTAATAAAATACATCTTAGTGAAATAATTGATTTATGTGGGTTATATATTTTTTAATTAAAATTGTTCTATAAGATTACAAATTAAAATTTATAAATATAAGAGCCACAATATTTGCAAATCATAAATCTATTATTTATAAAGAATAAATAATATTTATAGTTATAAATTAACTTCTGTAAACAGAATATAATTTTTAGACTTTAAACAAAAATTTTACATGTAATAATTTAAATTACATCATTGTTTAAATTGATTCTAAGTTTATTAATTTAAATTCTATAAAATTTTGTTTAATTAGAGTTATCATTTTACAAATTGCACATTATTTATAACTTTTGGTGTTAAAAAATGATACGCAAATTTTGAAAATATAATTTTTTGTTAGTGTGAAATTTTTGGAAGTATATTAAAAATAATAATTTTTAGTATAAGTATTTAGAATAATAAATATTATATATATTTTAGTAATAAAAGTAATAATTCATTTCATAATTCTAGAGTAAAACAAATTTCAATTTAAACAGTTTATTTGTTTATCTGTCACATCATTTAACATAATGATTTTTGAAAACACAATGTAACTTTAATAACATTAAAATTAATAGACATACGGTAATACTAGGGGTCCCATTGGTCCAAATCTTTTATCAGCATATTCTTTATCATGTAAATTAGGATATCTTCTTAAGTTTTTAATAAAAGCATTGGATACAGGTGCAAGAGCTAAATAAATATAAATTAAACAGATTTTTCTCAAATAATAATATAAATAATTAAAATAATTTAAAAGTTGTAGTTACCACCATGTTTGTTCCTAATCATTCCAATAGTGCCACCAGTATATAATACAAGTACTCTACCTTCTGGTTTACTTTGTTGTGGAAATGCTCCATAGGATGCAATTCGTCGAATTTGATTCTCATCTTTTTCTACTTTTTGTAAATAACCTTTATAATTCCTTTTATTATTATTTGCTAAACTTGAAATAACAAATGGATTTATACTAGTTGCATTATCTGAAGAATTGATTTCACTCATAATAACTAAAAATATCTAAAAATAAAAAATATAGCACATTTTTTATCAATTTTATTCATAAGTAGTTATTTAAAAAAATCAAAACTATAATTAAAAAGAATAAACTCGAAAAAAGTATTAATGAAACATAATTTTATCAACAAAATATTTTGTTTTTATGATCCTGTAATATATTAAACTATTTTACTTAATATTATACAAAATAAAATAAATACATCATTTAAAAATATTAATATGTCAAAATAAGTAAAACAAATAATAAAGCAAAATACAAAATATTTGTTTATTTTATGAATTAATTATTGTTTTAATAAATGTTAATCAAATATAGTTAAATAATAAGGAATTTATTATCAATAATGATATGATTCTAGAAAAATTAAAATTTGTATTTAACTTTTACTAAAAAATCTAAATTCAACTTAAATTATATAATAAATTGATTACATACGAAATTTCCCAATGTTCTTTATACTGATAAAATAAACTTATTTATCAAGTACTAGTGCTCAGTGACTTGGAATATGGTTCTATCAATTTGTCTATCTTTTATTCACATCTTTTGATGACTGGCATTGACAATTTTCTGATATTTGACCAAATGACCTGTGTCATTTTTTTAAAAACTTTTTATATTTCAAAGCTTTTGAAAGCTTACAAAGATAATCTACTTAATATTTTTGGTTCGATTCATAAATAAACGTGTCAAATCATTTTAACATAATTTGACACCGGCTATAGACAATATGTCAAGTCGACAGAGGTCCCCAATCATTTCATTCTTCGAGTCAACAAATAATATAGACTTGAAAGAACGCCTTTCGAGACTTCAAAGAACCCCGCGCAATTGACTTTTTGACAACTTGACGATATCAAGACAGAAATGTTGTATTTGTTAATTATAAATAATTTAAAGCACATGTTGAAAACCGTGAATGATAATCGCTATTGAACCATGAACTTTCAGCGCTATTATTTATATATTATGATAGTTAATTAGTTCATTAATTATAAGGAAATCAATACAAATTTTATCAAGGAAATAGAAGTTTTAACGCTTGTAAAATTTAATGATAAAGTTTCTCATTCGTAAATAACTAATATTCATTATTTAGAAGTCACTACAAATTTAAACTCAATTGATGTCATTATTATTTCTATAATATATATATATATATATATATATATATATATATATATATATATATATATATATATATATTAATCTTGTTCTTTAATTATTCTTTAATAAAAATATTCAAAATTATAGAACATATAAGTACATGAAAATATTAAATAATTTTTTTTTATTTAAAAAAAATGGAATAAATACAATAATTGTATATATTTATTTTCAAATAACATTTGAAAGCTTGGTCATTTACCAGTAATATTTATTTAAGTAAGTCAATAACTCATTTTCTTTTATCTTGACAAAGCAATATACATATGATTTAAGGTTAATAATTATAAACAAAATATTTAAATTAAATGATAATGGAAGTATTTATTTCAATGACATTGCAACATTAATTCAATGTTCAATTCACAGTTAAAAAATTTTTCAATTCAACCTAAATGCGTCAGCAATCAGTGAAATAAGTAATGTATACAAATTTTCAAATTGGAGCTATGAAATTAAATGTATATTAGAAAATTTACAACTCTCTAAATTTGTCATTTATTACGTATTTTTTAATATTTTAAGTATTAGTATAATATATTAAATATTATTTTTTTAAAATAATTAATAAAAAAAAATCCGTCTATGACATAGAAAGAATATCTGAATTCTAGAAAAATTTAGTTGTGCGCACGCAAGCCAAGAGCATATACATATGCACATTTGTATAATATATTATAGACCTGTATTCGATTATTGAGAACAAATACGCAAGTTGCAAAGAGAAAAGCAACGTTGCCGAGATGTCAATGGTCTTTCTCCCGCTAAAAAGTAGCACACGTACGCTAAATAATAAATTCAAAAAGAAAGCACAAGTTCCTTTTTTATGCAGCATAAATTAAACATATCAAATGTATTACTTAGGTGAATGTAGACATAATCGAGGAAGTTAAATTCAAAGAAAAAAGATAAATACGAGCGAAATGAAATGTTTCCAGAATATGAGTAATTCATAAAAAGCACACCACTTTAATTTTGTTTTGAAAATATTGATAAATCTCGTAAGAATTGAAAGTGAAAAGGAGTCGATCTGGTTGTAAAATAAAAATGAAGCAATACGAGGAAGAGAACAGAAGAGAGATAAAAACAGAGAAAGTCTACCACGTTTATCTTCTTTCATGTGTACATACGTAAATGCGGCAACAGTGTCCATTCTTTCCCCTCTCTCAAGAGCGCTTTTGCTTGTGCTATAGGTCGTTCTGACAAGTTACGTCTCTGACGGTCTCTCTTTTTCTCTTTGTCTCTTTCCATCTGTTACTTACTCCATATATTGCGCGCGCGCGCTCACTCGTTCCATCCTGTCATGCTCATTTCATCTCACTCTCGCTACTCGTTCCCTTACTCCCGTTTGATCCACTCCCCTCATCAATCCGTCCTTTCTTCCTATCCTCTCCGTCGCACTTGCGCACGCAAAGGCTGCAGAGTGGGAAATATATTGGAAATGGGCCGTAGCACAGCAGCGTAACACGCAACGATAGAAAGAACTGGATGAAGAAGGATGGAAAGAGATATAGCATTTTAGCTGTTATGTGCGATGGAGGGGGGGGGGGACTGACGAATGAAATAGCCGAGTGCAAAGGAGACAAGAAGCATGCGACGGAAGGAAAAAGAGACGGCTATAGCGGCGGAGTATTGGAGTGGAGTGAGGTGGCGATGGCAGTAAGCCCTAAACACTATACAGTATAGTACAGTTCATCGTGTGTATGTGCACGAGTACAAATGCGAACAGTACGACTTGGCGGCGCAGCGACTTTTTTGTAGAGGCGGACGTACGTCGCTGCCGTTGCTTTTCTGCGTGTGAAAAAAAGTGAGCGACTCAGCGCGCAGTGTAAGTAGCCGAACGGTGAACGTCACAAGAAGTTTATCCGATTTTTGACTCGGTATTTGGAGCTATGCTTGTGTAGAAGGGTGCGAGCTGCACGACGACACTTTAACCAAGGGGTAGAGATAACACGCGCGAACTCGAGTACCTAGGAGCTCACAGATTCTGTGCTACGGTTTTTCATGTGTCGTACACTGTTCAAAGGTGTTGTAGCGATAGCGATAACAGTAGCAACAGTAGCAGCAACAGCAACATTAGCACATTATGAGGACGGTCGTTGAGCGCTAGGAAGATGTTGGTAAGCAAAAGAGAAATACGCTCATGGCCGCTGCTGCAACCGCTGCTCGTCCTGATGTTCCTCTTCCTCTTCCATAGTTGAAACGTGCGTGAGAAGGAGGATAGAAGAAGGCTGTGCGTATATATGTGAGAACGTCTATATACGTCGGAGAGAGTTTGCCTACCTTTTTCATTGCCGCGACGATGTTGTCCACGTAGCGCCCAAGACTTCCCAAAAGTTTTATTTTTTGCACTCGCACGCCTCGGACTTTAGTTATTGCTGTTGATACCTCGCACGCCAAGGCCTCTCTTTCGATCCCCCGAGATCCTGAAAATCCGCATAGTTTAACAGGAATTTGGCAACTAGCAGTGGCCCCTCATTGAAAGGATTCTCAATTGTGGAGTCATGTCTTGTAATGTTTTGCAGGGGGACGATCCGCCTTATTTGTCGGTGGGCACTGAAGTTAGTGCCAAATATAAGGGAGCTTTCTGCGAGGCAAAAATTAGAAAGGTTGTGCGCAGTGTAAAATGTAGGGTAACTTACAAACAAGGCTTAGGTACAGCCACTGTCACTGATGAGCAGGTCAAAGGAACTTTGAGAGTGGGTGCTTCCGTTGATGCTAGACATAATGATAGGAAGGAATTTGTCGAGGCGACTATTACAAAGATTCAGGACTGTAGTCAGTATACTGTTGTGTTTGATGACGGAGATATTACAACTTTGAGAAGAACAGCCTTGTGTCTCAAAAGTGGAAGACACTTTGCGGAAAGTGAAACATTGGATCAGCTACCACTCACGCATCCAGAACATTTTGGAAATCCTGTCATTGGCGGAAGACGTGGACGAAGATCCAGACAAACTCAGTAAGTGGAATAATTCATTATTAATCATTTATTGCTTATTCTTTAAAGCTGACTTTAATCAAAATTTAGTATAAAATATGGCTTAAATTGAATTTTGTTATATAACTTCCAAATTTATATACATTATAAATTCATATCGTAATTAACGTATTAGTTTTACTTTGCTATTTAAGATTGAAATTTTGTTAAAAATATCAACATGTAAAAATAATATTACAATTAAAATTATTTGTAGGAAAAAATTTTTGTATTTTTATGAATTTTTACCACTTTTTCCAGAGATGACAGTAGTGATGATGAAGAAGATCCTCCAAGAGGTAGCAATGATTCAGGATCTGGTTCTGGAGGAAAAGAAGGACCAGAGACAGAACCAGAAATTGGTAGAGTGGTATGTGTGGAACTTGGAGATAAAAAGAAAAAAGATAACTGGTTCCCTGGATTAGTTGTTGCTCCAACTGCTCAAGACACTGTTAGAATTAGAGTTCGTGATGATTACCTTGTGAGATCATTTAAAGATGCTAGATAGTAAGTTCATATGTTATTTTATTCAAACTAATTGATAAATAGCTTATTGATCAATTATATTTTTAAAATACTTTGATATTGACTTACTATAAATGAATTGTATTCTCTAAATTTTTTATTAAAAAAGGTGTAAATAATATAAAAAATATAGAAATTTCCACATAAATTTTTGTGTGTATCATTGTAAAAAATTAAAATATTTATAAATCTTATAAAAAATATTTCCTTTAAGTACAAACATTCTGAAAAATCTATTTAAATAATTTATATTTATTATAATTTTTTAGTTATACAGTGCCAAAAAAAGAAGCTACAGAATTTACTAAGGAATTGGTCAATAAAGTGGAAAATAGTGCTTTAAAAGTAGCTGTAGAAAAGGCTTTATTATTTTTAGAGAAAAACGAGTTACCTCCTCATTGGGATCGAGATTCGTTATTTGGTAATTCAGTATCAAGTGGAAATAGTGACTCAGATGGAGAACTTGACACAGACGTAAGCTTTCATTGTTAATGTTATTAAATTATTTCTTAAATATTTGTTTAACTAATTATCTTATTAATCTATATGATAACTAAAACAATAAATTAGTTTAATTAATAGTTATTGAAACATTAAATATAAATATATATTAAAATTCTACATAATATTATTTGGAAAGTCACTCTATATTTATCGCAATACGTTGTATTATATAGTTATTTTTTTAAAAAATTTCAGAGCTCGGATGACGAACCGCGAGAGGAGAAAGATCACTTCGTCGCACAACTATATAAATTCATGGATGATCGTGGCACACCCATTAATAATTGTCCTATGATCGGCAATGAGGACATCGATTTGTACAGGTTATTTCGTGCTGTATACAAACTGGGTGGTTACAATCGCGTTACCAATCAAAACCAATGGAAACTGATAACACGGCGTCTTAGTTTCTCAATGCATAATAGTTCATCTACTCACAATTTAGTAAAACAAGCATATAAAAAATTCCTTCATTCCTTTGAGGACTTCTACAGAAAGTTGGGTTGCACGATGGTGAATCATCCAAGAGGCAGTATAAGGAAACAACGTCCAGGTCGCAGTTTGATTCGTGATAAAGACAGAAATACTCCAGTACCAACTCAAGAAAAGCCAGTTGTAAAAACAGAAAAGGAAGATGAGGAAAAAGAAAAGAAGAGCACTGTAGTGGTTGATGAAGAAATTAAAAAGGAAAAACGAGATATTAAAAAAGAGCCAATCCCTAAAGAGGACGAGCTACAAGTAAGCTTTTAACATTTATTATATTATAATATAATATTGATATTATCTCAGATGGTTTCTGAATTTATATTTCATTTTTACGTTATATTAGATTGTTTTACATAGAATTACATTTCATAATAGTAACACAATTACTAAGAAATTAAAGTTATTAGAATTTATTTATGTATAGAAATATCACCAATATATTTCTAATCTACAGAGAATATTTAAGTAAATTAATTTTTTAATTAATTTACAATTATTATTATTTTTTTTCAAATTATGAATTCTTATCAACATTGTTTATCTTATATCCTTGGGGAAAAATTATAATAAACAGTAAATTCAAAGTATGAAATAAATACATAAATTGATAAATATATGGATTTATTAAATGGTAAAAATGATCATAGTATATAAAGATATATAGTGTATAGGATATAAAGATTTTTTCAAAATGTTCATCTAAAATTTATAATGTGTCTGTATAGCAATTCAAACCATCTCAACTTCGTTTAGTTTATAATATAAACATTATTTCCATTGTATACAGTGTAAAAGTGTTTGTTTAATTTTTGAAATAATATTACATTGTTTCTTTGTTATTGGATGTTTAGGTAAAAGTAAAACGAAAAGAAGAACCAGCAGAGGAGAGTGCCAGTGGCCAAGATAGTGATGTTAATATCGAGGGTGAAGAGTCTTCAAGCAGTGAGAAATCACAGAAAAGTATGATGAGATTGACTCCATCAAGTGGCATTGGAAATAAATCCAAAGTTGTCGCTATGGCTAACATCTCTGCTAAGAATAAGGAAGAGACATCGAAAAAAAAAACTGTCCCAGAGAAAAAGAAGGCGGCTGAAATAAAAAAGCAAGAAAAGAAGGACAATGAGAAAATCAAAGAGGAGGACAGTACAAAAACTAGGTCTAAATCAAAGGAAGACGTAATGAAAGTAAATAAATCGAATCCTTCATTAGAGACTCGGGAGACAAGAACACCTTCAAGAGAGTCGGACAAAAAAGTTTTCACGAAACAGAGGAGAATGACCGATGAAGAACTAAAGAAACGAGGGAGAAAAAAGAAGGAGGTAGAGGGTGAAAAGGGACGGGCACTCGAAGAGCGATCTATTGAGTATGCGCCTAGTTATAAAGGACCAGTTGAAATCGGCGACAGACTTAAAGTATATTATGGACCGACCCACGAATCTAAAGTTACTTATGAAGCTAAGGTTATCGATATGGAGAAAGATGGTACAGAAGCTGTATACTTAGTTCACTACACTGGATGGAACACCAGGTACATATGTTAATAATGAATCATATATTCCATCACAGAGATTCTAAGATTTATTATTTATTTTGTATGAGAAGTGCTCTTTATTATTAGGGAATAATTTTTGTTTATTTTTATCTATAATGATTTTACAAACTATTTTTATTTGTTATTTGTACAAAATATATTTATATTTAATTTATTTTCAATTATGAAATATATTAGACTTTATTTCAAATTACACTTTGCAATTAATACTGTAATGCAATATGGTTGTTTAATTACATTGCGTTATTGTTTACACAACAATCTGGAAATTATTAATACTCTTTCATTTATGATAAAATGTATGAATTAGCTTCAAATATACTTGATAGTTTTTAATTTTTGAAAATTTTTTAATGTCAAAAAAAAATTTTAAAAATAATAAAACTTCTAACACTTGATTTTTAAGATACGACGAATGGATAAAAGGCTCACGGATTGCTCAGAACTTTACCCAAGCCCAAGGTCGAGTAAAGCGTACGAAGGCAACTACTCGGCCGCAAACTCCCAGCACAAGTTCCACTACAATAACCAAGTCCTCAAAAACGGCAACGGCACCGAACGCAGGTACCGGCGCGGCTTCGTCTGCAGCTGCACAAAATCGTCGTCGAGCGCATAGTGTCGCACCTCCAGGTGCTCCTTCTCAATCGAACAAAGAATTGCGAAAGGAGGAGCGTGAAAGCACGCCGGTGATCCGCTCGATGACACCCTCACCGCTCACCTCCTGCATCTTGCGCACAAAGAGCCCTGCGATGACGATAAGCAATAGGACGACGCGATTGACGCGCAACACCGATACGACTTCGACGAATGAGTTACCGAGGCGCACGCGGCGGACCTCGGGTCACGTAGATGCAACTGTTGTAGAGGAGTCAGAAAGCGAGGATACGGACACGCTCGAGTCGGATGTGAGTGCAGAGGCTACTCAGGCACCTTTAAGGTCACGAATGAAGGGTACGCAGGAGAGAAATCGCCGAGAAGCGCGACGTCGAGCCGAAAGCCGTATGAAGATTGACGAAACAAGCGATGCCGAGGCGGAGAAAGATGCAGAGGAGCCACGAAGAGGCAGAAGGTTGAGAAAGACCATCGGCAAGATGCAGGAGGTCAAATCCGAGCCAGAAAGCGACGAGGAACAGCCCAAGGGCAGGGATTTTGATCTTAATCAGATTAGATCGGAACTCAAAGGCTTTGATAAGGCTGTTAAGTTGGAAATTGCAAGTATTGGACCCGAACCAGAAGAGGAGGGTGGGGAACGATCGATTATACCTGTTAAGCAGGAAAAGCTCGAGACGGAAAATTTCGCAGAAAAGAAGGTATCGGCATTTAGTACTTCATTATCAACATTTATCTAATTTAAGTTATAAATTTTTACCTTGTCTTTATTTAATTATATTAATATTGTCAATATATATATATATATATAAACGTACATATTTTAAAACATCTATTACGTAAATGTAGTTGCTAAATGTTCAAATATTAAATATAAAAGGATTATGAGTTCAAGTTTTAAAACAATAAAAAATATAATTTTTTTAAAAGTAACTTTAAAATAATTTTTGCACTATATTCTTTGAAGTTTAAATTTATTGCTAAATAAAATATTAATGTTCATAAATTATTACTACTGCAAGATAATCATTTAGATTAGTAAGATTGAGTAAAGTATTGAAAGTATTAAAGTATTGCTTATTCAAAATGTAGTTAATATAATGTGTAATATTTAAAATCTTTATAATACAATACTATTATATTATAATGAAATATAATTAATATATTTAATTGTGTAAAACAAACATTTAAATTATAAAGCATATTTTATTCATTTAACCAATTTTATTATAACTAAAAGATTCATTATATAAATGTTAATTAGACTTTATTATCTATTAATATTTTTAAAATATTTGAGTAAAAATAAACCTTTAATTCTTGTAGATAATTTTGGAACCAGAGAAAAAGCGTGAAATCACAAAGATTGAATCACAAAGTACTACTTCTATAAAAGGAGAATCTACTAAAATTGAACCAACCCAATTAGAAAATACTGAGGATATTTATGAATTTAAAGAACCTGAACCGTTCGAATTTGAGGTGCGCAATAAGCGAGATTCGGGTGGTACTATTAGTAACATTGACAAGGATAAAGATAAAGATAAGGATAAGGCAAAGAAACGTGTATTTGAAGAAGATTTGAAGAGTCCTAAAAAGCGTCAAAAAACATTTAACACTACAATCACTCCGGCGAAAGCAGAGTCAAAATCAGATAGTAGTCCAACAGAAAATACAGACAGCAAGAAAAAACCTCGTAAAATATTCAAGAAGAACGAGGAAACGGAAGAAGCTGATGTCGAGAGTGAAGACACTTCGATTACAACTAGGGAACTTTCTAAGTTCTTTCCAACAAATTATAGTGGAGTAGTAGTATTCAAGCGTAAGGGTTCTTTTGCTAATGCTGCACGTAATGCCGATGATTCCTTCACTGACGATATCGTTTCTACTGATAATTTGACTGAAGACAAGGATAAATTGAAAAAAATTATTATAATAGAAGAAGAAAACAGCAAAAGTCCAAAGAAAAGGCAGTCAAAAGCTTTCACTTGTATCGGTGCAACTAAGGCTAGTGAACTGAAGATTGAACTCTCTACTCTTGAGAACTCTGATGGAAAAAAGAAATTACGCAAAATATTCAACAAAAGGACGGATGAAATGGAAGATAACGAAGATGGCGAAGACTGTAATAAGGAACTTACCAAATTTTTTCCAAACTTCATGGGTGCGAGAGTTTCACCGCGAAAAGACGCTTATACAAGTAAAATGGCGATAGAAATTGATGGGACTGATGATAATACGCTCAGCGATAATAACGAAAAACCTAAAAAAATTACGGAGGAGGATATAGTGAAAAATCAAAAAAAGAGACAGAAGCCTTTCGGATCTAATCCTACTGATGCTATTGATACGAAGAAGAAACCTACTCGTAAAATGGTCAGTAAGAAAACCGAGGAGGTTGAAGGTACGGACGAAACTGAAAGCGATGAAGTTGAAGAATCGATGACAACGAGAGAGCATCATAAATATTTCTCGCATTATTCTGGTCCGAAGACGAAAGCGGCAGTTGCCAATATCAATGATACAGAAAACCCGCCAGATCGCCTCACTGTAACCAAAACAGAGACTCAAGTGAATGAACCTACTAAATTATTTGCAATCACTGGTAATGCATCGTTGAATAACGATAAGGACGAGACACAATTTAAAACAAGTGAAGTGATTACAACACTACCGTTATCACCGCTAGATTCTAAACAAGGTTCAGCTGGTACTGATAAGAAGCCTTTGCCAGGCAAAAATGACATAAAGCAGGAGTTGAAACCGTTAGATTTCATGCCAATTGTTACACACGCATTATCTGTTCCGGCTCCAATTAGTGCTCGACTACCAGCTACAGCAAGTATCGAAGAAAAACTTTCGGCTGCTGCGGTATTCCGCAGTAAACTAAAGGATACAAAGAAGGAAGAGGATTCGGAAACGATATCGAGAAAATCTCTTAAAGATAATACGAAAAAGTCGGAAGCTACATTCGTAAAGAAGACAAAAGATGATACCAAAATTAAGCATGAACCTGATAAGAAAAAACAGCACCAGCAACAGTCCATTGATCAAATTATCATTAAAAAAGATCCATTGCAGGAAATGGAAGTGCGTAAGGATCCATTACTCGAGGTTATGAAAAAAAAGGAAGAAGAGTTTAAAGCCTCTGTGAATGTAACAATCACAACGAACATAGCTGCGGTGAATAAGACGTATAGTGGACAAAAAAAGGATATCGTGACAAAAATTGAGGAAACATGGAAGAAAGCAGCCGCCGTCGCAGCAGCAGTGAATACGACAGCAACGTGCACTAGTGTCGAAGAACTCGTGTGTGAGTTAGCACCCGCCGAAACTAATAAGGATTATGTCATAGTGCATAAAGAGACGATTGTCAATAAGATTAAGTCAAGCATTGATAGAGACTCGATCGACTCAACCGACAGCAGCGATTCTGAAAGACGACTTACCATCATCGACAGCGAAGATTTTCCGGATGACAAGTGTAATGAGTCTAGTTCCGATCTCAAGATTAAGACAGCGTCGTCAGTGAGCACTACTCCGTTTAACTGTATAACGCAACAAGAGCATGCAAATGATTTGAATCAACAAATCGGTATCATCGGAGTTGTTGGAGCTATGTTGCAGACCAAGAATGCAAAAATGGAAGAAGATGGGGAAAACTTGAACTCGCTCTTATGTGAAGAGGAAATACCTGGTTCGCCAACACCCGGCTCCGATTCTATGGAGCAAGAGCACAAAACTATCAACACACAAAATCTTATTAAGACTGATATCGGTAAGATAAATTAAATTCAAATTTTCTTTTAGGAATGCAATCATGATCAATATTAGTTGCTTATAAGTCTCCGATTTCTGTTTTAACAAAATGAAGTTTATAAAGAATGAGAATTTTATTTAATAAACAATTTTATTTAAATAAAAAAATTTTAAGAGGTTTTTTTTATATTTTAAAAACAATACATTAATGTTTTCATGAAAAGTAAAAAATCAAGTTCATATTTGCTGCCCACTTTCAGAAGAAAATGTCTCTTTTCTAGTTAACCTGTCACCATATTTAAGTGTATATTTTTAAATCACAATATACATTTTGGATTTAGTAATATTATAAATAATTACAACCATTAAAATTATTTTCATTTATTTATAATCTGCATGAGAAATTTTAGTTAAATTAATTTAGTTTCCAACTACGATTGTAAAATAATATTTAATTATTTAAAGAAAATAACATTATCAAATCTTTTTTTCAAGTAATTCATTTAGTTATATACTTCTTTTTCAATACATAGTATTTATTAAAAAATTTTACATAGTAATTTTGTTTTAATTTTTAAGTAATCTAAAAATATGCGTTAATTTGGTGTATTGAGATATGCATAATAGCAATGCTATTATAGTTGTTAAAATATTTAAATGACTCTCTAAGATACGATGAATCAAATAAATAAGGAGCATATCAGTATATTTAGAAAATACCAATGTCAACAATAATTAATCATAATTTTGAGGATCATGTCGTTATGAAATATTAGTGTTACATTGATAAATTAAGAAATGGTAAAAATTTTAATGTTTTAATTTCATTGGCAGGGAGCAAAGTTGCCGTTGCATTTGTGGCGGCACAAATGCCACTGAGTACCATGACATCAGCAACTCAGTTAGCAAATTGTGCCATGGTAGCAACAATGAGCGGTGGTGTTCCGATGCCTCAGAGCACTAGTGGTCTTGTAACTGTTTCGATGACTGTTCAACATGCCAGTGTCCAACCAGTGCGACAGCCACAACTTCAAGTGCAACCACAACCGCAACAACAGTTGCATCATCAACATCATCATCATCATCATCAGCAGCAGCAGCAGCAGCAGCAGCAACAACAACAGCAGCAAGTGCTTCAAATGCAACCACAGACGCCGTCGCTATCGCAGATTCAACATCAGCATCAACAGCAATTGCATCATCCTCAACAACAGCATTTACATCATTCTCAGCTGCACCAGCAACAACAACAGCAACAGCAGCAAATACTACATCATCATCAGCAACATCTGCATCAGCATCAACGACACGAGCAGCATGAACAAGCAGTGGCTGCCGTAGCTGCGGCAGTAGCAATGCCAGTGGCAGCGGTGCATCATAGAGAAAGTAATGAGGCCGCACCGGTAATGGATAACACTCCGCCAACAACGCCTGACTCTAGTATATCCAACATTTCTGGCTCCCCAAGAGATGAAAGGACGGGAGGTCTAACACCTTCTTCCGAGGATAATAATTCTAAGACGAACCGCGATAGTTCCGAAGCTGAAAATGACCTTGGTGGCAAAGGACCAGGTTTCAGCGAAGATGATGGTTCGTCTCTCATCAACTCAGAGCACGGAAATACCGGCGGCGGTGCCAGCGGTGTATCCATTTCCACCTCCACTTCCGTTACCTCCGACAGAATACCCAAGGTCCCAGCCAAACGCTCTCTCGTAGAAATCGAGGTTACCTCCCCAAAAAAGCGTAAAAAACGAAAGGAACCAGAAAGCACTACAACGGGCAGTCAGAACAGTTCTTCCGGAAAGAAGTCTCCTAGGCAGAGCACCCGAAATACTAGGCATGGCACCGGCAGTGACAGTGATGACACCAGCGAGGGCTCGAACCTTTGCGGGAACAATCCCATGTTACAGACAAGTATCGCGACAGTATCCGGAGTTGGGACTGCAACCGGAACCAACAGTTCTCTCCCTGGCATCAACAATCCCGACAATACAGATCATGGAATGTTTTCAGCGGGATCGCCTAGGCCAACCAAATACAACTTCCTGATTGAATTAGGTAAGATGCTTTTTTGTAGGTATTGCTTAGTTATAATTTTAACAAATGGGATTCGTATTCTTTCACAGTATAGAATACTTTCTGACATATGTATCTGATGTCTTTACATCATAGTTTTGTTTCTCATTCATATATTCAGTTTTTTATGTATTAGTATGGTAGTTTTACACATGACTACTTTACTGTCATTTCATAATGCAATTTTGAATTTTAGATCCTGATTTAGACGGAGGCCAAAGGATAGCAGCCTTACAACAAAAACTTACAGAACTACGTAATACTTATAATTCTGTAAAAGTAGAACTTGCTGGTATAGAAAGGCGTAGGAAAAAATTAAAAAGAAGAGAGCGAGAAGGTAGATATTATTTCTTATCAATATCATAAAACACTTTAATAAAAAAAGCAGCAGTGTGAATGGTAAAATGCATATTTTTCAGCACAAAAAGCGGCAAAGGCTGAAATGCAACAAGCGTGCTCGTGATGGGAACGATAGTGATAGTTGTGACCTGTATTATGTACAAAAATCTACATAACTTTCGATTTGCGGAGGATTTCATGATAGTTTTCAAGTACCCAATGACGGTGTAGGTAATACTGTAAATAAATACAATACAAATGAAATTTACTATAAATACGTCATTATTCTTAATTTGCATTAGGATTTTTTTTTTTTTTTTTTACAGGATGAGAAAATTGTGTTTTCAAGGGACAACGAATTTTTGATCGTTGTACCATAAAAGCATGATTTCGTATCTATTAATTGTATTCGTGTTTCTCCACAAATTATTTATGCTTCCAGTATCCAAAAATCAATAATTGAAAAAATGAAAATGAATTATTTTAAAATAAGATTCTGTTCCAATATTAAGCAAATAAGCACTAAAATATTGTAAATGATTTGTATAAAGAATATTGTAATAATTATAATTTACTTGCGCAACTCGCAGCTTCGTGATTATAACGTGACAAAATGCATACGCCGTATGAGAAAAAACTTTCCGTCCTTATACTGTTAAAATATATATTAATGCAGCAATAATTTATCAATTTAAAAAAATTTTTCAGCATTATAATTTTACTTATATCAAGTCAGATTTAAAAAATTTATTCTGTTAACAAAACAGCTACTTTATTTATTCAATTACCAAGTGTAAATGGTAAATTTGAAAAGTATCTATGTAACTGTCACGTATGTCAAAAAAACAGTTTTATGAAAATATATATTTTTTTTTTTATATATAAAGGGTTAGTAAAAAAATCATACTCTTAATAAGGTTTGGTCATTTGATACCTTGTGTAATCTCTTAGATTTACAAAATTTTGTATATATTTTACATAATAATCTTGATGTGTGTGTGTGTGTCAGATTTTAGTTTTTCATTTTCATACACTCAATTTTCAAAATATTTCAAACAAATTCAAAATGAACAATTTTCAAGAAATATTCTTAATAACTATTTAATATTTTTTAAAAATGTAGAAAGTTCAAAAGTTAAATAAGTCAATAAATAATATCTTAAAATGAATATTAAGATTAAAAAATATCTTTATTATTAGAATTTTCATTGATTAGTATATCATTATATTTATTAAGTATCAATGACATCCGGTGGACTTTCAATGTCTTGATCTCTTTATCTTTGTGTCTTTTTGGTAAATGATTGCGAAGATATTTTTACCACTTATCTTTGTAAGTGAAAACATCTGTGCATTTTATTTTATTGTTTTCGAGAATAATGTACAGTTTTAAAAATCAGCTAAATCAAGTTAAATCATACCTTTTAAGTTGACTGTAATAATACAGAGGCATCACTCACTGTTATCTTCAAACATCCTATATGTACATAAATACATAAGTAAGTAGTAGGCGTCAACAAAATTGATAAGAGGTGTCAAAAATTATATCAGTCCAGATAACATTTGTGTTAGTTAATATTGTTGAAAAATAAAAGCTTACTGAAAAATAAGATGTATAATTTATTTATTAACCTATAATAAAAATTATAATTTATTAAACTGTAATGTTAAATAAAAGTAGTAAAACACCTTATACATCTTTTAGTAACTCATTTATTTATACAATTTACTGGCATTACGTTGCCAAATATACAATAAATTATATTACGATTGATATTTTCATAATTGATAACGTTTTACCATATGAAGATTATATATATATATACACACACACATATATATATATACATACATATATATATATACATACTCATACACCATATACATATATTGTTCAATTGTCTAAAATGATGAAATAATGATATTAGTATTGTTTTACAAAATGTACAGATTTTCCTCATATTAAGTAATACAATTATTGTTGTGCATCTATGTTATACACATTAATATAGTAAAAAGGTTTATTATTTTCAAAGTATATTGCCAAAATTATTACTAAATATTGTAAGTTTTTAAACCAATGACTTAATTCACATTTATATGCTTATAGTAAATATGACTCTTTATACAGTACATATATCAAACAAAAAATATATAAATGAATAATTTCCTACACTTAAATATGTGAAAATATTAATTATTAAGAGTTTAGACAAACATGTTTGGAACAACTTAAAATAAATTGCGTTTTCATCAACTAAAATAAAAAGTATTTAAAAAAGGTACAAAATATTCAATTTTATTTCGTTTACTTTTATTAGAAAAATTTTTTATTTTGGAATTAATTATAACCTAGTATGACTCAAGATGAATTTTTAAAATATTGTTAGTAATACATTTCATTTCAACTCAATAAATCCTTTACTAGTTAAATGATTAAGATATCCAATTAATTCTTTTGCTGATATCAATTATCTATAATGATAAATGAGTTTCCTATATTTATCGATATTTTATATGTTGATGAATAACGACTTAACCTAATGATTAATTCATATTAAACACTCTTGAATAAGATAGACTAAATTGTGTGTCAACAAGGAGGTGGACTACTAGATGCAGTTGTTGTATCAATTGATGTTGAAGATGTTGAGGAAGTAGTTATTGTTGTAGATTTGTTTTCACTACTTAATTTCCGCCTAGCAAACATGAACTGTTCCATTAACTCATGATGAGCTTCTAATCTTTCAATGCAATGCAAACATGCAGTTTTTGGTAGCTGATCATTTGCATTTACCTGCAATATATGATATTTGTGCATAATAAATATAGTGAAAAATATTTTAATATCATAGTTTTCAAGCATTTTTAAAAAGAGATCTATAAATAGAACTTTAACAATGAAACTTGATAATAACAATTAGTTTGTTTTCTAATTTTAATGATAGTAAAAACTGTAATATTAATTAATAGAAGGAATATATAGATTATAAGTTTAATTAATAACAATAATAATAAAATAATTTATAAAGACGAGTTTTAAAAACGAATGTTATTTTATTAAAAGTTTAACGTGAAATTAAAACTAATGAACGAATTCTTACAGTAATTGGAAGATAGGTGTTGATTTTTTCGGCTAGCTTCATTCTTTCGCCTTCTTCACCATAAATATGGATCACAAATCGATTCATTTTACTGCAGAGTCTACATATAAATCCAGTAATCACAGCCTTGTCAGTACTACCCATTTTTTTTTAATTCTATTGATTATAAGTGAACTTCAAAATAATAATTTAATGAGAATTTGTAAAGGAACTATATCACCAAAATTTCAAAGACATTTGAATTGCATATAAGTACTGTCAAATGAAAGTTCTATTTCGGAATAATGAACTGGCTAGTTTGTTTATTAAGGTTGTAAATGCTCATCAAATTAAACCGTTCGACCAATACCAGCTGGTCTGTAGAGTGTAAAGTGCGTTTGTGAATTAGACCTCTCGTGCAATCATATGTCGCATCTAGTTTTATAAATTCTATTTTCGACAGGCACTTCACGCCTATATTACCGACTGAGATATTTGAAATTTAAAAAAGGATGTTTTTAATAATTCGTTGTTTAATATAAGATTGATATTCAACTTTATATATACTAAAATGAAAAAGTATGCCATATTTATTATGGAATTGTTCTTTTATTTATAACTAAATTTTAAATTATTCTGTAATTTTTATATACATATTTCTTAAAAAAAAAGTGGAACCCATGTGTCGTATTGAGTGATTTTTTTATATTAAAATATAATGCGGAAAAATTTGTGAAAAAATTAGTGAAAATGTATTTTATTATTTAATTTTGAACATTTTAAAGAACATTGTATGTAGGTGAGCATTTGTTTACTCTCAGCAAAAAATATTATATGATTATAATTTAAAAAATTAGTTTTTTAAGTTTAATATAAAAAGATTATTTTGCGATTATCACGGTGGCACTACTTTTATTTTTTTTATTATTATGATTATGAAACATTTTTTTCTTCAAAATTGGTAGTTCTCTATTGTATGCCTTTTCTGTAATCAAGAAATATATTTTTCAAATAATTAACTTAAAATAATGAAAATATTTTATATATTTACATTTTTTTTTAAAGTCGTATACTTTCTACACAATACAAATTAATATTAACAATTTATTTCAATATTCAATTGTACTAAAACATAAAATTCACTCAGTAATTAAATAAGTTGAACCATCTTCAAAAGAAAATAGAATAAAATTTAAAGTGCTATTAAAATTTATGTTAAATAATGAAGTATATTTTTTAACTCCATAAGGCTTTTACTATTTTCAGTCATCATTCATTTATATTAGATAATATAAATTATATTGTCAATAAATTATATTTAATTGATGTCTATCATTCGGTACTAGAGGCATTAATCACTTTATTTTTACAAGATTTTTGTTAAAGTTACATTTACAATAATAAATAATTACTTAAAAGAATATTTGAAAAATATATTTCTAGTAATACTTCTAATTTAAAAGAGACGATTTAATACTTAATATCTACCATTCGATAAAAAAAATATTTCAATGAATTAAACAATCAGTTTTGACAGTTTGTTCTTTACATAATATAAACACAATAGATATTAAAAACAATCACAGACGCATGTGATTTGCATAACACGATAATGGCCTAAGTCACACTAGTTTTTTTTTTGGAATTAGGCCAATAATATTATGAAAAAAATTAGCACGTGTTTCATACATGATGATCGAAAAGCTGCAATATCACCTGAAATATACTTACCTTCTCTACTCTAGACAATTTATTGTTTTAGAACAAAAATAATAATAAAAAAAAAAAAAAAATGTAAAACCAATGAGAGTACTCTTAAAAACAGTACGAGTACAGCTGATAGTAGAAAATGATATAATGCACGCTTTAACTAAAACTACAAAGCTTCCCATCAACTCATAATATTGTTCAATCTTCACAATTCGGCTAAAGACGTTTCCTAATCTTAATAATTATAATTTTTTACATGTACACGCGAACATATATATTCAATCTTTCGTCCACTCTTGCACGCATTCTTTAATTAAACAAGATGTAGCATATTAAAAGTACACTCGACAAGTAACTAGTAGTGAACTATACACAAGTAATTTGTTTCATTTTTTTTTTGTATATGTACACGCATGTGTATGAACGCATACACACGTGTAAACTCGGTTTGCCTTTGAATGAATATCGATGCACTGCGGCTCACATTAATCAATCTAAGCTCGCACCGAAAGCTATATATATATATATATATATATATATATATATGATTTACATATCCCACAAGAATGGGCCTAATGTGCCATCGATAATGATATAGTCGTTATTGAAATGCTACGCGAACAAGCATAAATACAAAATATCGTTCGTTCCTCCATTTCAGCAATGTTTCAATTTTTCGTTTGGAATTGTACGATCATCTGCAGATTTATTATAGTTTTTTCAAGCATATCGAGCCAAGAGACATTATTCATCGAACGACAAAGTTGGCTGTTCCAATTGCTCGCTGTACTGCTCGCTGTGATAAGGCTTGAACTTGACTTAGCATCCGTTTGATCGGTTTTATCCGTGTCGCTCGATTTCAGGGATTTAGCTTCTTCTTGCTCTTTGCCCTTGTCCTTGAGACATTGCGTGTTTGTTATTTGCCCACCCGTAATCGCTTTTGTAGCGGCATTCGTGATGACGTTGCTCGAGGTACCGACGGCTGTCGATGTAGTACTAGTGGTCGTGGTGGCGCTGGGGCTACTTGTATTTGAGATGCTGGTGGCGGTGGCGGTAGCACTCGAAATAGTACCGGCCGCTGCCGCGTCAGTGCCAGTACTACTTGCTGATGATGCTGCCGCCAGAATCATAGTCGTTGTCGTCATTGTCATCGTCGCACTCGTAGTCATCATCGTTACTGAGATCAGCGAGTCGATACTCTGTTTGGGCTCTTCGATACTAGGACTCGAGGTGCTACCTTCCTCCTCGTCCTCCTCGTTATCTTCATTGTCATCGTCCTCGTCGTCCTCGATATCATCGGTGATATCGAACTTACGTCTCTTCAAAGGCGCCTCAAGTTCCTGCTGCTTCGACTCCTTGATCCGCGCCCTTGCCATTTTTGTGCGCGTTAACAAAGTCTCGAGTGCAATCTGCAATGTCAGCGGTGGCTTTATATCGGCGCCACTACTATATACGAGGGCCAGGGCACGTAGATCACCGGTAAGCCTGTGTGCGGACGCTTGGACATCAACTACTTCGACCATAGACGTAAGGGTGCTTACAAGATTATCGATTATTGAACAAGTTTGCTCAGTAAGTACATGGCTTGCTAATTTGGGAAAGAAACTTTTGAGAAAGGCATGTATCGCTGGCACTGCTAGCGATGATCTCTCATCTAAAAGCACCGCGTCTACATAATCTACAGTGTATGAACAACGGAGCAAGGCGGTTATGTGTTTTCTATCGATGTGACTAGCAGCGTGCACATCTAGCCATAATCTTGGAAATAAAGCTAAATGCAGCGGCACACCTGCAAACGAAATTCAGTCTATTAAAAATTGAATCTAGCTTTCAACGACTCAGCATTCTTATTTTATTAAAATCTCAGATTATAGCACCATTATATAACATAAGTTTTTATTTATTTTATTTTTTCATGTTGTTGAATATATATAAACATTATCATCCAAAAAAAGAATTTTTTTAGTTTAAAAAAATCAGTTTCAAAAACTAAAATTAATTTATATGCATTATATTTATTATACTAAATTCAAATAAGTTAATAATAAAGTCTTCAAGATATTACTTATAAATTAAATACTGATAATACAAGTTGCTAATCAAGCTTCTCAGTTTTATGCTAATGTGAATTATTAAGAATATTTTCAAATTATTTATATCTATAAAAATATCCAAAAATTTTAGGCATAATATATATAGTATCGTTGAAATGATGCTAACAACATATTACAATTCTTATATTCTTTAATTAAAATAGAAATAAAAAGAATGCATTAAATAATGCACTAGACTGACCTTCGAAGCCCAGCATAGCGCTCAAATTAACGAGTATTTCAGTCATGCAGTCGTTGTTGATAGCAAGCCTACACATGACATCGATCAATTCGTGATACGGCAAGTAGAATTCGAGCAACGCGCTATCATATTCGGGATCGGTGCCTTTAGCGGCTTCGAGTTGCGAGTGCGGCACTGCCATCTGCACCATTGGCCTGGCGGGCCTCGAGGGCATCTTACCGGCTGGAGTTGAGCGCCTCGGAAGATATGGGCCCGGCGGTACCGTCGCATGTGACTCCTGAAGTGCCGCGTGACAATGGGAAAGCAATGGCGCTAATATGAGAATTGCGTCAGTCGGCACGAGCATTACTAGCTCCTTAAGCAAATCTATGGCAAGATTTCGCATGTCTGAAGGATTATAAGTATTGAGAAGAGTCGCCAGCTTCCGTAATACATCTGGCCACTCTTTGCAGTTCGCGAGAATGTTGCGAGCGTCAGGACCATCTCGGGCTGTTCGCACGCATCTAACTAGTTCGACAATGATGGCTATGAGCTCGGCAAGATCCCCGGCGACGTGACATGCTGTCGCTTCATGGTACATTATGTGAAGCATGTGAAAGGCCTCGAGGGCCATGCTCAAACCACCGTTGTACACGACGTATAAACGATCATCGTCTGATTCGATTAAGATTCTGAATGCAAACAAGTAATTAAACAGATTGATGAAACATGTGCATATATTATTGTTTATTATTTTTTGCATATGTTTTTAGCAAATAATACTTTATAATTGTGCAAAATATATTTTGTAAACTACTGTTCTTATAAACACTAATAAAAAGTTAGGTTTATAATTTTTTCAAACATTTCAATTATTGATTAGTAATGCATGGTATTTTTTAATCAATAAGAAGTTTTATGCAAATTAATAATAACTTTCAAGACTGTTATAATTTTGTTACTATAATTATAACTATGGATTTCGAAAATGATATCTTTTTAAGTGTTAGAATAAAAAAAATAATTAATAATGGATAACTAATTTCACATTTACCTAAATGCTGATATGAGTGTTGCCCAACAAGATCTTCCATCAAGCCCTTGCAAATAAGATGACAATGTTCCTCTCCTAAACGACGCAACTTCAGCTTCTTCCTGTTCAGTTTGGTCAGGATGTCGAGCAACTAACAGTTGCATTAATTTAAATAATTCATCTACAGCCTGATATAACAAGTATAAGAATGTATTTACCAATGATCAATTTAAATTGAAATTTCTATTTTACTTACAGTTGAATATTGAGTCGGATGTGGTGTTATATTTTTGAAAGCCCATTGTATATTTTGATGTGCTGCTAATTGTCTTGTAAAAGTATGAGACTGTTGACAACAAAGTCGCAATAATCCATAATATGCTGGCAGCATTACACGATTGAAAAGAACGACATCTTGGTCCTCGTGGTCGGCTCTGAAATATTTATAAAGTATACAAATTAATAATTTTCCAATGCATACATATATACTTGTATGCGTAAAAGTACGAACTTTTAAGAGCTTTACTTACAAAATGTAATTGAATGCGATATTTTTTGTAATAAGTGGATTATGTAATATGAGTGTAACATTTTCAGGGCAGTCATTACTAACGTGATACCAAAAAAGTAAAAGTGCTTGTTTATTATGATGCACTGGAATACTTGGCTCTGAGAGTTTCGGATGAAATAGAGTCCAAAGATCATTTAGATATTGTCCAAACTAAGCAAAAATATTTTATCAAAAGAAAAAAAAAACAAATTTCATATTAGCAAAGAATTAAAAGAGATAACATGAAAAATTTTCGCATACCATAAGTTTTTCAGTATTCGAGATAACGCAGTACGTCATAAGAGCGAAATAGGCTGTAAGTTTCATAGTGCCGTGTGTATTTATATCCGTGTAATGTTTAGCTGGCTGGAGGAGTCTTAATAGTGCTGTGTAGATCTGATGCAGAACAACTGTTGCTTCTGTAGAGAGCTGAAGTTCTCTCGTGGTAGCACAACTTAAACCGAGCCTGTGAGCACTTCGGTAGCCCTGGCGGAAATGAGCCGATGGCACCAGCGAAACTAGGAGAAACGCCGCGGCAGAGCGCACCCGCTGATTCGAATGCTCGATAAGAAAGTGCTGGAGCCAGGTGTCGAGGCCCTGGAGGACCCAGGCATGGGCTAGTTTGCTACGCGTGACAGCAAGAGCGAGCCATTCGAGAGCCCCATGGGGCGCGATTCTTGCTACCTCCCACACCCGACTCAGTATCAGCTGGGTCATGCAAGGTAGTCCAGTCGGACTAGAACCCTCGGTTAGCAAAGTGAGAATCTTAAAAAAAGGCTGGCAGACGTCTGTGTGCTTCGTGATTGCTTGAAATATCATAGTAACAATATGAATGGCTAATCTGTCGTTCCAGCGACAGAGCGATTGAATAAGGTTCCGTGTCTGATTTAAATTTATCATATCACGGATCTGTTGGTACAAAAATGGAAATCCTTTACCACCAGCTACGGCATTGAAATCCGATGTTGACAGATTCAACCTTTCATTTAACAAAAAGAAAAAGTTTTTTATTAAGCACATTGAATAATTTTAATTTTAATTTAACAAGTAAAAAATTATTTATTTTTAGTTAATTTTAATAAAGTTATTTTTAAAATAATGAAATTTAGCTTACCTATGATCTGGAACCCTGCTGCGCTCGACCAGCGTTGCAATCAGGGTGATCATCTTATCCAAGGATGCAGGCCTAAGTTTTTCAGTGGGTATTGTTACGACTTCCTCTTCTTCCTCTTCTTCACTGATGGCATCAACAAATTCGTGAGTTTTGTGACCGAGATAAAAATTGATCATAGTTGAAATTGCCTGTGCTTTAATTAGGAACATCGTCTCTTCCTCGCCCATTTTGCTGAACTCGTACAGAAAAGCGAAGTATTCAGTGAGATGTTTTAAGTGTTGTTTAGCATGTTCCATCAACGATAACAACATACGAATGAAACGTGTTACACAAGATTGCGTGCCAACTGTGCTGGAATCTTCGTCCGATTCACATACAAGATAAAATGGCGTCTGTAAATAGAAATTGATTTTCAACGTTTATATTATATATATATATATATATATATTACTATGAAACATTATAAACCTATTTATACAAAAATAAATGTTTAAAGTATTTGTAAAACATTTCGTGACAAATGTAAATAAAAATGTATTAAAAAATAATTTGTAATTTATTTTGTCATGTTTTTTATTATATGTTTTTAACAATGCTTGCATTATTATTATTATGACATTTATAGTTATCTTTATACAATAATAAATATTTTTTATCTTGTAATAACTTGTATATACTGTATTAATTAATTTACAGATTTAATGAAAATTTAAGTCAATACATTGTTTTTTTGAAATGTGTATAATCAAACTTTGCAACTATATATGTATAAAACGAAATGTTTATTGGTAATTCACGAGAATGTTTTTTTTTATCTAATCCAATCGATAATATAATTAATTCATTATGATTGAACCAAGAGTTTTATGTACACACTTCTGTGAATATCATCAAATTCTGAGTGAAAAATGTTAAATATATAATATAATAGATATTTATATACCTGTGAAGCTCGCAATCTTTGTATAACGTGAATACATAGCCTCTGAAACATCTGTCTAACCATTTGATTCGGACACTTGACTAGAATTTGTACAGGCCACCATGAATCCGCAACCATTTTCTCCAAAAAGCTGGCGCAGGCCGTTAATGAATTATTAAATTGCTTGGTCAATAGCTCAACCCATTGCACCATAGTAGGCTTTTCCTTAGCGTGTATGAAGGTTTCCATGAAAAATGATGCCGAAAGGTCTGCCGAGAGTTCTGTAACCTCCGGCTGGGCAGACATAAGCGTCTGCGGTATGTAACCACAAATCTGCCACATAAAACTAAAATACGTGTGTTCAAATATGTTTTTGTCCTGAAGAAAATGCATATTGTCCTGCCAGATCCATTCCTCAAGCTCTTTGTTGAGTTCCAGCAGCGGCATAATATCTGTTGGGCTGCAAGGCCGTTGTAATTGCATTCGTTGAGCCGGCAAGTCTAACGATGTTGGACTAGAACTACAAGCCTCGTCTTCCTTATCCAGGGGCAAATCACTTGGATCTTGACACCATTCATAAAATAACATGTACGCTGAGTTGGATTTCTCAAAACTGAAGTCCATAAATTTATCGGTTACGGAGTCGTAGGTCTTGCTAGTCATTTCGCCACCGAAACATTCGGCGGCTATCTGATTTGGATCAAAAGGCTTCACTTCAGCATCATTGAATAAAAACCATTTATCTTTATTAGGGCTAGTGCGGTCACGTATGAAACTGTAGTAATGACCCCCATCAGCCGTGCCTGTATGCACCGTTACCCCAATGAGATCGTACTGACAGTGTTCATCCTTGTTTTCAGTATTTCCGGTACAGCTACCAGAACTCTCCATCTCCTCGTCTTTACCGGTTTGCTCAAGCTCCGACTTATCCGTGCGTTCTTGACAGTGTCGTGGTATGAGTTTTTTTTCCATATATCCAGACATATCGAGGCGCAGGGGAAAACTAAAATGTGTATTGACTTTTTCCTTTAACATCGTGCCCATGTTGAAGGTATAGCGCATAGTATTGAAGCAGAGTATGCGCGGTAATTTTTTAAAGCAAGCTCGCTTTTCCGCCCTGACCTTTTTACCGCAATGCGAGCACGTATACATATTGTCGCCTTCCAGCGTATCTTTAACTGTAACCTCGTCGAGGCTCTCGTAGAGGTTTCTCATGTCTGCTACCTGGCAACGCACCGTATAGAACTCTTCCAGCGTACGGCTTACGTGCTCGCAGTCGAGAGACACTACATTGTTTGATATTATTCCACAGAAGAGGGTTTTCACTAAGTTCTTTAGATCATTTGTCATTTCCTCTAATTTCGAAACTAGATCTATGAAAAATTCAGCCATATCTTTTTGCTCGCCAGTGTTAAGTGGTTCGTGATTCATTGTATACACACGACAAAAGCTACGCGGATTGTAAGCCTTTCTTTCAGATTCAAGTAAGTACGCAAACATCCTCTGTAACTCCCTCAAAGTCAGTTGGTGCTTATTCGCGCGTTTACAATCGGCTCCTAAGATAGCAATGCGTGCTTGAGGCATCATATATAAATGCTGCATGCAACTAGCCATGTAGCAAGTAGCACCCAAGTTCGTAAGCCCGACGTATCCACAGTCTGATCTGCCATCCTCATGGGGCCAATAATCCCAAGAATATGCTGAGTGCAAACCAGGTTTGTGCTGTTCCAAAAGTTTTTCGTGCAATATTCGATAATTATCTGGAGCAGACTTAACGAGCTCGATCAGTAGATCAAAAGCTGCTGATCTTGAAGCTTGGCTTTTGCACTTCGGCATGTGTTTTGCTCGAGGATTCGGTAGCGCAAATAGAAAGTCAAATACGCGATTCAATAAATTTTGCCCAACTTTACCCTGCTTACACGGTGGATTATGGGCCATGATATTACAACAAAGATTAAGAAGACCGACGAGGCCATCATCATCGATGGTGTTATGTCTCATTTCCACATAATCTCTTGCAAGAATGGATTTGATAGCACGACTGGCGAGGGCTTGAAGGTCAACAGTGCTGCCGGATTTGTCACTCGTACTTTCCTGTATTGCATCTTCGGGTAACGAATCGATCAGACGACAAACTAACCAGAAGTAGTCACGACACGCTGGTCCATAGGATTCTTTACCCTCGTCCAGACTCTGTTGCAGATGTATTGCCATGTCAGATTTTCGACGTGACGGCTGCATCATTTCTGCGATCGGCAGATACTCGAGCAGCTCAGTCAGTAATGGTACTATAAGTGTAGCTGGGGACGTATCGAGCAAGCAAGACGAGAGTATGTCTTCCTCGGTCTCGACGCTTCCGAGGCAGAGCTTATAGAGTGCTGTGCAAACTTCCCGTCGCACAGCTGGTTCGGGATCTTCAAGTACGAGTCTGCGTAACCATGTTTTACCGAATGGTTTATCATTGGCAAAAAGGGATTGTCCGATCGACGGTTCGCTATGCACCCAACAAACTAGCAGAGCCATTGCGTAGTGTATTACCTGTGATCTTCCAAAAAGACCGGTTTTATATTGATTGGGATCGCGAGGCATGGAAGCCTCTTCCAAAATATTTTTTATTCTTGGTAAAACATTTTCCAGATCCATAAGAGCCGATAGTTCTTTATTGAGCCGTGGTATCGCGAGCTTATCGGCCTTATTTCGTCTTTTACCATCTCTTGCCACTCCCAGATGACACAGCTGCTTTAACAGACTTGCCAGACAGTCCTGTTGCCATTCACTGCCATCGCTATCTTCTAGACAACCGGACATAAAAATATCAAAGAGATGACGCAATCCACCGTGTCGGACGAAGTTTGTAGACCAATCAGTTGGCGTATCATCTGAATCGCCGCTACTCGTATCGCCGCTACTCGCATCGCCACTGCCTTCGTGGCCAAGTGACATCATATCGCGACGGCTCGATCGTTTTGATAAGGATTCAACGATGTACAGCGAATACATTAGCTTATGAGGATTAGATGGATCTAAAAGTTCTGGTAACGAAGCTTCATCGAGTTTTTGAAAACCTTGTAACAGCGTCGGACTGGTAGGAAGAAGTGTAAGGGTATCCCAAACTCTTCGTGATAGTACCTGCAAAAAAAATCTTCTTAAATAACAAGCTTTAGCAACTGTTGTATTAATACAATTTATAAATAATTTTATTTAAGACATTTTCCTAATTAATTAACTATTTTTAATTAACTATTACAAAAAAATGACTGTATACTTTATTTTGTAAACCTTATCAATGTCAGCAAATAATAATATCAATAATGATATTAGTTCTTATATTAGTTATATACAATATTTAATTATTATAAAATTTATGAGATTAACGAAATTCTTTAACAATTTTTAACTGTGTATGAATATTGATTAATAATAGTATAGCATAGAGTTCTAAAGATAATTGGTTGTATCATAAGTATGAAAATATACAAATAAATAAACATAGATTTTTGTAAACCTGAGCCTTTGTATGCGGTATCTCTTGATTGCTCCTGACGGTCTTCATAGCACCAAGCGTGCGCATGAGTGTGAATAATTGCTCAAAATATTGTGGTCTTAATAGTAAAAGCGTAGGTAGGGAATCCCTGGGTGGTGGTGGTAGCAAAGATGGCGATTCCATATCTCTTTTGCCGGGTCTACCACCCCCGTTGCATCTTCCGGCGCCAAGTGAGATAAAAACAAGTTGGCCATCTTTAAAACCCGTTTCGGCTAATGTTTTCTCATCGAAGTCTATAGTGAGCTCCTGCCCCTGAGTTATCATCCTGATGGGTCCATCGGTAAGTAGAGAGCCGAGAACTGATCCCGAACCTGCGGCTGACATGCTCGACTTGGAAGCGGAGCTGTGAGATTTACCGTCATCCATAACAAGGCGGGCATGAGTATCGTCCCACCATTTGGATACCTCAGCTCTCAGATCAGCCACGTAGTCTGTATTTAGCAACGTAAACGTCGTTTTTTCAGATATACCTGCCGGCTGAACGAAGAGCCTGAGCTGTTGACTTCTCTCTGAGTTATTCGCAACGATGTGACTACCGGCCCCCCTGCCTTCAAGGGCCCACCTCCTTAAGTGGTAGGCGTACCGTTTTCTGAAAGCCTCAAGATGCGTCCTAAGCAGTAACAGAGCACGCTGTATGCAGCGCAGACTTGCCTCCTCGTTAGTCCCGAGGTCAGCACTTGCTGCAGCCAAATGCGTCATACATTGAGAAACAAACTCGATTTCCTGGGTGAGCTGGCGCGACATGTAATAGCCGTTGAGATACTGTATAGCAGCCATACTGACTTCTGTACTTTTCGCCCTGAGTGCGATCTTCCAAAGAAAATCCATTCCCACAGAATCGACATCTCTGAGCGGCCTGTCAAGGTGCACAGCTGCGAGTCGCGCGAGGTTACAGAGTTGCTGGAAGAGACTGAGGCCGGTCATGCTTATTGTTTCCGGTGGCAGACTTGGTAGCTTACGCATACATAAGTGCTTGAGGGTGTCCATGCCAAGGGCGTGTTGTTCAGTGGACTTGGCTTGACTCAGTAGCCAGCTGAAGAGCTCGTCAGCACAGCTGGGTTCTTGAGCAAGACACTGCCATAGTGTGTCAACTTGCTCAAGACTTAATCGGAAGCAATCTGGCGAACCCAAGGGTGAGAATATTGAGGAAAGGAATTGGAGTCGAACCTGCACTTCCGTTTGATGGGAATAAAGGCTTCTCGGGCCCATGCTTGCATATGTTTTTAGGTTGTTGAAAAAGTGCTTCATCATGCCACGTTCACGATCTGCCCAGGTCGTTATCGTGTGGGCATCCATAGTACCAAACTGCTGAAAACTACCAAGTAGCTTGGGCAAAATTCGCAGTGAAATAACGACAGAACGATTGGAGGCAAGGTTCTCAAGGCAGCCCTCGATAAACTTCATAGGTATCGAACGATCGATATTGTAACAAAGAAGATTGCACAGCGCCTTTTCAGCTTCGATCGCCAAACCCTCCCCTAACTGGCCAATTTTCTCATCCTGTAGCAGATCCCAGAGAAGAGTATTTCCGGGCTTGCAGACGGTTTCTAGATTGAACTGAGTGCCAAGCCGTGCGACCCCTTGGTGGACACTGCGTGACTGTGGCGCTCGACATACGGATCTGCGCACGTTCATCGCCGAATGAGCATGATGGGGATGGTAGGCCTGCATGTGGATAGCCGAGAGGTGTTGAGCCGCGAGCTGGGCCAGTTCGTCCTCGCATCCGCTTTCCTCCCCATCAAAGTCTGCCATATTCTTTTCGCTTTTGTTCGATATACGACTACTGTAGGAGCCCTCTTCGTCCGAGAGCATCTCATCAAGGCAGGTTGGCAAGAAGCGTGATGTACTAGCATGATCTAGGCAAGCTATTTATTTTGCGTTATTAGGGAGGCTACTATTAATATGATATACTCAATTATTGATTTTATTTTAGAAGAATGCTTGATACTGACGGTAATAATATCGCGGAAAAACAACACGAACAATTTATTTTAATCATTGCGATTTCTTTAATAATTATAAAGATTTTTATTTTTCTCTCAGATTTCCATAAATTTTCCGATTTTATCAATTTTTTTCTAATGTATATAATGAAACTCAATAATTAAATTTGTAACGAATAAGATACTAAATATTTTTAAAATATTGCAAAATTTGAAGATTAGAAGTATTTATTATTAACATGAATTTATTAAGAAATATTGCATATTAGGAAATCTTTGAAACATTTCATACGTGATTGTTAAGTATAGTGAGATTATTTAAATAACAAAGTAAATTAATTTTTAGTACTGTGTTGCTTTTTTGTGTTTTTGTGTTGCTACGAAATGAAAACAGTAAAGAAAGTACTTGTAAAACGTACCCAATTCGGAGGTAACAGTACTCGTGCCTTCGCCATTTGCAACGACGCCTACAATATCGCTATCATCCTCGTCGTGCGAGCTCTCAGCGGAATGTACAACCTCATGTCTACCCATAGCCGCAGTGTACTTACTGCTACTACTGGTACCAGTGCTCATGGATTTTTCTACCCTCTGAGTGAGGAGTGTCCCACTGCCTGTTGGTACTTGCTGATCAGTACTTACTGATTGGTCCATGGATATCGCCTCTTGCTTTACACGATCGAGAGTGTCAATAATGGGCTTTTCCGCAAAGTCAGATCTGCTTTTTTCAGGCTCGCTCGAAAGGCCTCCACTTTCTGGGAAAGTCGTAAGATTCTCGCTGCATTGTGACTCGTTTACTTGACCTACATCATTACTGGTCTCGTTTTCAACGGTGCTTGTAGTTGCCGTCATAGTGATAGTCATTGAATTGCCGCTGGACGAGCGTTTTTGTGGTCTCTTACGTTTTCGTAGCACCTTTTTCTTTTTACGCACAAAAATAACAATGGTGTCCTCAGCATTTGACTTATCCGTATCCGCATCGGTCGTGTGCTCTTCTGAACAGCTGATGATCGTTTTTTCATCCATGGATTGTTTTCCCTCGCGTTTACATGAGCTTTCAATAGATTCCTCTGCTTCAAGCTGATTTTTCTCGGATATCAATTTCGTGCGCTCCTTTGATAAAAGCACTTTTTCCATCTCAAAGGATTCGGATTCAAGTTGTAGCACCTCTGAAGGCTTTTGTTTTGATGTTCCTGTGATGATAATTATATTGATTCCACTAAGTAATAAATCATTTTAAGTACCATTTTAAGTAATGAATCTAGGTTTTACATTAATTGAAAATATAAATTATATATTGCAACTAATTTATAATTCGCCTGCTATTACAATTTCCATTATTTTTTTAAAACTTCTACTATGTAAAACTAAAATTTCGAAAATTTAATTATTTATTTAATAATTATATATTAATAATTTTATTATTGATATATTTCATTGTAAAATGTAATTCTTTCATAATGAATGAATCAGACTTTTAAGTACAAATATCATTCAAAATTATAAAAAACTAAATGTTTAAAAACAAACACATGTATAATACACTAAATATATTTGTATAAAAGTGAATTAGAAAAATGTATTGTGGTATTTTATGAATATCATACGAGTTTTGTTCATTTATATAACCCAATTTAAATATTGTAACTGAATTCAATATTGCATTACAATTTACTATTGTAGAAACAAAAGGAAATACTGATCCAGCTGATTATTAAATTGAGTATTGAAAAAATAAAGTGAATTTGAAATATTGAACAAATAAAGTGAGATCAACCTTCACACTCACTGTTGCTCCTTGGCTGTTTTCTGGGCGAAGGTCCTTCTGAGGGTGCAGGGCTCGGTTCTTCTTCCTCGTCTGGACTACTGCCCTCCATTCCACTAGGTTCACTACTTGTACTTCCATCATCTACAGTAAGATGCCTCAGGTCTCGACTATCGATGGCTAAAGCGGTAGAATATGCAGCACTGCTTGAAGTCCAAATGAATTTGATCAATGCAGATACGAGAAACAGACTTTGCTCCGTGTGTTCTTTCGGTTCAAGCTTTCCCAGCAGTGAATAGAGATGTAACACCGGAGTTGGCGCCAAATGCTTGACCAAAGGCGCTAGAAGATCATAGACTGGACGAGCGCAGTGCTTAAGTTGGGCAGCCTGCCACATTATATCCATATCCATCGAAGAGATGCGCCCTTCCATTGCGAGGAAGCTCAACACAATGTGGCTCTGTTTGATCACCTCCACATGCAGATTTGGCCCAAAAATATGGGCAATTATGTTATTTTCGGTGAGCCACATTGCCAAGGCGTGACCGACCTGCTCTATCTCTGCTACTGTCTCACTGTTACACAATTCATTGAAAGCTGTGATATGGGAATTTATTTGGGCTATGCCAGCCAGACGCATCGTTAAGGTTGTACTTGTAAAATATTTGAAAGCTAGATCCAGGCCATCCCGATCAAACGTAGGTAATACCGCATCTATCGGATCTTTCACTGCACTCCACATAAAATCTGGATGAATGAAATAAAAATAAAAACGTAATTCGACAAATTTAATATTATTTAAAAATATTTCTTTTCATTTTACCCTTTAAAATTAATTAAAATAAAAAATGTATTAAGTAATGTAAAACATTTATATTTTTATATCTATTTTAATAAGTCTTTTAATACATTTAAGTTAATAAAAGCAATTTATTTAGACATAATGAAATGGTACTTTGAACTTTTAATAATAATAATAGTTTTACATTACCTGCCATTGTTCTCACAGCAGGAGTTCTTAACTCCTTATCAGTCAATCTACACATATATTTCATAACTCGACTACGTAAAGGTATGAATAACTGAATCACACTTCCATAGTTTAACCACAGTTTTAAATTACAAATTACTGCTACCATAGAGTGTGCAAGACCAACAGGTAATGTATTTTCCATGTCAAAACAAGCAGACATTAAATTAAATCCGCCTTGATGACAAAACACTGATACTGAACGAATCAAAGGTGCCGGCACCTCAGGATCATGTGGTTCACAGTATCCTCCTTCATCCTGCCAATACAAAATAAATTTAAAATATAAATAAAATTAAAATAAACTTGAAATTTTTTTACTTTTAATAAATTTTAATTAGTTCCTTACCTTAATGGGGGCCAGTGGATTAATAGCTCCACCATGCTTCATTGCTATGTAAAGCGGGAAATTCAATAAAAAAATTTTTGATAAAAGGTGAAATAATTTTTCTCTATCTTGGTGAGTCCAATGTAATTTAGATCTCAACGATTCCACACTCTGTGATTTTTCCTCCAAATTTTTTTCTTTTTCTTTCTTATTATTCTCATCTCCATCACTATTACTTGTTCCTTGCTTCTTTCTATGACCATATTCCTGCTCTTGTTGTATTTCTTGTAATTGTTGTAAAGTACAAAGGACAATATTGTGAAGCAACCTAATAAATCGATCGAAGTTTTTTATTTCGCGATAACAGCACATACACTGTCTGTAAATAAAACATTAAAAATATATTAGTAAAATATCTTGTAAAAATGCATTACTAATTATAATTAATTTACTTTATTACCTTTGCACCCACTGATTAACATAATGTAATATTGTGTCAACATCCACAACACAAAGATTTACTACCTCATCTTCTTCTTGATTAGTTCTCTCATCATCTGATGAATTGCAACTTAATATTAATATATGGTTTAATGAAAATTATAAATGAAATTTAATGGAATAATAAATAAATAAATTTAGTGGTTTAAAATCGGGAACTCTTGATTATCTTTTAGGTAAAATTAAATCACTCTTTAGGTTAAAGAAAGTTTTTATATTTACTTAAAAAGTTATAAATATATTAAACTTTATGGTAAGTAAAGATAGATGAGTTGTTATATAAAAGAAAACTTTTTGTCTTTAAAATTAATAATTCCTGTTCAAATTATTGACAAGTGTTCAAAAAATTACAATTAATAATAAAACATTATTTTTATCTATTTTATCATTTGTTGCAATATAAGAAAAATTGATAAATCACACATTTTAATATTTAATATTCTTTATTTTGATTTCAATATTCCAAGTTACACATAAAAAAAAGCTTTATTACAGTTTATTATTTTATAGTTATTTTTATAACTTGATATAAATTTTACATAAATAAGGTTATTATTATACATAAATAAGTCTTATTTATATTATTAAAGATAAAGTTATTGTAATCGTTAAGTTTTATTTTAATATATAAATTAGCTGTTTCGATATATTTTTTTTAAATTATGCTAGATTGATATATATTATAAGAAATTTAAAAAAAAGTACAGTTAAGATTCTAGATGGTTTGAGAGTTTCAAATTTCTTCAATTTCTGAAATAGAAGCTTGTGAGTTGATAAATTGTAATGTTTGAATAATAAATAGAGTTGAAGAATATTTAAATTCTAAGGCAGCTTCACAATTTAAAGAAAAAAAATGCACACATAAGGAGAGTCTGTTTAAAAAATATTTCGAGTTGAAGGTTATAAGGATAAGATAAAAGAAACCTCCCTTCAGTAGAAAAAATGCAAACACCAATAATCGACTCGTTGATGAACTGTATAAAAGAAACTATAAGTTACAGGCAGGCGATTGCAAGGATTTTTCAGGTAGCACGCGGTGCGTTGTACATAACGAGTACAAATTTAACATATCCGTAGACGACGTGGAACGATGATAATAAAATAAGGTGATAAGCCAGACACTTACAAGAGAGCAGAAGATCGTGAAAGTCGGCGCACACATCGCACATGATTGCAGTCCGTGGGCTCCGAATCGCGCGAATTACCTCGCGATTATCACCTTAAGTCCATATCATATCATACGGTCGTGCGACAGCCCAGGACGGTGTAGTGATGGTAGTAGTAGTGGTGGTGGTGATGGTAATGGTGATAGTGGTGGTCGTGACGATGGTGACGGTGCGGTGGAAGTGGTGTTGCTATTGCTGTTACTGATGTTGTTCCTGTTGTTACTGCTTTTGCTGCTACTGCTGCTGCTACTGTTGTTACTGCTGTTGTTATTGCTATTGCTGTTGCTCTGGTTGTTACTACTACTACTGCTGCTGCTGCTGCTGCTGCTGCTGCTGAGACTACGACCGCTGACAGGGGCATAACATTAAGCCCCGCAACGTCGTCAATCCTTTACCGTTCTAGGCGCAAGCAGCAGCAATGACGGCAGTTCGTTAACTCCTCGGTCACCATGTTGATCTCTTGCGCACACAATGACACAATGTTCTCTTCTCGCTTCTTTCTTGCCTTGTTAGTATATAAGAATATAGATAATATGTCTTTCTCGCTCTTTGCTCTCTTTCTTCGCCAACTAGTTATCGTTCCATCTTTTACTTGCACGCGCGGTCTCCCTCTCTCACTCCCTCGTTGTCGCGCGCGAGCATCCACACACGCACTCTGTCTATCCTACTCACTTTTAACCCGCATGAGCACGCCGAGAGTAGCTATCGCATGAACATGACCGTCACAAAAAACAGTCAAACGTGAAATAGCCATTTCTGCTCTTCTCTCTTTAACTTAGTCTCTCTCTTCCCCTCTCTATCGCTGCTCTTGCGCTCTAATTCTCCGATAATATTAAAAATTGAGAAGCTATCTGTGCATTCATCGTATAGTTTAATTTCGTACATCTTTTTCTTCTATTTTTTGTTGAGATCTTTGATTTTTCATTATTATTCGTCTATTACTATTTGCTTACATCTTATTATATTCCTAAGTTTATTACTTTCAATATCAATGTCATCTTTTGATTATAATTTATAAATAAAATAAACCATTATCGTTATAATTAAGTGCGACTATATTCATCTCTGAAGTCTTAAATAAGTTTAATCTTTTGTATGATTTTCAATCTATAAAAATCTTTCAAAATCTATAAAAAAAGTAATTGTTAAGTGAGTAATAACAAACTTAACATAATTAATTATATGTGTACATATATATTCATTTATGTAAGGATGATGCGTGTATGCACATAAGCGCTTGCCTAAATTCCGTCAACTGTAGAGAAATATTTTTAAATCTTAACTAATAGCATAAGATATATATACATACTTGTATTTTAGTCAGTGAATGTAATAATAACCACGTCATAATAAATTATAAGTTTTGCACATATAAAGTTAAAAATTTTAAACATAAAATTAGAAATATAATTATTAGTTTAATTATTTTCATTTTAAAGTGGTCATTTATTGATCTTTTAGGAAGTCATGGTGCTATAAATTCCTCGTGTAACATTTATTTGATTTTATAAATAACATATATTATGATAATGATATAAAGATTTTTAATGCAATTAATTTTTAATATATTTGTATTTGATAATTTGTAAAAATAAATTGATAAAAAATAAGAGGATTTTACTGAATTTAAATATTTTATATCTTTAATAACTAAATTATTGTAAATATTATTATCATGATAAAGTACAAAAGTAAAATATATATGCATATGTACATTAGTACAAAAGTACATATATATATATATATATATATATATATATGTTCCCATGAATTGCACTTGTAATCTTGTTTCAAATTGAAACTGTCTGACACAACTTCATATGAGTTCTTCCTTTTTCAGATACCTGACCGTCAAATTGACAGTAAATTTCCCATAAGAATATCTTTGTTTTTGCTTTCACAACAAACGGTATTCCACACTATACATGCATAATGCATTTCGATATCGCCATGTAAACGCTGCACTTCTATCATTCTCTTTCTTTCTCACTAGAGGTGCAAGTTGCTTTGTTCGTGTAATTTTATCTTTGTCATGTATGTGCGCGGTTAACGCAGTGAACTTCAGGTAACTCCACTATGGCCGCACTCGTAAATCACAATAAGCTTCAACATTCCCCCACTGGAATTTTTATAAATCATTAACTTTCGCTATTATAAATTGGTGTCAATATCAACGAAATATATAATTATTTGTATTAATATAATTAGAACATAGCAAAATATGTAATCTGCAAGCATTCTCTTCATACATTAAGCTATTTCCCATTTGTAGATTATAGATATATTTTGACAGAAGACAGCTGACTACTTTAATTATGGATTAACACTAAATCATAATATTCAATTGTATCTGGGGTAAAGATATTAAAATTTAAAAAATTTTAATTTGTGAACTTAAATATAAAATATTTTATTTAATACACAGTAAATTTATCTTATAACGAAATGCTTTTTTTCAACAATTACAAAAAATATTTTAAAATAAATTATTTCTATTCTTAATTAATGATTGGAAAATTATTTTATTGTTAGCTAGAATATATATTATCCAAAACCAATATTTATGCCTGTGTAACAGATGCATAGATACTGAGTAAGGATCAATTATAAATTTTTAAATCTCAATTTACTTTCAATTCATTTTAAGACATTTTTAATATATGTATATATATAAGACATCTTTAATATATTCAAAATAACATGATTATATTTTTTAATGTATCCATATTTTACGTTTTATTATTTTTAATGTACTTTATTGCTTAATTATTGTTGGTTTCATAAATTTAAATAAACTTACATTTGATAAAAATTTGAAATATAAAATAAAAATAATTGTGATCTTGTGTATAAATATTGAATTATTGATTTTCTATTTAAATTATCAAGTAAATTATATAATTTAACTATCAAGGAGAAATATACAATTATTTATTTTTTTTTAGAATGTAAGAAAAATAATTATTGAAATTTCATATTCAGGATTTTATTCATAAAAACCTTTTAACTATAAAACAAGCAAAAGAAATATTAACATTTATAATAAACGATTTAAATTAAATTTTAGCAATTTCTAATTCATTGTCACTATTAATTGTATTTTGACTATTTGTATCACTAAATTCAGGATCTATATTTTTAAGGGCTTTTCTGTCTTGATCATGATTATTTTCAGTTTCATCATTTTCTAGCTCTTCTAAATCCATATCCGTTACTTTATTGTCATAAAGTGAAGGATACTCTGACATACATTGTTGCATTGTTTTAAAAATTTCGTAACAATCAGATCCTTTTGGGTCATTGGAAGACTTTTGAAAACATGTAAAAGCTTCTCGAAATTCTAATCCACACGGACCAGTGGCCATTCCTCCTAAACAAGGACAACTCCAGTTTATTTCCCCATTTGGAAGAAAAAGACCAGGATGTGGCTCTGGCTCTGGCAGTGTGATTTGACTAGGAATAGCATGATCTTCTCTTGTTACAAAAATAATAGTATCCTTTCCTTCTTTTCTTATTATAGGCATAATTAAACTGAAAATTTTTTATTATTAATAATTTGTAATTTTTTTAAATATATTTAAAAATTATATTATAAAAACGATTTTAAAAATTGTAAATCTACAAATTTGAAATACAGGACATAATTTTTTCAAGCTAATGTTTTGTAAATACTTTAACGATTATTAAATATATTTCTATAAAATTAATTATTTTAAATCATTGTTATTCTATATCATAATAAACAAAATCTCAATTTATTTTAATATATATTTAATATAAATCATTTTAAAACATACTTAATAGCAATTAATACATACCTAAATTAATATATTAAAATAAATGCGTTCTAAAGCCTCAATGGGTATAAGTTCTACTATTAGCAGTAAAACTTAACAAATTTGGCGATGCTCTAATAATATGATAGATGCAAGGTACTCCTTCAAAACTGTGAGCTACTGTTAAAGCTGCTCGCAGTCTAACATAGTGTTTAGAGGTACAGCGTAAAATAAAACTTTGTTCAATCGAATTAAATTTCAAAATATCAACTTTATAAGCTGCACCTTTCGTTCCCAGTAATTGCTTAACTGCACTAATTAACTGCGTCTTCAATGTTGTGGCAGTTATTGGACTATCAAAGTCCTTTGGTAATTCTCTAAAAGCAATAATTTATAAATTATAAATTTAAATTATAAATTTCATAACTTTATGTTCGCAACTAGTAGGTTTCTTTTTTTTATCTTTTTCGAATATCTTCATAAAACCACGTGATTAAAATAATATATTGGAAAAAAGTAAGGTTAGAAATCAATCTTATAATGTAACAATTTCCTAAATAAAGCCATAATAATACTAACAGAGAAACCTCTAGATAATGCATATTGAATGCATGTGTTAATTCGCATCTCACTTAATTTCTCTTTTATCGTAAATTTTATACGATTTAAAATTTAAAATTTATCTACCTCAAACTTATTTACCGCTTTCACCACAGATATGCCTTAAAATGTCCATGCAGAATACTATTTATAATAGATGTACATTTAGTTGAAAGTCCGATGTTGTATAAACTGACTTATGGGTAAAACTCTATTCGCACGATGAGGTGCTGCTCTCTGATAATTTTAAACTAAACTAATATAAAAATTTAGTTTCTATTTAAAAAATATTTTTGTTGAATTTTAAAAATATTTATTTATTTAAATTTATTTTTTCTTTAGTTAAAATAAAAATAAATATAAATTTCTCTATTAAAAGATAAATTGATATAAATGATTAAAGCGATAAAAGTAAAGTTTAAGTTAAAGAAATATTCAATATTTATCGTTTTATTAATATTCATATATAAAGTATAATATACTAAGAATTTCTTATAATGAAATTTTATTTGCATTAACATATTCTATTAAATATTTTTATAAATAAAACAAATATTTAAAAAATTCCTGTTGTTATTTAAGTTAAATACTGTTGTATATTTGTAAAAAATGTATTATATTAATTTACTGATTTGATTAAAAGATTAAATTAAATTGTATCTTTTATTTTAAAGCAATTCATTAGAAAAATATTGATAAATTATGTATGTATTTGGGAATGGATCTTTTTCATTATTAAATAATTCAAACTAATAAAATTAATTTAATGTAGTATGAATGATTCTATGTCTAAGTTATTCTATAAATTTTATTAATAACTTACTAACAGTTTATCTTTTCTAAGATATAATCTTTTTACAATATATACAACCAATATCAGTGATGAGCTTTGATTTGTATATAAGTGTTATATATTATATATTACAGAAAAAATTGATAATTTATTTATATCCGTAACTTATTAATGTACTTATCATGTTTGATGTCATAAAAATATGTAAATAATACAAATATTAGTAGAAATAAATGATTATTTAAAAACAATGAAATAACCTGCTTTCAATTAAAGTTGAATAGAGCTATATAAAATAAAATTTTTTATTATTTTTGGATTTCCTTTAGTAAATTTTTATATCTACAAATAGATAGATGTTTAGATAAGTTTCAAAATCGTTAGAGCATTTTTCATACACTTAAATACAGTATTAATTGAATTTATTAAATTCCATGTTAATATAGGATTTAGATATGACATCACTCTAATATTTTTTAAAAATAATTTTTTTCAAAAAGTGCCTCAAAAGTAATATAATACAAAAAATAGGTTTTATTTACAAAAAAATATTTTAATTCTAATTTTAAATTACTGAATCTTTCTTTAATTTCTGAAGTTTTAGAAATATTAAATACATATTTAGAAATATATTTGTAGTTTTATAATTAAATTATTCATTAAAACAACATTTTTAATTTTTTATTTTATTAACATAAACAATTATTTTATAATTTTCTCATTATTTTAATATTTGTTTTTTTTTATTTCTTTTTATTCAATAAACTATTTTTTCTAATTTACCATTATGAATCAATAATTTAAAATTTAATAAATGTTTTTTTAAGAATTTCTATTAACCAGTTTTATACTTTTTATTATTTATACATATTAGTTATTTATAATTAATATAATACACTTACAGATTTAGGATATTTTTACTCCATTTTTTACTAAAGAAATTCTTTAGGTTTGAATTTTTTATTATACTAGAGTGATATTATCATTCTACCAATTTTACATACTACTTCACAATATACTGACAGTAGTATAATTGTTAATACACTGTACACAAACGTTAAAGTTCATTTGATTTTCTAGATATTTTAATTAAATGCTTAAATCTGAAATATTACTTAAAACATTTTCAAGAATTTAATTATGCAATTTATTTTAATGTTCTTATTTTTAATACATCTCAAATGTTTACTTCATTTTTAGTTATATTTTTATACTTAAATGATATAAATTTTTAAATTTTAAATACAAAATTTATTTAAAACTAAACTAGCATGTTTAAAATGGTTACAATATTTATATTCGTATATAATGTATTATGTACGAATTTATTATGCATTATAACGTGCTATATATAATGTAAATACTAAAGTTAATGATTATGCCGAATTAAGATTAAATATTATCACACAATTGTTAGCAAGATTGGGGTTCAGGAAAGAGATTTTATTAATAAACTTCAGATTGACTTTTAAATACATATATACTTACATTTCTTGTTATATTTTGTGTTAAATTTTATTTAATTAAAATTTAATTATCTCTTACATTAAAATATAAAAAATAATTTGAAATAATAGTTACAGCTATTTATATCGTTTTTTTATTAATTGTTGAATAAAATATAATTTATTATTATTATTCATTAAGAACAAAATTTCATAATAAAAAATGTTTATAAACACTATAGAAATAGAAATAAACTTAAATGTCTTAAAAATAATATTATATTACTATTAAATTAATATTTTTATATTTCTAAGCTACTTTATAAATCATATTATAAGAAAAAATATTTACACATTAGCCGGCGTTATAAATAAATGTACATCTTACTATTAACTTAGATTTTTGTAAAAGTAATTATTATACATCATTTAATGTTAAATATAGGTTATAAGATAAACTTCTTTTATTATTAGAAAATTTTAATTGGAAAACTTTTAAAAATAGCATAACTTTAAATTATGTTTTATTATTAAATTTTAATGTTTATTCAAGGATTTATAAAATTTATATAAATATATAAATGTTAATTTATATTAATAGTTTTTTTTTAAATAGTCTATTATATTAAATAGAATTATTGTAATATTTCATAATAATTCAGATTTTTTATAGCATGTACTATAATTTTAATAATTTTATCATACAATGAATTCAAAAACGAATGTATACAGTTTTGTGAAATCCTGGTAGAATATATTTTAATGTCTTATATTACATTCTACAATATAGATTTTCATGTAATCTAAAAAAATTGTCAGACATTAAAAATACTAATCAATTGTACAAGTTAATAAATATTAGATATGGAATTAAAGTCAATTGATTCACGGATATAGATCGAGCTAATATAGAACGAACAAGTTATATATTTTGAATTAATTAGTATTGAACTCAAATTACTTTGAACTTGAAAATTTGAAAATTTTATTAGAAATACTTATTAGTGAAGCTTAAGAAATAATCTGTAATTCGATGAGAAAGTAATTTATATATAATATAAACTATATAATGTATAATATTGACAACGCGTTAATTAGAGTACGAAATCTTCTTAATGCTTTTTATAAAATAATTGAGGAAATATTTTATTTATTGGAGATATTTAATTTCTCGAAGTGAGTTTATTAACTAATAAGACGTTAAAATAATTTAATATAAAATAATGAGAAATAAATAAGAGATGTGTTAAAATGAGATTAATGTTGTTTTAAACTGCGAATATAGTATGAATATACTATGAAGTTATTAAAAAAAATAAATTATTCTATGAAAATGGCATGAAAATTATCAATAAGCATAAAGTACGAAACCTTTAAAAATTTTGAGTAAAAAAATCAGGCATTGATATTTAATGTTGCGTATGAGATTAATGACTGTCTGTATTGTAATCGAATAAAATGAGGTAAAGTAAAAAGTTAATAATAAAGGTATGATTGTATATGATAGCTAATTATTCGAAGATTGTATCTACCTATGAAGTTAGAATGAAGATAAACAAAAAAAATAAAATATTGTAATTTACTTTATTTTAATGGCTAAAATTAAGGTGTTAAAAATTAATCAAATCAAATTAAAATAAAATATATATCGATAGTTAAATAGGTTTCGACTTTCTTAATAGATATTTTACTAAAAGCTCGAAAAGACAATATTAGATCTGAATAAAAATCCAACAATATAGATATGATTTTTTTTAATAAAGTTACTCTAATTTTATTAAATGAATTAAAATTTCGATTGTGATACATAATTCATTGTCAATAACTAATTAACATTGTCAAATTAACGTAATTCTGTAATAATACACTAAATGAGATACTATAGACATCAACAAAATTAATTTTGATGTCTTGGGATCTATAACGATTTGAAACGTAGATTAATATGTTCTATAAATATAGATGTAAACATTATATATAATTGATTTCTAATTGTAATAAAAATGATACTACCATCTACATATTATATAATTATTTATTTTAGATCATAAGAAAATTTTAATAGGTGTGGAAAAGTCTTAGTGTATTATTGTACAGGTCCCTCCCTATCATCTTGAAAACTTGAATTTTTTAATAAAATAGTTTAAAACATAATACTATGAAATATTAAGATTTAAAATACTTCATTTTAATTTAAAAAATTTAAATTATAAATAAGTAATATACAGATGAAATATAAAATTATGAATTAATCGTTACAAAATATCTGTTTGACAAGTTATCAAAAAGGTATAAAATAAAAGTAACCAAATAGGAGAATCTAGAAAAAATTTTTAATGAAAATTAACAATAATAATAATTTTTATTTAGTTTAAGAACAATATATACATCATTACAGTCTTATTCCTTATTCATTTATTTTTTTAAATAAACGCAATTCCTAGTTGTCGGCATCACCATCATCATCGTTGACATTCTTTCGGCTAGAATGATAATGATTGTTTATCGAAATCATATGCTCTTCGTTATTTTTAAATTTTTCTGTTGAGCTTTATCCATGTATGGGTTGGCAACTGTATTGATTATGTACTTCAGTGTTCCGTAATGCCATCGCATTCGTCATACAGAAGATTTATATCCGCCAAAATACGAGTGAAGTAAAGTTCCTCGCGTATGTAAAATGATAGTACAGTATCTATATGGATCACAATAGAAAAAAAAAATGAAACAACTAATAAAAATTTTCACTTATTCATTGCATTATCAGGATAAATAAAATAAATGAGATTGAAAGGAAAGTTCTTCGATACATGTGACTACGACGAATTTGGTTATAATCATTTGTAAACATATATACTCTCTTTGCTAAAATAGCGAAAGAAAATCTTTTAACAATTATGCCGAATTTTTCAATAATAATACACGAACAAGCATAAGAAATGTAATCATGTATTTTCTGCCCCCCTCTCTCTCTCTCACTCACTCGTGCTTTCTATTGCTTTTTCATACGGTTTTTTTTACGGTACACGGTAATGCAGCGCAGTTACTATAAGTATACAACCAAGACAATTATCGTTTTGGTTTTTTATGGTATGTAATTTCATGAATATTTCTAAATAGGAAGTGGGTTCATTGAATTTTGAACGTCAGACGCGTTAATGAATAAAAAAAATTCAATTGTCGTTACAGAAGAAATTTTGCTAATGTAGACATTTGTTTAAAATTATTTTTCTAAATTCATAAAACTTAAGAACATTTATCAAATTTCTCTATTCGTCTGTATAGTATTCCAGTATTATAATAATAAGCAATAATGCAATTCAAATGTAATACAAAAATTTTAATATGTTATTTTTAATTTAATTGCATTGAACAAGAGATATCATTCCATGTACAATAACAGAATTTGCAGCCACTCGAAAGCCTTTTTTTGCATATTAAGGCCAAAAATTCATCAGCAAAAACAATAGCTTCATCGTTTTTCATATCCCCGCTATATTTTTTTATTCACTTTCGCAGTACTATATCCACTCACTTATCAATCAACAATTCATATTTTCACACACACAAAACATACACACACACACACACACACACACACACACACATCAGACTTTTTCGATTACAATATTTTTCACGATTATTTCCTATACACTTACTCATCAAGTTTACATATATATATATACATCTTATACGTATAAATATTTAGCTTTTATAAATTGTATACACAAGCACTCAAATTTCACTATAAAGTACATACACATGCATACTTTGACTATTTTGTTTTAAATTTTTATTTTTTATTAATATTTTGTCATTTTCACGTTTCATTTAATTTTAAGCCATTTTTTATTCATTCATTTTACTTGTATTATAAATATTCATAATTTTTATAATATCTAATTTGATTTTTTGGGTTTAGTCCTAGCATGTTTTGAAATATTAACCAAACCATATAAAAAAATCAAATGAAGTATTTTTATCATAAAATTTCAGAATAATATTATTTTATTTTTTACTTTTCCAATTTTTTTTTATTTTATTTATTGTGTGTCCAAAATATTTGATAGTTGTAATCCAAATACAGAAAATATATAAACATAAAACTTAATATAAAATCATATACTTTCGCAAAAATATTTCTTTTTTGTAAGAATTTATGTGAATCGCTTGATTAAAGTTCAGAAATTCATTAGCATTAAATAATATTTACTTTCAATTAAGCTTATAAAATTATATTCAGTTCAAGTATATTTTCTATCAAGGCTAGCGATTGTATATCCCTTAGAAAATATATATTTTTAAATTCATAATTTCAAATTCATAAATTCATAAAAAGAATTCTTTTTTTCATTATTATAATAAAAGCTTCAATTACATTAGTTAAATTTCGTAATTAAATCATGTAATTTATGGCATACTTTTTTATTTCATTTTTTAATAATTTTTGTTATTGGCATAATTTTTATTTCATTGCGTGCACGATCTTGTGGAAACTATAAATAATTTAAATACCATCATGGAGACAATCAATTATTATAACTATTGTTTAAAACTAAAGTACTTGTTAAAAAATAAACTATTTTTACAATTTATGGACTATAAAGCACTTTCTTTAGCAATTGAACATAGAAATTATGATGCATGAGTTATAGCTATTGGTTTTAATAAATTTGATAAACTTATTAATATGTATACAAAATAGTACACAGGTATTTTTCAATTAAATTAAATATACATGAGCTAATGAATGTATGTGCATGAGAACAAATATATTTTAATGAAGAATGCTCTAATTTCAAATTACAATTATTTATTATTATTATTTTATCTTACATTAAAATGTTTATGTACATATAAAATAATAATAATAAATAATTGTAATGAATGTATGTGCATGAGAACAAATATATTTTAATGAAGAATGCTCTAATTTCAAATTACAATTATTTATTATTATTATTTTATCTTACACTAAAATGTTTATGTACATATAAAATAAAGCATTTTTTTACCTCTTAATTGCTACCATCGATAAAAAAGTATGTCCTAATTAACGATAATGTTAACTTTTAAGTAACAGTTTTCGGGATCAAGAAAAAACGAAACACCCGAACATATCGTAACTTTACACAGCAATTTTTCCAAGTTAGACACACGGCATTTGTTATTCCACACACCTAATTGCTTGCTCTGTTTCAATTTTCATGATATTTTAAAACAAAAGAAATTCAATAGTAAGCTCAAAAACTTCACAATTGAAATCTCCATAATCCAGAATAAAAATTCCTATTATCACAACTTACTTCGTAGTGATGCATTATTTCATTAAATTTTTTTATTTCTTATCAATTAGTTGGTTTTAAATGAATAAAATTAATTCTACTACTACTACTACTATTACTACTACTACTACTACTGATAATAATAATAATAATAATAATATTTTTATTTTTTATTAGACTTAACTACTACAGTCAAAGAACGATAAGCGTAAAAACGTATCACACTAGCTTGTATGTTATCTTAGCGAATGCATTGGTATTTTTATTTCATCTTTTTCGTATTTCTCTCATATTATAAACCTGACCTTATGACCCACAAATAAAACTTTTTACATATTGCTTCTTACTCCCACTTTCATTGTACATGCTCATTATTTTAAAAAATTGCATATATTATTATCATCAATTTCAGTTTCTTATCTTTTCTCCACGCCTTAATTTTTAGTAATTATAGGAGCCGTATTCTGTAATAGCATAATGATATTATTATAGCTATTATCAACTTTTCAATGAACATTGACCCTTCTTCTGTTCGTTTGTAACATTCCCGAATATTTAAAAAAATTACACATTAATATATAATAGGTCGATTTATTGTGCTGAATCGAAAAAGTGTCACAAGAATTATTTGAAATTTCGAAAAAACTGCAATGTTAACAAAAACTAAGGAGCGAACCCTTAGCATATAAGACAATAAAGTATCAATCATAGGGATATTTTCTAATGATACATATCAACTTCATGGCACAAGGCTTATAAGGGTACCAAAGTTACTAAAAAACTTATATAATCTCAATGATCAATGAAGCGTGACAATATGAACATCTCGCATTAAATGCAAATTTCATTTTATACATTTTTGGTTACATTTCAGTAATACTTAGTAAAACGTGCTGCCGCTATATCACATGAAAGCTACAGAATTCAACTATGCATCAGATTAATCCGTAGAAGTCGAAAAGAGATGAAATTCGACCCAAATGAAAATTTTCCATTAAAGGAAGAAATACTTCTTAGTAAACATTGAATTTAAAAAAAAAATAGAGCGCCATTTAACCAAGTATTTAATAATGGTGGTGTGAAAATGTAGTCATCACAACCGCTTCTGCAAGAAACCCAGCTCCTTGTAATATACGAGCTCTCATACGCACAAGACAAGTAATCTTAGGACGATGATAACGCGCCTGCCAAACAAGTAGATTATATTACAAATTATATTGTAATGTTGTATAATTGTATAAGCTACTTGATTTTGATCACACATACGTTTAACTATAACTGTTTCTCACTTTAAATTAGTCCATTGACTAGTGGTATGTTACTGTACTTTTATATTTAGATTTAAATAGTCCACCTATAGCGATTCCGTACTAATATGTTACTGATGTGGAATTGGTCGAAGGCTCTTTCCGTTTTATCCTATAGTTCGAAGAATTAGTTAATAAATATAGATTTTGTTTTATGGTCTTTTAAGCTAAAAATATTATATAAAAAAATCATGATATGAACTTCATTCAGCCGAGTTAGTAAACAATCTGTATATTATCTAGCTCAAAAGCATAGATTCAAGGAGCGTGACATAAAGAGTTTTTGAAATAATAGAAATTATACACTTGAAATACGGCATTATCTGATAATAAATATACAGTTGATAAATATACATTGATGTTTATTATGCATTTTTCTTAAAAATAAGATACTATATATAAATAGTATAGAAAAAATGAACCTTGATTAAATTTATGTATTTTGGTATAATTTTGGAAAATTTTTCTGTAAAATTTATAGACGTACTTTTATAATTTAGGATATTGGTTTCAAGTGATAAATAGACTCAAAATAATACTTCGTATGAAATGAATAATAAGATTATCTACATTATGAGACCAGCTTGTATTGAGCAAAAGACGAAAACATATTTTATGGTTTTGTAGACAAAATTTATGCAAAGAACACTAAAATTAGAATAAGATAACACACTGCAATACATTTTCTAAACAATGGAACAATGTTTCTAAACACTTACAACATTAAATAATAAAATTATAAATAAAAAGCAAAAATATATCAATAAAAAAAATTGTCTATAAAATCTTTCCAACTTAAGCAACTACCCGAATACGTAAATAATTTATAATGAAAAAATGTAAAAATAAGTATATTTATAACATTAGAGAGTGACGTCTTAAATTAAGATTTCATTTTTATATATTTATATATATATTTTTTTATATATATTTAATGTAAAACTATTATAAGATATTAAAAATTAAGAATTTTAGAGAATGATTCTTAACGTTCATTTGAACTAAATTAGTCGTACAATTTTAATAAATTTAATTTAAAGATTATGAAGTCTTACATAATTAAAAGCATATTAATTTCAGAAAATATACACTTCAAGACTCTT